TAATTTGATGAGCATGATATGCTTGATCTTCATGTCTCCGCTGTGGAGCACATCACGAATGGGCTCTAAAATGTCGTTCTGGAGGTTGGGTATGTGCAAAGGATCTTTCATCGGGTTGTAGTGTTCATACAAATAGTCCTTGGGTGCGGTGTTGTTGAAGTGATTGATATGGAAAGGAGACCAATCCGGGAATGCAGTTGCCGAATCGCCTGTATGTAACCAGTCGAATGTTGGGAAGGAGTCTAAAGCGGTTTTGCCTTCTAACCAGCTGAAATCACCCGGCAGGGATGCGACACCTCGCTGAGAAGATCCAAATTTGAGGCCGCCAAACGGGGCGAGAGGAAGAGACCCGGAGAGGAAACTGTAGACCACATCGCTAGGACGAATGACACGGAGGAACAGTAGAATCGCACTGCACGATACAACGATTGCGGGCTTCAACAATGCCCGACTCTTCTGTGCAGGCGGGTCTTGAGGTATATCCAGCAACGATACGGAGTCGCTGTTGTCATCACCGATGTCAAAGTCATCAATTGCAATTTGCTCGTAGGTATCTGGGTGTGGCAGAGATTCCTTATCTGGACGGAAGTGACGGTATGTCACGGATAACACTACACCCCAGATCCTCAGGAAAGCTCCGGTTGCCTGGGATAGATATGGTGTGGCATAGAATGCGCCGACCAAAATTGACGTCTCAAGAAGGATAGCAACGATCAAGGCCGACAAAACAGTTGTGGCAGTGGGCCTATCCTTGTGGAAGTCGTTTGATAGGCGCCAATGAATCTCCATACCCTTGTGGATGTAATAGGATAGGTTGGCGGAAATCATTGACGAGGCATATGCACTAGAAGATAATTAGTAATTCGCTCTTTGTTCCAAGGTTAAGCCTCAATACCTAAATAATACAGTGAACACAGCCGCTATATCCCGAAATGTTCGCCATTCATACGATCGGGCCAGGCCACGGGCGCCCAGAATGAGCAGGATATCCAGGAAAAAGAATGTGGGGCCCCAGGCGAAAAGGGATAAAACTGTGAGTGAATTGAGATGGACGTAGATATGGAAGGCTTTAGAGAGCAGGATGGAGATGAAGATGATCGAAAAGAAATATGCTCGATAAGCTGTCCAGCCACGGTCAAGATGGGCCTGAGGGGATCTGATAACTGTGAGGGCAACAATGACTCCAGATTCAAGCTTCCCGCGCAGCCACTGGGCGAGACCCCCTTGCAGCTGCCATGCAGGTTTCATGATATATGTAAGAATGCAGAGAATTTGCCTATAAAGAGAGGCTGAAACAGAAAAGGAGTTCGAAAATAAAAGGCTTTCTCCACTTTTTCACACGTGCTAAGATGTGGCCAACTGTTTCATAGGGCAGACCTCATCTCCATATATATTTCCTAAAATAGTAAGTGAGCACGCGAACCTCGGGACATTAGAAAACAGATAAAACTTGAATTTGGTCCATTACATATCTACAATATACATACTACCTATGTATGTACTCACCTTCAATATCCTAGAGATCTTGGCAAAGCCACCCGATCTTAAATCTGCCCTGAGATCCACATTCCAAAGCCGGACTGGTTATGGCTTTGTATTAAGTAGTTCGATATTTAATTTCGATATTCGATGGAAATATACGGAGTATAGATTTTCAAATATAAAAGATATAATTATCAATCTTTCTAAAGCGGCATTAGCCCGTGATTATATATACAAAAAGAGTCCAAAAGAGTCCAAAAGATCGTAAGCGAAAGTCGCTAATTTATATTAAATTGGTTGAGGTCCAGACATATAACCATTTATATACAGTAATATATATATCTATGTACTATGTACAACATAATTAACCGGGTGATCAGTCCAAATTCCAGCAATACATCACCCCCCATCGGACATCTGCCGAGAACCCCGCCGGCAACCCACTGATCACAAAACAATTATCACTGAACTGGGGAAACATACATCGTCATCTCCAAAACCAAAATGCCAGTTTATCACATTGGTAAGTTAGATGCAATGTCAATGAAAGAACATCAATCACTAACCAAGCTCCAAGTCCTCTTCCGCCTCAAGCCCGGCATTACTCCAGCCCAGATCGCCACCTGGAAGGAGACATGCCAGGGAATGGTGGGGAAGATCCCTGGTAAGTGAAACCCCGGAGTTTGTTGATTTTGACATAGTCTCATATGAAACCTTGCCATAGGACTGCTGTCGTTGCAGAGCGGTGCACCGCTGCCGATTTCGATTCCTCGTGCCCAGGGATTCGATATGGGACTTGTTGCTGTTTTGGAGACGGCCGAGCATATTGCTACCTATGCGGTGCACCCTGCTCATCTGGAGTAAGTTTTCTTCAATGTCAGATAAGTGAGGACCGCAGGCTGACACCTTGAAGGGTTCATAAAATGCGAGAGGAGCTGTGTGATGATACCTTGGCTTATGATCTAGAGTTCTAGGTATCTGATATGTCAAGTGATATACGCAAGTTTGATCCTAAGGTACTACTAAGTTTCCAGAGTAGAAGTTTTGAGAACAGTCCGTTCAAATGGCTCATTTCTACATATCAAACCCCAGGCCCTGGTCAATCGTAGCCACCGAGGCCTGCCTAGCCAACCCGTAGATGCTCGTAACGAAATGACATAACGCCGAGAAAAGGTTCACCTCTATGAAATAATCGGAAAAAAAGAGGCAGGATCTCCAATCCGCAATACTTTTTGAATCAATACCGCCGATTGACCGAATCAGAGAACAAGAATTAAAGACAAGACATTTTCAATCCGCCGAGATTAGACACCTTATTCCTTGGAATCAACCTTCTTGGCAGGGTGGTCGCCACCGTTGGCACCCTCATCCTCACGGGAGCGCTTCTGGGTGCTTTGTACGACGGGGACACCACTATAAATGAAAGTCAGCACTCATACTCTCATTGCGCACCTCATATTAATTTCACTTACCGAGAGTCCTTCTGGGCCTCACGAGGAGCCTGGAAGCCATTCTGCTGGTCCTCAGTGCGGCGTTCGCGCCAGTCACGACCATCGTCACGGTCGTTACGGTCACGACCATCACGGCCGCCACGACCACGGCCACCACCGCGACCACGACCACCGCGACCGCCGCGACCGCCACGTCCACCACGCGCACCACGGCCACCGTTGCGGGCGTTGGAGGGGTAGACGTTGCCACTCTTGATCTCCTCGACCTTCTCGTCACAGTACTGCTTCTTGCTCTTGAATTCCAGATCATTGCCCTTCCACTGGGGCTTCTTCTCTAGATCGAGGAATGCCTTCTGCTTCTCCTCAGACTCAAACTCAACAAAGATGCTACCCTTGAAGGTCTTGTCGTTCTGAGTGCGGCGCAGGCGGATGGCATTTGTAGGGCCGTAGGGGGCGAAAAGAGCCTCAATATCGAGCTGTGTAGTGGGCTCTTCCTCGCCAAAGCCGAAGCCCTTGGCGTAGATAGAGCGGGCCATGGAGGCATCCTCGAAGACCTTGATGGCCTTTGAATCGCGCTCGTTCACGGACTCAGGAAGAGGGACCTTGCGTTTGACGGCAGTGTCGTTTTCAGCCAGCTCGACGTTCTCGGCGGTCTTGAGGGCCTCGACAATGGCGCTGAAGGGTTGGAAGCGGCGCATGCGCTTGAAGGAGTGAAGGAGTTCAAGGGGCACGGCGTTGTTGGCGCTACCGCCAACCTTGGAGAGCAGGAACTTGTCCATGGGGAGGTTAGAATCGGAGAAGTAGAATTCGACCTATGGTGTGCGCATTAGTTAAGGTCTGGCGAAATAGTGTTTCCAATGGTCATACCTGCTTGCGGATCTGCACAGGGTCGTCGGTTACCTCCTGGGTGGAGGGATCGAACTTGGCGTTGTTCTGGCGAGGGCCACGGCCACCGCGGCCATCGCGCTGGAAGCTGCGTGTCTCGCGCTTCTCAGTCTGGGGCTCAGCGGCCTTCTCCTCGGCCTTCTCAGACTTCTCTCCGAGCTTAGCAGCTTCGGCGACAATGCGGGCCTCATCGGCATCCTGAGCGGGCTGCTCGGTGGCGGCTTCCTCTTTCAGTTCAGCGAGGACATTCTGAACATCCTTCTCAGCCTCGGTGTTGACAACTGGGGTCTTCTGTTCTTCGGCCATAGTTGCGAATTGTATGTGGAGACTATTTCAGATGTGAAAAAAAATGATAAGCAGGAAGATTTGACGTGACGGAGATGAGTCAGAGAAAGAAGAAAGGGAGCAAGGGATGGGAGGATATTTATAGATAATCTGGGAAGATATAGTAACAATACCTTTATAGATTGATCAATGCGCTATTCAGAAATACTATTGCGCTTGTGACAATATCTCGCAGCGGGGAGAATCTGGGAATTTTTTTTGAGCTCCATTGACGCCTGAGGCAAAGACTAGTCTGTGATTGGTCAGGGTGGAATCCAACTATTCCATTTTGGGCAATTCGACTTTTTATACATTATCTTCTATTATATTATATTCAAAGGGTTGGAAGGGCAATAGATGAATAGAACAATGAAGAATAATGAATAAGTACTATATGTAATAATGAATAGAATGTGTGAGGAAAGTATCAGCCTCATTGTAATCACATGCTTCGTCACCTCCCGCCAAATTTCAAGGACCTGGGGCATATCGCACCTTCCAAAAGGCTGTGACCAGGTGATTTATCGATATACTCCATTCCAAGGTTTACCTCCCTTCCACGGATGATTTCGTACTCATCTTGTCACAGAGCATTTGCTCTTATTACATATCCTGCATATCATCAGTTGGATATTCTTTTCAAGACTATAATCTGGGTATCGTTCACACAGGCATCGTATTATCAAGCCCTGAGTTGTAAGGAGCCCTCTGTCAACTTCGAGATCCCCCAGTCATACTAACCCAGTGCTATGGAAAGACCTTTATTCTACACATACAGTACATTCGAATTCTTCGACCTTCACTTGATGTGCTGTTTTCAATATTCAACGAAGTAGAAAGCAGGTTCGCCAAATTAAAATGGCACCATCACGAAGGGACGCGTGGGCTGAGGGGACCTGGCCGACCAAAGATGTATGCTATCTACCCTCTGGGCTCGGGATGCCATTCTGACCACCCTCAACAGATAATTTACCTCTCAATCGTCGGCCCATTGATGCTTGCAGCACTGTTCGAGTGGGTTCTTTGGCTCAGCGCCTTTATCTACTGTTTGATCAAGGTGTGGATGAAAGCAGACCATTGGAGTATAAGAGTTCTCGCCGTGGTGATGATATTCTTGTTCACAGTGATACGGTATGATTCTCGGACATCCAGTGTTCATTACCTAACAGCTTCATTCAGAGACATTGACTGACGAACACATCTGATAGACTGGCCTTCCTTCCAGTCATGCTCGTGACACTGCCGTTACCGCCACAGATCACGATTGACCTACCTCACGAAATGGTGCATGGGTTTCAAGTGTTTGCATTTTGGGCTTTTTCTGTTCTTCTGATCGGTCCATGGCTATTTTGTGTATACGGACTCATCACCAATTCACTGGGGAGAAAAAAGAGGATTAAACGAGTGCTTGACGATCGGACTGCCCCGAAGACTGTGGTTGTGATGCCAGTATACAAGGAGGAACCAAGTATTTTGATTAAGGCCATCAATTCCGTGGTTGACTGCGATTATCCTCCAAATTGCATCCATGTTTTCCTTTCATACGATGGTGGCAAGGTGGACGAGCCGTATCTCCGTGTCATCAACTATCTCGGTATTCCGATCTCACTGGAGAGCTATCCTCAGAGCATTGACTGCATTTACAAAGGGGCACGGATAACGGTGTCTCGCTTCAAACATGGCGGTAAAAGGCACTGCCAAAAGCATACTTTCAAGCTTATCGACAAGGTTTATGCCGAGTATCTGAAGACACATGACGATTTGTTCGTTCTTTTCATTGATTCCGACTGCATCCTTGATCGAGTTTGCTTGCAGAACTTCATGTACGACATGGAACTTAAGCCAGGCAGCAAGCACAACATGCTTGCAATGACAGGCATCATTACCTCGACAACGGAGAAAAATAGCTTGCTGACGATTCTTCAGGACATGGAATATGTCCATGGGCAGCTTTTTGAACGATCCGTCGAGTCAGGCTGTGGTGCAGTGACTTGCCTCCCTGGAGCTTTGACTATTTTACGCTTCTCGGCTTTCCGCAAGATGGCCAAGTATTACTTTTCAGACAAGGCTGAGCAATGCGATGATCTTTTTGACTACGGAAAATGTCATCTTGGGGAAGACCGATGGCTCACTCACCTGTTCATGATTGGCGCCACGGAGCGGTATCAAATCCAGTTATGTATGAGCGCGTTCTGCAAGACCGAAGCCGTGCAGACCTTTAGAACTCTCCTCAAGCAACGCCGACGATGGTTTTTAGGTTTCATCACCAACGAGGTTTGCATGATCACGGATGCCCGGCTCTGGAAGCGCTACCCTCTTCTATGTATGGTTCGATTCATGCAAAACACGATCCGAACGACCGCACTGCTCTTTTTCATCATGATTATCGCACTAATTACAACCTCAAAGAAGGTGGATGATCTTCCTATGGGTTTCATGGGGGTCTCCTTGGGATTGAATTATCTACTCATGCTATACTTTGGCCTGCGTCTCGGACGCTATAAAGCCTGGCTTTACCCGATCATGTTCATTGTGAACCCGTTCTTCAACTGGGTTTATATGGTGTATGGTATTTTCACAGCCGGTCAGCGAACTTGGGGTGGACCTCGAGCAGATGCTGCCACTGCTGATGACCATACAACGCCAGGAGAAGCAGTTGAACGGGCAAAGGAGCAGGGCGATGAGTTCAATGTGAATGTTAATACATTTCGCACCAGCCTTGTGCGCCGGAAATCCGTCCCCGTCCGCCCATCGGAGAAGGTGGAAGGTCGATTTGCACCTGCCAAGCAGCTACTTGATGGGATTTATATCAACACAACCAGCCGTGGGCCCGCACTGGCACGAATGGTCAACGCGATGGAAAATCGCGACACTTCCCAGCACCAATTACCCGCTCTCTTTTCCTATTCAACTGATTCAGTGCTCAGCGCATCGGATTGCGGCTCTAGTTCGATTGCCATGCCACAGAATGTTGACAACTTGATGAGTGAAGACCAAAAGAAAATTAATTATGTCTGCCAAGGTCGGGCATCGGGCTCGGTGAGCCTCGATGGTCACTATTCGGAGAACCACTTTGGGGTTTCCCAGCCTATTTCTGCCGAGCATCTAGTCACCCACCCACCAGAAACATACCAGACTGGTTCTAAGAACATCCCAGAGCCATAAGTCATGGCGCCAAGATACTTTCAAACCCCGTGACCCCCCTCTTATGATATTATTGTCTAAGAAGAACAAATGTACTAAGTGCATGACGTCAGTTTTCCTCTTTTTCCTCCTTTTTTTTTTTTTTTTTTTCTTCTTTTTTTTTCTGTTCGGCCGATTGACCTTGGCATATTTTTTTTTTGGTCATTCTATTCTTATGTTTATTTGTTTAGCATAGCGATACTGCTCGCTTCTATAACTTTTTGAATCCAAAACATCAAAGTCCATCAAGTATATGGTGTAGCCAATGATCCACAGATTTATAAGGCGGTGATTGATTTTTATTCTGCCTGGCAACAGTAGGCGGTGAAGGTGGGTATCCAGCAGCCACCAGAAGGTTCGATGAGATGCTAGCATATAGTCCAGGTAAAGGAAACGTATATAGACCAGTCAGAGAGAGAGAAAAGAAAGAAAGAAAAGCATACTCTGACACATTTTACGTTATCAATTTATACCCCAAATTCGAAATTAGTTCGGCGCCTAAAGATCAGCCAGACCGCTTGACACTTGGTCATCGCCCCTCCAATAATAGTGGAGTGGCGTGCAAATTCTCCCCTCCGACTTCTCTCACTTTTCTTCTTTTGAACCTTCCATCCCTCTTTACCTCCCTACCTCCTATATCCCCCTACTTTCTTCCATAATGAGTGTCGTCGGCATAGATTTGGGTGCTCAGAGCACCAAGATTGGTGTTGCCCGCAATAAGGGCATTGATATTGTGCGTGTTACCCCACGGTCTTGATACGGACTTGCGGCATTCTCTCAAGATGAATCATGACCTCACAAATCTGAGCAATTGCGCTAACTACTTTCTTTTTTATTAATATAGATTGCCAATGAGGTTTCCAACCGTCAGACCCCGTACGTTTGAAACAAAAATCCACTGTCGATCCAGATAACAGAAGGCTAATTTGAATTATTTTAGCTCCGTCGTTGGATTCACTCCTCGCAACCGAAACCTCGGTGAGGCTGCCAAGGGTGCAGAGATCTCTAACCTGAAGAACACCGTTGGCTCCCTCAAGCGCCTGATCGGCCGTTCTTTCAACGACCCCGATGTCGCCATCGAACAGGAATACAACACATGCACCCTGGTCGACGTGAATGGCCAGGTCGGTGTCGAGGTCAACTACCTCGGCAAGAAGGAGCAGTTCACAGCGACTCAGTTGGTGGCTTCTTACCTTTCCAAGATCAAGGACATCACCGCCAAGGAATTGCGCGCTCCCGTCTCCGATGTCACCGTCAGCGTTCCCGCTTGGTTCACTGATGTGCAGCGCCGGGCTATGCTTGACGCTGGTGACATTGCTGGTCTTAACATCCTCCGTCTCATCAACGACACCACTGCTACCGCTCTCGGTTACGGTATCACCAAACTGGATCTCCCCGGCCCCGAGGAGAAGCCCCGCCGTGTGATGTTCGTCGATATCGGTTACTCCGACTACACTGCCTCCATTGTTGAGTTCCGCAAGGGTGAACTCAACGTTAAGGCTACCGCCTATGATCGTCACTTCGGTGGCCGTAACTTCGACAAGGCTCTGACCGAGCACCTTGCCGTCGAGTTCAAGGAGAAGTTCAAGGTCGACATCCACACTAACGGCAAGGCCTGGACCCGTACCCTGGTTGCCGCCGAGAAGCTCAAGAAGGTCCTGTCCGCTAACGCACAGGCCCCTCTGAGCGTTGAGTCCCTTATGGATGACACTGACGTCCGTGCTATGATGAAGCGTGAGGAGCTTGAGCTCATGGTCAAGCCTCTCCTTGACCGCCTGACCACTCCTCTGGAGCAGGCACTCTCCGAGGCCAAGCTTCAGGTCGAGGACATTGACTACATTGAGATGGTTGGTGGCTGCACCCGTGTTCCCGCTATCAAGGATACCATCAGCAAGTTCTTCGGTAAGGGTCTGTCCTTCACCCTGAACCAGGATGAGGCCATTGCTCGCGGTTGTGCTTTCAGCTGTGCTACTCTTTCCCCCGCTTTCCGTGTCCGTGACTTCGCCGTTCACGACATTGTCAACTACCCTATTGACTTCACCTGGGAGCAGTCCCCCGAGATCCCCGATGAGGATACCAGCCTCACCGTCTTCAGCCGAGGAAATGTCATGCCTTCCACTAAGATCCTCACTTTCTACCGCAAGCAGCCCTTCGATCTCGAGGCTCGCTACTCCAATGTCGAGACTATGCCCGGCAAGGTCAACCCCTGGATTGGCCGCTTCTCCGTCAAGGGTGTCCAGGCTGATGCCAACAACGACTTCATGATTTGCAAGCTCAAGGCCCGTCTCAACCTGCACGGCATTCTCAACGTCGAGTCCGGATACTACGTCGAGGATATGGAGGTCGAGGAGCCCGTCGAGGAAGAGAAGAAGGAGGGTGACATGGACACCGATTCCAAGGAGGAGCAGCCCAAGAAGACCCGCAAGGTCAAGAAGCAGGTTCGCAAGGGCGACCTCCCCATTGTCTCCGTCACTGGTGGTTTCAGCCAGGCCACCAAGGAGGCCTGGACCGAGCGTGAGAACGCTATGTACATGGAGGACAAGCTCGTTGCCGAGACTGATGAGAAGAAGAACGAGCTCGAGGCCTCTATCTACGAGCTCCGTGACAAGATCGACGGCGTGTACGCCGAGTTTGCCAGCGAGGAGGAGAAGGAGAAGTTGAAGTCCAAGCTCATGGACACTGAGGTGAGTTTTGAACCCATATTTGTCAATAAATATCATGATCAACCATACTAACGCGCCATTGCAGGACTGGCTCTACGAGGACGGCGAAGACGCCACCAAGTCCGTCTACGTCGCCAAGATGGACGACATCCGCTTCATCGCCGGCCCCATCATCCAGCGCTACAAGGAGAAGGTCGAGGCCGAGCGTGACGCCGTTCGCAAGGCCGACGAGGAGGCTGCTGCTAAGCGACGCGCCGAGATTGAGGCCAAGAAGGCCGAAGAGGACGCCAAGAAGTCCACTGAGGGCGACGCCGAGATGAAGGATGCCCCTGAAGAGGCCCAGGGCGAGGAGAAGCAGTAAATCATTCACGATAAATGATTTACTGATGTGTTTTTTTTATTTGTTTTCGGATTGGGGAAAATACCCATTCCAATTGCGTTTTTCTCTGATCTAACATGATTCCTAAGATTTGGATCGGGGTGAATCGCCGCGTTATGACGAAAAGGACCTTTTTAAGAGATGTTTCATGGAGCTAGAGATTCGACATTGATCGGCCAATTTTCTTTTTTCTTTGTTCTAATGGCAAATGGTTATGATGTAGATCGTTTCTGTTCCCTTGATTGTTTATGAATAGATGAAAATATACTCAAAAGCCTTTGTCTTCAACTTTCCTTATACCCCCATGGAGTTCCCATTGGCGAAGCAACTCGTTGAGCATTCTTTGAATCCATCCTTCGATCCTTTTAGTCCCTCGCGCCATACAAGCTAGTCGTAGACAATAAATATTCTAGCCCGGGGAACTAGATGGGTCTCAGTCTCAACATTCTACTATCGGGCACTGTATAAGGGATGGTTTATTCAAAGCTATTGTAGGTAGTAAGAGTTCCAAGTAAAGCGCAGAAGTAGGATTGAGATTACCAAACATTAGGGGAGTCTTATGGTCTGGAAATTTCGAAGACCTCGCCGTTTGTTTGACTCTGGATGCCTCAGCTTCAGTTAATATAATGAATACCGAAGCTATCAGGACCCCAATACCTCGTATGTTGTAATTGTTACTACCGAGAAATTCTATCACATGAATTTATTATCACGTGATTGACTTATCTCCGTGCTGACAAATTTATCTCCGTGGAACCGGGTCGAATTCGCCAGCGCCTTGCCTATTCGGGCCATATAAGCGGTTTCTTCTTGTCGCAAGTTCTCTCTCGCTCTTCTGCGATCGCATCTCTAACCGTATGATATAATGGACTCCACCAAGGAGCTGACCGTCCACCACCATGGGACCGCACATATTATTCAAGTCCCCGCCTCGGCAACATTACAAGACCTCTCTTCCGAAATAGAGCGCGTCCTAAACATCCCTATCGACAATCAAAAGCTCCTCATAGCTCCAAAGCCAGGAATGCAGAAGGCACCATTCCCGCCAACTCTTCTCGATGCAATCCTCCAGACCTCCTCCCCAAGGTTCAAGATCACCCTCCTCGGCACCCCCGCCAAAGCAATCGCCGATCTCCACGAACAATCCGCCAGCGAACAGCGACGGCAAGAATCACGCGCTGCTGCTCTAAATGCCGCGAGACGCAACAAACAAAAACCATCCTCCAGCCGTAGTGGCGGTATCCATACCATCTCATCCTCAAATAACAACTACACCTTCCACCGTCTCCTCCCATTATCCTACCTCCCAAACCCAGACCGCTCCCTCGACTTTCTCAAACGCCTCCGTGACGATCCAGGCATCCGTGCCGCTATGACAAAACACAAGTTTTCTGTCCCGCTTTTGACTGAAATGAACCCCGCAGAACACACGACAAGCGAGTCGCGGACGCTAGGTCTGAACCGGAATAAAGGCGAGGTCATTGAGTTGCGCTTGCGAACGGATGCTTATGACGGATACCGTGATTATCGTACTATTCGGAAGACGCTGTGCCATGAGCTTGCGCATTGCGTGTTCGGGCCTCACGACCGTGACTTCTGGGATTTAACGTCGCAGATTGAGAAGGAGGTTGATCGTGCTGATTGGAAGTCTGGTGGGAACCAATTGTCAAATCAGGAGTTTTACAATCCTGGTGATTGGGATAGTGTACAGGGTGGAGAGGAGTTTGTTGATGAGTGTGGGTGGACCGGTGGGGAGTTTGTGCTTGGTGGATTGCAGGGCGATTCGGCTGGAGCTGAGGCTTCAGATGGGACGCTATCTCGTAGGGAAATCATGGCGCGGGCTGCGGAGGAGAGGATGAGGAGGGAGAGTCAGACCGGGAAGCAAGATGATGCTAAGTGATATCATGGCCGCTCTTCGGCTCACTTTATGCTTTACGAGTTCTTGCTTCTAAACTATGTAAATAGCCATTGATACCATACTATTCCTTTGTAACTAAGTCATTTCTGTACATTGGAGATCATATATGTCGCGTAATTAGACTAATACCTAGATATTTACAGCTGCTCATTGACAAAGAGGCCAGCCATACCCTGTCCAGTTCCAATACACATGGAAGTCACCAAAACCTTACTCTTTGTCCGGCGAGCCTCGCTCAGAATGGTCGCGATCTGGCGCGCACCTGTTGCGCCGAGCGGGTGACCAATGGCGATAGCACCACCACGAGGGTTGACCTTGGCGTGGTCAAGACCAAGGTTCTTAACACAGTAGACAGCCATAGAGGCAAAAGCCTCATTAATTTCGTAGATATCGATATCATTCTTGTCAAGCTGGAACTTGCTCAGCAGCTTGGGGATAGCGGCAGTTGGGCCGATACCCATCACGCGAGGGGGCACACCGGCAACAGTAGCGCCGCAGAACTTAGCAAGGATAGGCTGGTTCAGCTCAATAGCCTTGGAGCGGCGCATGAGAAGAACAGATGCGGCACCATCGGTAACCTGGCTGGAGTTTCCACCAGTGGACTTGTCACCGTACTCCGGGAAAGCAGGGCGAATCTTGGAAAGCGACTCGAAAGTCGTACCGGGGCGAATGCCATCATCACGGGATAGAGTCACCTGCTTGACCTCGCCAGTCTTGGGGTCTTTGACCTTGACAGTAATGGGAGCAATCTCATCAGCGAACCAGCCATTGTTCTGAGCAGCTTCAGCACGACGGAACGATTCGGCGGCATATCGGTCCTGCTGCTCGCGAGGGATATCAAAGTCCTTGCCAATGTTTTCAGATGTCTGGCCCATGGGCTGCATGCAGTCGGCGGCCTCCTGATTGCGCAGGACTTCCTCGTTGAATGGCTTCTCCAGACGGTCACCAGCAGCGGACATCAGCTCGGCACCCAGAGCGACACCGATGTCGATGGCGCCCAGCTGGATTTGGTTCGCGATATCCTGCACAGCCTTCAGTCCAGACGAGCAGAAGCGGTTCACCGATGAGGCGCCGGCGGTGTGAGGGATGCCGGCAGCAAGAGCGGCGGCGCGGACCATGTATGCGGCTTTAGCTTCGCCGACCTGTTTTTTGGGGGGGTTAGAATATGCTATCCATAGATTTGTAGAGTGGAGAAAGAGGTTAAACTTACGTTGCCGAGGCAAACATCCTCAATCAGAGCAGGGTCAATCTGTGACTTGGCCAGAGTCTCTTTCAACAGGGCATAGATCATGTAGTCTAATTCTGTGTCCTTGAAACCGCCCTTACGCGCCTTAGTCAGCGGTGTGCGGATTGCTAGGGTGATAACCACATCGTCGGGGTTCTTTTGTGTACTGCATTCGTTAGATTCATGAAATACAACTGAGTTCGAAGCCTTACATAGCAGCGAGGCCGTTGGCGGCGCCAGGCTTGAGGTGACTCAGAAGTGAGCTTAAACGATCTGCGGCCATGGTGTGTATAAAAGGAGACTGGCCAAATTATATCAGTTTTCTGTTCTTTAGGCAGCTTGCGTTCAAGATGCCAGCTTATAGAGAAAATGCGGGGAAGCCTCCATATGCGGAGATTGAAGACTGTGGAAACTAAAGGAGAAGAACTTACAGATAATTTTTTTGGAGAGGTAAAGGAATAAGAACAAAAAGGAAGGGAAAGGGAATATAAAAGAAGTACTTGGTATATGAAGAGAAAGAGAGATGATCTCCGCTTCGGACTGACCGAGAATGCCGAGGTACATTTCGCTTATCAGGTTATCCAGCCAATAAGTACCAGGTACTTCATACTTGACTTATAAACCACGTTATAAAGAAGTATCTAGTACTTCGGATTACCATGTACTTCCAAGGCCTCGGGATGTCTAGATGACTGCCTGTGGTGTCAATCTTAAAGATAGAACCATTCTCAGATAATAAATTCACTATACAAAATAAGAGATACTAGCTTCTTAATATGTGTCCACCATCATCTCCTTGTGCAGCCAATTCTCAAAATTGCCCTGGGCTTTCGTGTTACTGTCTTCCCAGTTGCAAGAACCATGGTGATAATTCAGAATCTCCGAATACCTTCAAATTATCAGCAATGAATACGCAGATCGGGAAAATACATACATTTTGCACTTCCAGTCATCTATAGTCAGTTCTGAATCCAACAGAGACCAATCAATTTGCTTCTCGCACTCGGGTTCGTCGTCAGAGTCTTGGTAGGTCGAAACGTATGGATGGATTAGTGCATCTGCCGCTGTAATTCTCTTTTGTGGATCTATAACAAGCATTTTCTCCAAGAGATGAATGGCTAGCAAAGTTAGTAACATTGAATGTAGATAAATCAAGAGGCATTTGATGTCAATGAAGAATCTGAACAGGCATACTTTCAGGGTCAACATCCCCCAGGGTATCTCCAAGTGACCGAGGTTTCGATTGAGGTAGAGAGTTCACAAACTTCATCGTCTATCACTTGTCAGCATCTTCTCTTCCATATTTAACCCGGCTGTGGAGAATTGGGCCGTACAATGTCACTATAAATTGTCTTCATGACCTCTTTTGGTGGCTTTCCAAAGATCTCAGTAATCAGTCTGAACTGATGCACATTGTCTTTGCCCGGTAATAAGGCTTTCCCTAAGAGCATCTCTGCCACAATGCACCCAGTACTCCAAATATCCACCGCATAGCTGTATCTCTGCCAAGTCAACATGATCTCTGGAGCTCGATAATACCGTGTGGCAACATAACCAGTCATCTGGTGACCTTGTTCTCGAGCTAGACCAAAGTCACAAATCTTCAAGTCGCAGTTTTCGTTGACCAAAATGTTACTTGGTTTTAGATCACGATGGATCACCCCGGCAGAGTGAATGTATTTCAACCCTCGCTGAGAAAGTCAGCTATACTGACATTTTCCAGATAATTCGGGGCAAAAATACCAGTAGTTGGTAGGTGAAGAACTGGATGAACTTGCCCTCCAATGGCTTTGATGCTGATTGGATCAAATGATGAAGATCTGTCATGCAACAGTCCATCACAATATAACTGTATTTCCAAATGGTTAGTAGTGAATTTGGTAAATAGAGAGTTCCACGTACAGATCTTCCGCTGGTGAGATGAAGATATCTGTCATGTTGATCAACTATTGACGGTTAGTCTTCATATTCATACTTGATCTTTTCTTTTTTTCTTCACATGCATTATCATGCTTTAGATTGGTCATCAAATGAACCTCGCGATACGTGCGCTTGACCAGGGCAGAGCTATCAAAGGGGTTCTTTATTTTTTTTATAGCAACCGTTTGTTTCGCCATTGAATCACGCGCCGAGCTAATACTGGTTAGTGGGCTTACAGTAATAAGGGATATACTATACCATATTACCCCAGAGGTACCAAGACCTCGTGCTTGTAAATCCGTATACCTATCAGTGGTATGAAGGGTGGTGCCCAGGACTTGATGTGTGACGAATTTTGCCATGGTTTGCAGTTGAAGTTGTGATGCCAGTGATGGGATAGACCAGTGGGATAGGGAAGATGCCTATTAAGTTGTTTACTTCCTGTGTGGCGGCTATACGTCATGGAAAGTGCCTGGACTTCTTGTATGGAATTTCCTGGTTTCCAAGAATGACCGGATACGTCAGCCGACCAATCCCAACAGCCTATACTCCTTTGTACAAGTGGACCTTACATGGTAGGATGTACCTAGGTAGTCTCTCTTGGCTTACATGTCCTTGAGCTTGAAAGCTTATGCAATCTAGTAAAATATTTATTGCTTTACCAGATTCGGATTGGCATGCCCTATTCGGTATTTGTCTTGGAACTTCAATTAGAGCATAAACTCCCTATATCTTGTATCGCGTCAACCCAAAGGCAAAAACACCGAGCACCATATCAGTATTCCCGACCGAGCCAAGCCCCATTCATTCAACCGTGTAATCCATGAAGTCTCAAGTGTATCAGAGCAACGGATGTCCAGCATCCTCATTGCTAATTACACTACCCACATCAGACCACGCTGGAGTAGCCACACCACCAACAGATCGCCCATCAAGGTCACTAAGACTATCATCTGATGTTCCATCCTCGAATCCTCCAACATGGCTGAAACTCCCACTAGTTGAAGGAGCGGTTGAGATATCATTGTGAGACTGAACACTCTCGTGGCCGAAACCATCTAGCTCAGCAATATTATTTCGTTCATAGGTTCTGTTGCTTGGCGTATCAGGGTGTGCATAATATACCTGCTGGTGGTCTTCTGTATGGCTGGAGCCAGAGACAGACAACGGAGACTTTGGAGAATACGGATCGAAGAGACTATCCCCCTCGGGTGCTTCAGACCTAGGCGTGAACTGAATAATAGATTCAGAAGGATGGTTTGAGGCAGCAGACGAGGGAATGTCGACATGCAGCTGATTCCGACCCGGAATAGTCGAAGACTCGGACTCGATATGCTTGCCTCGGCGGAGAGGCTCCGAAGTTCCCAGGTCCACCCCCGTTGAGTTAGCAGTAAATTCTTCATTTGCCTGAACATCGTATTCGTGGTCTTTTTGTTTACGCAAATTACCCTCGTTGTCGACGAGAGCATCAAAGCTACCATGAGGTTGGCTTGGCTGGTTGGACTTCCGTCGTGATTCAAGGAGTGCCCCTCGCCGCATGATCTCTGCACGAGCAATCCGTCTCCGTTCTTCAGCAGTTCCTCCAGTCTCCTCAGTCATAGAAATGTCTTCCCGCAAGGGTATGTTTCGAGGTTGGATCTCATCGCCGAGGTTGTGCAGAGCTAAGGCGATCTTGCGCCGCGACGTGGTTACCCATTGTTGAAACTGCGGTGACTCGTACACGGCGATGCCGGCTGCTACAAGCACAGAAACAGTAATGATGATTCCTGCATGAGAAAGGTCAGCCTCACTCTCTACGAAGTGGGGAACTGATAAGGCCGAGAGTACACCGCCCGGATGATCCGGGAAGAAGTCGTAGAAGTTCAAGGAAGTAGAGGACCATACCTTTTGCAAGTGGTGCTGGCATAATGAACCCAAGTATTTTACTTGTGTTTCTCCTATCATATGTTTTTGGGACTCGCCTCATTCATCCACGGAGCGGGACAAGATGATTTGCTGATGCCTGCACCTTATCCTGACTTATCGCACGTGATCTACAACGCCCTTATCACCGGCCCTAAATACACACCGCTTTAGGCAAAGTTCCCCGCGCGTCTCAAAGTGATGGACGTGATTGCAAGCTCCTAACTCTCTTCATTTGATTGTACAATTGAACCGCGTGATACCATGTCTCGTCAACCTTCGCAGGGCCAACGACCGTTGTCCCTCACCGAGGAGCTTGAGAAATTGGAACAGTCTATTACCCTTACACTTCAAGGTAGGGCAAAAAAGTAAACAAAACAGCCCAGCAGACCGCTCATCGTCATATGTCTATACAGAGATCGACCACAATTTCAGTCAAGCTCATCGAATAGTCACTACAAGTATATTGCCTCTGGTAGAGCAATATACCGAGCATTCACGAGATGTTTGGGAAGGTTCCAAGGTCAGCGACGCCAGCATGTACCACCATGGACAGCTTTGCTAACTCCCTATAGTTCTGGAAGCAATTCTTCGAAGCCAGTGCCAATGTATCTTTATCTGGCTATGAAGAAAGAAACACGGATGAAGAAACCATGCAGGACCCCACAGCCACGGAGGAGGAGTTGTCCACCGACATAACCCAAAGCACCAACCTCGATGAGACCGTGTCCCACGAGACCTCTCCTTACCAGCACCATGAAACACCCCGCCGCGACCAGTCAGAGGACCTTGATCTAACAGATCTCGCAATCTCTTCCCACAGCACTCCACGTGCTCCGGGCCACCACCAGCAGGCCGACGACGTGGCAACCTCCTCAATGGAGTACTCATCCTCTTACGAGAACCTAAGAAGACAAGTCAATGAATCAGACCCTCCATTCGATCTCCCAGACTCCTCGACCCTCCCATCTACCCCAGGCCGTCAGCTCTTCTTCCCACGCGGCGTTTCCGCCACAACCCCGATGTCATCACCATTCCTCCCGCCCGCGTCGCAGCCACAGACTCAAGACCGTCGATACCAGAAGACCTCCGACCCGGTACTGCACCAAATGCTCGACAAGACATACCGAGTACAGGCTACGCCGCTCGGAAAGGGATTCCGCGATATAGGCGGTGGCACGAATACTCGATCAAAGTTCAACATTACCACCCCAAAGCCAGCTGAGACCACGTCCAAGTATGCGTATGACGACTCGCCGATTTCCAGCCCGGAGCCAGAGGTACCACAGCTCCACTCGGAGATCTTCTCATCGCCCATCAAAGGCATCAACGATACTCCGGGGACAAACCGCAAGCGACGGACTAGCAGCAATCGCATGCGCGGTATTCCCAAGCCTGGCATGAGTGTTTTAACACCCGCTAAGAAGTCTGCGGGTAAGTCGGCTATGTGGGATAGCGACGACGATTTTGATTACGATGATGATGAGGATCTTGGACCAAGTCCTCCTAAGACAATGCAATTCCACATTCCGCAGAGCCGGCTGATGAGGACGCCTGGTAAGATTTTTCTCTGATTCTATTTCTAATACTGGATTCATCCTAACTTTCTTCCCCTCGGTAGCAAGAGAGGCTTCGAAGCGCATTGTGACCGATTTACTGGCTACGGCTGGAGCTGGGGATATCACAGATGATTTTGGCGACGATCAAAGTCCAAGTGTGATCCGCCGAATGGAGCGACTGGAAGATGAAACATTCTAAATCGATTCTACTACATTACCCATATTCCCAGCATAACCCCGAATACCCATGAAAAATGTTATGATGTCATCGACGAACGCCAAATTTTCAGTAGATTCATTGTCATTAAAGAGTAGAGAAAGGGGCATAGAGGCCACCGCCTATATAGTTTTATCATACAGGTGGAAATATTGAAACAGATGTCACTTTTGAGGACTGAGAGATCCCCTCGGGCGTGAGGAAAAAGACAAACGCTTAAGAAAGGGTAGGATATGTACGGGGCGATGAAGTCCAAGCAATATCACCGCCCCAACCCATCTATCATTGTTGTCCAACGGAGATTTCGGGACCTTGATGAGGTAGAAGGTGGGTAGCAATGTCTGCAATCGACCTTGATCAATGGGAGTCGTGGGAGATGAGCAAGAACGAAGAGAGTGATATCTAGGGACTCTTCTTCTTGCTCTTCGACTCGGCGTCTTTCTTCTCTGCCTTGGAGTCCTTCTCCTCCTCACTCTCCTCAGACTTCGACTCCTGCTTCTGGTGCTGCTCATAGAGAGACTGGTGCTTAGAGCTCAAGCGCTCCTCCTCGGCAGCAACCATGTCCTTCCAGAGGTCGCCCTCTTTAGGCTGACCACCCTGGCGTACAGGAACCTCCTCAACACCCTGCTCAGCCTTGGCCTTAGCCGCATCTGCCTTCTTCTTCGAGTCCAGCAAGCCACGACCACGACGCTGATCTGAGATCTCAAAAGCAGCCGAAGCACAAAGCACACCGAGCGTCAGACCCTGTGCATAGACACGAGCCTGAACAAGCTTTTGCTGACCGGTGAGGCCGGGGATGCGACTGACAAGCGCGAATGAGCCAACCATGGAGGCAACCCAGGTGGCAGTGATGATTTTGTATTTCTCACGACGGGCGAAGGCTGCAGCGCGGTCGACGAAGCTCAGTCCGCGAATCTCCTCGGCGCGAATGCGCTCTTCGCGATTCTCATACCATTGGTAGGCAGCGTTCTGCTCGTTCTCGTACTCGCGCGAGGCATGGTCGGCGGCGATGATACCTGTGAATGTACCAGAGGAGGTCACCAGAAAGGCTTTCATCGGAACGGTCAAGTTGCGGATTGTGTGATAGCGACGTGAGGCAAGTAGAACACCTGCTACGCCGCCGGCGAGACCGAGGAGGCCGCCGACTGTGCCACCTTTGAGGACGGAGCTATTGATTTCGTTAGAGAGGCTTGGGAATTGTATTAGGGCGTTTGTACCTATAGTGAGCTTCTTCTTGTTCTTTGGTAAGAATCTTCATTGCGTGAGATATGTGTATGAATTGGAATGAGAGAGAAGAGGACGAATAGTCTATAAAACCAAAAAAGCAAAAGCCGGATCGCATGACGTGTGCGGGATCGCGGGATCTGCTCTTTTTCCGGTGGCCCCGGCCATCACTCGGTCTCGGAACTAAATTGCCGGCCTTTGAATCTTTTTCGATGTACAATATATACGGAGTATGTTGTACAAGTTTTGTGATATTGGAATTTGATTGGAATTTAATTGTTTCCATAAGTTCAATAATTCTGCTTATTCTTGGAATGTGAAAGGTGAGTCCCAAATCCCTATTCAATCCCCGGTTGATCCCGAAACGCCCCAAACACCAGATTATTTCACCATAACGGACGTGGCCGAAAGCCATGGAAAAGAATTTACATAATCTATCGACGAGACGCCTTACGCGCTGCGGCTTGGCGGGCTTGCATCTTGCGGAAACGGTCCTCGCCGCTGGCACCCAAGGGTCGCGCAAACTGAGTCTCGCGCACAGCTGTCTGGCGTGGAACCACAGTGTAGCTGACGTTGGTACGGTCGACACGAGCACGGTTGAGAAGGCGGGGTGGGAGCATTTCGCGGGCGCGGGCTTCGGCTTGAATCTCCTCGGCGGTGGGAGGAGCGCGTCTGACAACTTTCCTGTAGGGGTGTTAATGGGTGATAGGGATGCGGTGGAGCTGTGAACATACGTAGGATCATAATCGGCCTCCTGGTAGACCCGCTTCGAATAATCATCGCTGCGCTGGAGAATTGGTCGTGTCCACTCCGCCAGCAACTTCTCTGCCATCTCCTTGATGCGACGCTCCGTGCGCTTGCTCTTGGTGTAAAAGACAACCACTTTTCCAATGCCACTGGCAATCAGAGCGTCCTTGTTGATAGGAAGCTTGGTAAGGGCGGTCAATAGGTCGCGCTGGATATTGTAGGCTGGCATTGCGCCATCGTCCAGAGGCTCGAGGAAGAATCGAACGGCCTCCAACAAGTTGATCTCCGGGTCGACCAAGGCGCTAGTATACTGGTTGCGGTTGAGGAGCATGATGACTTCAGGAAGGAGCTTGAGCTTATGCATAGCTGGTTTGCCTTCTTGGCGGTTGATCGCATCCATTTGCGCTGCGTGGGTCATGCGCTTGCGCATATCCTCGATTTCAGCATCTGCCATAGATTCCAAATCCTAACAGTACGGTCAGTAACGTGGGTGAGTGCGTGTCACTAGGTTCGACACATACAATGCCATCCTGCTTGCGAAAACGTCTCTTCGCTGGCTTCTTCATCGCCTCATCCATAGCGCGGTCGAGGGCTCTGCGACGTCCTAGTGAGTGAAGCCCAGTCAGTACAAAATGTGTGGGGCAGAAAACAAGACAAGCTGCCAGTAAAGAATAGAACATACGGGTCTCGGGGTCAAGAGTCTCCTCATCTGTATCGGGTTTATCCTCACGCTGCTTGCGCTCACGTCGGCGAGATGAGCCACCTTCGTCATTTCCTTCGTCGGCTCGACGGCTCTTCTTCTCACGACGACCTTCCTTCCGGCGCGGACGATTCTCGCCATCCTCGGTGCGCTTGCGTTTGTGACGGCCAATGAGTTTCAAGTTATCTTCATCAATAGCAAGTTGTGGGCGGTCCTCGATGTCAACATTCTCTGGGTCGAAGTTGTCGAACTGTGCCTCGTCAACCTCGGACAAAATGGACTCGTCGTCTGAAAGCTTGTCATCGTCAACTTCGTCGTCTCCACCACGTGGCTCGTCGTCAGCATTCTCCGTGGCCTCATTGACCTCATCAGTAGGTTCAATGAAGCTCTCGCGCTCCTTTTCGTCACTAGCAACGGGGCTTGCGACTTGCTCGTGGACTTCGGGATCGGGAGAGGCGGGGGGCGAGGCAGCCTTGCGGTCCGGTGAAGCAGACATGGTAGTTCAGATGGCAGTGAATGTAAAGGAAGAGATAAAGAACAAAGCGAAGGTGTAGAGATCAGTCAGGGGAAGTATCGCAAGCAAGTCACGGTACGTTATCTGGCTAAGTGATCCCGACGCCTCTCCGCAAGATCAACCGCTCTGCAGATTCGAGCAATGCAAATAAGCCGTGAAAGTAATGAGTAAAAAGAGGAGCACACCACAAGCTTCTCACAACATAAGTCGGTAGAATCCAGGCGGATAGAGAGAGGGGAGGCAGTCAAGGCAAAACCTCAAAGTGAAGGAGAGCAGTGGGTCTGTGCTCCCGTGATTTATTTCTCCAGTCCGACTTGAGAACATCTCGCAACATTCAACTCTCACAACATCTATCTGAATTTCTCTTTTCTTTAATTCTTTATCACATTCAAAATGTTTGCCCCAGGTATGTATCCAATTCCTTGCCTTTTTTGATCCACCGAACTTGAGCTAATTATATAATTCTATCAAGGCCAAGAACAGATCTCCAAGGAAGAGATCAAGGTCAGCTTCACGCCATGACCTGTGTCCTAAGTCGTATCCGATACTAACCTCTTTTACAGGCTGGTGAGATTGAGGCCAGCCAGACCGTCCAGATGGCTCTTGCCGGTGGTTTCCTCCTCTACATGTGTAAGTCAAGTATCTGGTCCACAAAGTCTCGAAAGGGCAGACAAACTCGAGACGAGTCAGAGAAGAGCTCAGTGAATTGGAAACTAACATAACCATTCAATACATAGCCCCCTTCGCCGTCGACTTCATCCGAAAGTTCCTTTAAGTCGGTTGACCCGTCTTCCGCTCCTCTCTCTTGCCCTTCCCGGACTGTAATCGACAAATTGCTGGTTATGATTCCGCGATGACATACAGGAGAACTGGATGATTGATTTTTTTTTTCCCCCTGGCATAACTTTTTTCCCAAGATTGGGCAAGGTTGAGCATGGGCACCTAATCTATGAAAACCTCTTGAAGCTCATCTACTATACCTTTTGGGTCCACTGGGTTGTCTTGGTTGGGTGATGTATTACTATTGTGCATATGCTTATTGTCATTTGTGTTTTGTGGGATATAGAGCAAACAGAAGAACTTGCAATATACCAATTTCACAGAAACAGGCATCTGGGTGCCAGATCGAGGTTGCGGTAATGAGTAAATATAACAGAGAGGCGGAGTAGTTTATGGAATATTTGGTATGAAATACTTCATTGATTGCTTCTACCATAGATTGCACCCAGGGTAGTTGCTATTGTCTCACTACAACATACTATTTAATAGGAATAGTCAAGGCATATATTACATAGTATATATATCGCATACAAAATATACGTCTACGAGTAGTCTGCTCACCCAAGTCAAAAGAGCAAAAAGGAGAGAATAGCCAGTTAATCTCAGGTAACTAACGCCAAATGGCATGGAATATAGGGACTTTGATGCAGAAAATAGTAGTAGATATACGTACAACAGAGAGGTCAAGCCATATCAATTTGAGGCAGCCGCAACATAAAGGACTAGAAAGAAGGGCAAGAGGCATCATGGATATTCATTATCACCAATAAATCTACTCAAGACAAAGTGGAATTTAGAGTGTTCAGCAAAGAAGTTTGTATTCAGATATTACAATGGCTTGATCCCCAAGAACGCCGGTACCCCGATGACCGTAGACATTAAGTCCAAACATGTGAGGAAATTGGAATTCGAATTAGCAGATAGAAAACTGTAGAGCAATGCACTCAATTCCCAATCGCTTTCTCCACCTCGCTGAACTCCTTCTTGATGGACTCCATCTCCTTCTGGAGATGCTGAATCTGAGAGTGGTAGTCGTCCAGAATCTAGAAGATATGCATGTTAGTGAGCCGCTCCAGTACGAAGTGTTTGCCAGTTCAGGAATGACGAACCTTCTTTGCTGTCTTCAATGTCTGTTCATCAATGTCATCCTCCGCTTGTGTCACGTTCACACCAGCACGATCCATCTCCACTTGCAGTCGCTTAGAGTGTTCGTGAATGGCCAACATGCGGGCCCAGATTTCTTCAGCTCGGCCATTGAGAGACGGGTCGAAAACGGCACGTTCCAACTCAACAAGCTTTTTCTTCAACTGTTCCTCTGCTTCATCCATGGCATACCCTCTGTTACGAAGGATCTGCGTCTTGGCAGCAAGGGCGAGGCATCGTTTGCTCAGAATAATGTGTTTCCGCCGGCAGTCTGCGATCTTGACGGAGAGATTGAGATCATGCTTCGAGAGAAGTCCGGTCAAGCAATTGTTGATCTCGTGCAAACGCGACTGCATCATAGTGAGGAAGTCCCTTTGTCGCTGCGCGCGTTTACCGAGATCCCAGAAGCCCTTGACAAGCACAGGAACATATCCTGGACCTGGTCGCTTGCGCAAAGCTTCCTCCCATTTTGACTCGTCGTCCTCGGGACCTGGTTGATAGAAAGGTGCGGCCTCCTCGCCGACATTGTTGTACAGGTAGGCTCGGAAAGGCGAGGTCTGGCTTGGGGGGTCCCACTTATCCTTGATGATGGCTACTTGCATAGGAACAGTTCGGTGCACTAGAAAGTAGTTTTGTCAGTGACGCTTCATAGTGAAAGATTACACAATAGTCTCACCGCCAGTGATAGCACGGCCAGGGGACCAAAGGCTTGACGACAGAGAAGGCTGTTGCTGCTGGGGCTGTGGTGTTGTCATTGTATTCTGGCCGAATTGCGATTGCTGCTGACCGAAGGCGTTTGGTTGTTGTTGAGTGTTGGCGCCGAGACCCCCGAGTCCTCCTAATCCACCGGCGGGTTGCTGTGATTGCTGCTGGCCTCCAGAAAAGAGACTGCCTTGCGGTTTCTGTAGCGAGGAGCCGAATGCGCTTCCTTGCGGCTGCTGCTGTGGCTGCCCAAAAGCACTTGAGCCGAAAGAATTCTGAGCCTTCTGTGGATTCCCAAACATCGATCCTGCTTGTTGCTGGGGCGCAGCACCTGTGCCGCCGCCGAAAGCACTCGCGCCAAATGCACCGGTTGCTGTCGCTGCAGGCTGTTGTTGAGTCTGCGCTCCGCCGAACAGTGTGCTAGTAGTGCTAGGCTGGGTTGTGGCTGCTGGAGTGCCAAATAGAGACGGCTTCGGTGCAGTGTTGCCGAACATGGAGGAAGTGTTAGCCTGAGGCTGGGTTCCACCAAAGAGAGACATGATGGGCAATCAAAAAGGCACGAAAAAAAAAAGCACGATAAAGAGTGAGCGCGTCGATGGATCGATGAAGCTGGCGCAGCCAGATTAAGAGCGCTGAAGGGAAATAGAGACAGGCCCAAGGTACATAGTCCAGGGATTGAAGGTTGGCAGTCGAAGGTGAGAAAGCTGAGGGGTTCCTCGATGGAGCTCGAAGGCCGAGAAAGATGAGAGTCGGAGCTCGATTTGTTTGGATCACGTGACGGGCCATTGTTCGCAAACAGCATAAATGGGTATTAAATAGAAGATCTGTATTGATAGTGAATTGATATTAAACTATTGTTCCATTTTTATTGTTCTAGTAGTATTTTCTTTACTGATATATTCAATAAATAAAGGTAACAGTCATTCATACGCTGTATACGCTGTATACCAGCCTGGACAACATGTTACGCTGACCTAAGCACAATCCAACCAGCCAATCACTGACGAGCCAAATTTCATTCCACCGCAACCCGCAGCTCTCTCGATCTCCAAGTCTCGTCTCAATTGCACCTCTTTCCCCTCACCGTCGTCCTGACAAGCCACCCGTCGCCATGGCCCAAAGAGATGCTCGGTATGCACCTTGATTTCAATTGCTTCCTCCCTGTCAAGCTCAATGTGAGACGCTAACCTCTATCCCTCCGTGCACAGCTTCAACCAGACTGTCCTGGTGGACACCACGCCTATGCCCGATCACATTCCCAAAGTGGAGGAGATTGGTGCCACATCTGCGCCCCTGATGAGTGCAGCCTATTTTATTGGAGACCGCTGCAAGGCCTTCAATGATGACTTCATGAAGTGCAAGGACGAGGCCAATGGCCGCGGGGAGATTGACTGCTTGAAGGAGGGCCGGAAGGTGACGCGCTGTGCCGCTAGTGTGTATGTTTCTTTTATAATCTTTGAGTTGAGAAGGCGATATTGACCCGTCACAGCATCAAGGACATCAACACCCACTGCCTCAGCCAGTTCAAGGCCCACTGGGAGTGTCTCGAGAACAACAACCACCAGCTCTGGGAATGCCGCAGGGCCGAGGTGCAGCTTAACAACTGTGTCTTTGACAAATTGGTATGATATACTCCCTTTGCCTTTCAATCATCCCAATCACCCCGCATCCATCGCATCCGCTGTCACCCCCAGACTAGAGCTAATATCCACTTTTCTTGTTTCTTGTAGGGCTTAAAGAAGACCCTCCCTGGTGCCCCCGAGAACCAGGTTCCTGTTCACTTGCGCCCCAAGCAAAAATACGCACAGTACCCCGGTCCCCAGTGGTAAACACTTTCCCGGTATACTTTGTCCTCTCTAGACTCCCCTTGATTACACCCTTCCCCTTCCCTCTCATAATCTGGGCAACGTCTTTTTTCTATATCACTGTTTTATTTGGATGCTCGGCCGTAAATGCGGTCTATGTTTGTGTAAATATCTCTTGGCATCATGAATGGTTACGTGGTTTTCTGCTCAATTTCCAAATCTCCAAATCTCCTTGCCTTGCCCACACGGATTGGGGAATATGTTTTCCAACCCATTGCAGTTCGCAATGGCATGGTTTCAAGTTGGCAGTAGCACGAACTCACATGCTGACCGCTGGCTCGAATACATCCTCGGCTTGATGCATATGTAGGTAGCCATTGCAGTAAAGAAGCTAGGCACAGTACACCTTGCGGGTATCACACACTGACAATCCTCGGCGGGGAATCTTGTATACACTGGCTACCGCTCAGACTCACCAATGTACCGCAGAGTCTTGCCATGTATATAACATGTCCCAGCTACGTTTTCCTTCCGATCTTTGACTCTGTCCAACTCATAACAACCAGGTGTGGCCGGTTTTTGTTCTGGGGCCTGTGTAAATTCCTCAATCCTCAACAACTGGCACTCAATACTTATTGACTATCATTCTAGGTGGTGATAGTATACATGTAGGTAGCGCTATGTGGAACATAAAGCTTAGCTGCCGATTATATTGTCTACAGATGCTTCGGTCATTGCAAAAAATAAGTACGGATAATATCTTGCTGAGTATATCGAGCTCTGTGATCCTAGACTAACAAATCTTTGAGAGATCTGATCTAACGATATTTTCTCTACCAGAATACCGATCTAGACTAAGCACTTTTCCGGGCTGATACAAAGGCTTAGCATCAACCGTTCTGCAGAGTCTGAACTGAAATGACCGATTGTTACATTCTATACGGAGTAATCCGAAGGAATCCATAATTCTCATCGTCATTCACCTGACTGGATTGCAGGGTTTAGGCTGCTAGTCAATGTGTGTAATTGAGCCCTAATTCCGGCCTTCCGACTTACTACATGGTGTAACCAAGCCTTTGAGATAATGCGAAACATAACTAGGTAACTTTTTATTGAGGATCAAGATTCTACTTACCACAGCATGGATTGGTAGCAGTGGCTGGTTTGGTAATGGAAGTGTATGTGAACTATCTCAGTACAGAAAGCAAGTTATACAACCCAAGTACGAAGGCCCAAGGTATGAAAAGATGCAAAGAGAGAGAGGCTAAGAGTGAGGCCAAGAGTACGCTTAGATCCCGATGTACGAATAGCGGACCTCCGGCATCTATCTATAGACATCTCGAGAGGGATAGATGCAGGTATCAAACTCTCCACCGAAATCCGTGCATGTGCAACAAGGAAACAAGTACATACATAATTTATACAAAAGCTGCCCTTATTTCTCTTGACGAATCTCCATATTTAGGTGCTACTTGCCACTATAGTCTGAACCACACACTCAGGTTGACATGAAGTCGACAATATTCTTGATTCTATCGTTATGGAGAGGCGTCCAAGACGTCCAAGCAGCCGCCGTATTCGCTCACTTTATGGTAAAGTCCCTCAACTATGGTTTATATCTCTGCTAACCTCTATCCCAGGTATACAACTCGGAGAACTTCACCGTCTACGACTGGGAAATCAATATCGCAGAAGCGCAAAAGGCCCACATCGACGCCTTTGCCTTAAACATCGCATACAACTTCCCCACAAACAACCGCTCCCTATCCAACGCATTCACCGCCGCAAACGCTCTAGACTTCCAACTTCTATTCTCATTTGACTACGTAGGTAACGGTGCCTGGCCAGAAGGCGAGGTGATCGGTCTACTCCGAAAGTACGGAAAGAACAGAGCCTACTACCAACACAAGGGTAAACCCTTCGTATCAACCTTCGAAGGCGCCTCCAATGCCACAGACTGGGCCACCATCAAACAATATACAGACTGCTTCTTAGTACCGGGGTGGTCCGCCCTAGGCGCGAAAGAAGCACTCGCTGTCGCCCCAGGTGTTCCAGACGGACTGTTCTCATGGGCCGCATGGCCCGAAGGCCCAGACCCAATAAATACATATGTAGACTCAACCTACATGCAATGGCTCAAAGACACAGGCGAACTGCCGTACATGATGCCCGTCTCGCCGTGGTTCTATACGAATCTGCCAGGTTACGGGAAGAACTGGATCTGGAATGGTGATAACCTGTGGTATGACAGGTGGCAGCAAGTAATATCCCTGAAGCCTGAATTTGTGGAGATCATCTCGTGGAATGATTACGGCGAATCGCACTATATCGGCCCGCTGCATGAGGGTGCATACGCGACCTTCGAGATCGGTAATGCAAGCTACAACTATGCTGCTGGTCACCCGCATGACGGCTGGCGCGACTTCTTGCCTTTCATGATAGATGTCTATAAGGGGGCTAGGGCGAATGTCACCACCGAAGGCGTCACTGCTTGGTTCCGTCAGTCGCCTGGGAAGGCTTGTACCAGCGGTGGCACTATGGGTAATACAAAGACGCACGGTCAGAAGGAGTTTCCACCTACGGATGTCTTACAGGATGAGGTATTCTACACTGCACTTCTGCGAACTGCCCAGGATGTAGAAGTGACGGTTGATATTGGTGGCGTCGTACAGGATGGGAAGTTGAAGAATAAACCACACGGTCCAGTCGGCCTTTATCATGGCAGTGTGCCATTCAATGGTAATACTGGGCAAGTTATCGTGACGGTATCTCGTCGAGGAGAGACCGTTGCTGAGATGCGGGGTGCATCGATATCGGAATCCTGTCTGGATGATATTCAGAATTGGAATGCCTGGGTTGGCACCAACTTTGCTAATAATACCATTTCACGTCATCCGCCTTCTCCAGCTCCGACTTCGACTTCGACTTCTGTTTCTGTTTCTACTGCTTCAGCTCTTTTGTTGCTGGGGAGGATTCCATTTATTGTTTTCGTGGTTTTGGTTGCGAGTATGGTGGCTGCGACAACGCCTGTTCAGCATGAGAAATTGGTTTTGACTGTCCCGATCTCAGAAGTTTCTCCATTGGTCTATAACATTGGCGCCAGTGATGGCAATGCTAGAAGCCTATATAGCCATGGTACTAGCTATGGTTTATATCCAATCGACTATCCTTACGCAACGACAATGGAGGCTCCAGTCTTCACCTCAACCGGTACCACAGCTTTCGCATACGACTCTTGGAATTTGGACTGGTCTTGAAAGTATTCTATAGTTAGCATGCAGGGTCTAAGTTATCACTACATATCCTGAGCAATACGATATAAGGTCCGAAGAACATTAAAGATGTCGAGACCATTCATTACTTGTTGACCTTGGAAGGGTATTATCATATTTATGTCTTAAGAGAATATCACAGGCCAAACTTTCCATTTTGAATAGAAACAAAATAGAAACCAAAAGCAGAAAATGATATACATTATCATCTAAGCTTGTCTAAGTCCTATACATCTAGACTGATGTCTGCATCTATAAATCGATTAAGTCATTTTAAGACACACGTATCACCCCAAAAGAAAGCCGAAGATAGAAGTAAAAGGAATCCGACCTGAAATTGAAACCCATATATACTGGACAAAAGAAAAATAGAAAAATAGACACAAGAAGGTAAAGAGCACCAAGGTAGATGAGTAGGGATGATGTGGGAATAGTCAAGCAATGCCAATGAAGGGAAGATGCAGAAAGGAGTCAAGAAGCCGAAAATAAAAGAAAAGAGTCAAGGTCAAGGTCATCGTCCAAGGGCCCTTTTATGGTAAGATAGGCATATCCACCATCTTCAGTCGCTTAAACTTCCCAAGCCTGGCCTTAACAGCCGCCCAGCCAGTCTTAAGCCGCTGCTCAACACGACGATCTCCCCTCAACCGCATCCAGATAAGTAGCATGCCTAGCATAGCAATATCAAACAAGATCTGCCGGACAGCAACCCAAATCATCCACTTCAGCCACGCCCAGAAACCAGACCGACGACGCTGCGCAACAGACCGAGCTTCCATCTGCTCACGCACAGCAGCAATTTCAGCCGTCATTTTCGTCAAGGCCTGCTCGACACGGCGGCGCCAGCGACTGTCTTTCGGTGGCTCCGAGTTGGAATGGGAATCTCGGCGATGTGGAATGAGTCCTGTTCCACTGCTGTTTGTACTAATACCAGAGGCAGGATTGCGTCGATGTTTGGGACGGTGCGAGGAGACCTCGGTACTTGTATGTGTGTTGGAGCTAGCGTCCGGGTCGTGATCGTGGTCTTGATCTCGTTCTTCGTATAAGCTATCACGAGCTTCCTCAAACTCTTCATCATCCTCATCATCATCCTCATTATATCGACCTCCATCCTCGTTTCCTATACCCCTCCGTCGTCGATAATACTCCTCCTCCTCGGGCTGGCTCACTGGACTGAGAACCCGTAACCGAGAATCCCGATCCTGTCGACTACCATCCCGTCGATCAGGACGGTCATATTCCTCCGATTTAGCCAATCGGCTCCCGATACTCCCATAGGCACTGCGCGATAAGGGCGGGACACCAACAGTATTCAATGGGGAATCGGAGGAGGCGTTAAACTTGATCTGGTCCCAGACGAACTCGAGCTCTGCAACTAGCTCGCATGCTTCGGGGGTTTGGGAGGCGTATTCGTGCATCGTGTCGATCAGTGTCGAGATGTATCGGCGTTTGGCTTCGGTGCGCGACAAGTCGCGTTGAGCGTACCATGCATCCCTACACAAGACATTGTTAGTATTAGATGTAGAACGATGTTCATAGAGCAAAATCCACATCTAATAGCGAAGAACATACCATTTCTCGCACTCCGCATGTACCTCCGACGTATTCCCAATCGGTCGATCCATTACACCTTCCACATCCCCCTCTAATCGAATATTAGCTCCTGCTTCCCCATTTCCGGGTAATGCGACACTCACCCATACTCTGCTTATACAAGCCATATAGTGCCAACCGCTCGGCAGCGGGAGGTCGCGCAGTGCCGGTCCGAGGAATTCTCTTAACTGTATTAAGGGCATGAACAAAGACTCGATCTATGGATGTCAGTAGAATCCGAATGCGGGCGGTATGTCAACACACACCTACAGAGTCCGACATGACGCGATAAGCGGTTGCCCTGTCTTCATGGGAGCGGGGTTGGGCATCGGCTTCTAGTCCTCATGGGGAGGGTTTGAAAAATACTATGTAGTATGTTGATATGTTATGAGGGGAGTGAAATGGGGGGATTGTTCCGATAGGAAGTTGAGATTCTCCCTGTGCCTCGGGTTGTGGTTTTTTTTTTTCCCCGGAATGTTGTTTTTTAATTTTTCCCCAGATTGAACTTGAATTGAATTGAAATAGAATAAATAAAAGATTCAATCCAATTAAAAAAAAATATAAAAAAAAGGAGAAAGAATATGAGAATGTTGGACCGCGGCTCTCGGCGATCAAGGCACTTGTGATTGTCCCGAAATTACGTTCTAACATGTTCATATGCAAAATATATCCTAATGTATCCTAATAGAATGCTTTGAATTGTTTAAATATCTACTCACTCGGTAACTTCTTCATAGTCTCCAATGGTTTCTCTGCATCCACCGGTGTACCTGTCATAAACTCCGTCGCTGCGTGCGCCTCTTCACTGCTAACAGGAGGACCAGTAAAGTGCTTACGGGCATAAACAAAATACCAGAAGATACTGATACCAGCAAATCCAGCAAAAACAACACTGGCGTAATTCATAGACTCCGGTGTAACAGGTAATGTGACAGGCATGCAGAAGAGAGCGACAGCCAGAATAATCCACACAATAGTCACACAATTAATGGCAAATCCAAAGCGACCGAGGGAGAAAGAAGAATCTTTCACGGCCCGGCGACCTCGGACTAAAGAAATCAAAATCGGTAAACCGTAAGAAGTTGACAGACAGATAGTAGCCACACCGGTGAAGGAGTTGAATGCAGCGGTGGAACCGAAATAGATCAGTCCTAATAAGCCATCCACGACCGCCGAGAGTACTACAGCCCAGACAGGGACGTCCAGTTTTTTGTTCACCCGACGCCAGAGCTTGAAGCCAGGAATAGCGCCGTCACGGGCGAATGCATACGTGCAGCGACTGGCAGCCGTGAGGGAGCCAATCCCGGCGAACAGCATAATCCCCAAAATCAGGAAGAGTAAGCCAAAGCCACCGCCTGCAGAACCAGTAACTGTCTTGAAGAGACGGCCGATGGGTTGGCCGCTGGCGACTTCTCGCAGCATCTGCACGTTGGGCATCACGAATAGAATCGGGATTAAATAGAACAAGCCCGTGACGCCAGCAGCTACCACGGATAATACAATTGCCTTGGGTACCTCGCGGTGGGGGTTCTGCACCTCTTCACACATGGCAGCGACCATTCCGTAACCCGTCAGGGTGTATGCTGCCTGCAGCAAGCCCACGAAGAAGGCCCATCCATCTGGCCAGCCACTCTGGGAGGCATCATAATGAGCGAAGACGTATTCGGCGTCTCGGCGGTTGTCGGCCATTGTCAAGAGCGTGATGAGGATGATGATGACGCTGGCTGCGGTCCAGAAGATACAGACTTTATTGATGAGATCGAGATAACGCGAGAAAAAGATGTTGACTAGGGCACAGAAGAGCATAACTGCCCAGAACATCAATACGGTCTGCCAGGCGTTGGCGACAAAGGATTCATCGAAGATGGATATCGCGCTGAGTATCAGTTGACCGCCGGAGAAGATGATGCTCAATGTGACGGTCCAATTACCGACGAGGGTTAACCAGCCATCAATGAAGGACATCAATGGTGCCCAGCGGCGCGTCGAGAGCATGGCACTCCAGTAATATACGCCTCCGGCTGTTGGATAGACCGCGCAAATCTCTGCGAGAGATGCGGCGATAGCGATTGAGATCAGGGAGACGAATACCCATCCCCAAAGTATAGTGACAGATTGACCGTCGGCGAGGGTGATGTAGAGGGTTGTGCTCAGTCCAAAGGGAGCTGCCATAATAGCAAAGGATAATCCGAGGATACTCAGCATACTCAGGTTTCGTGGTAATTCACTCTTGTAGCCCATACGGGCCAATGCCTCATTGGCAGCAACATCAGATGGATTTCGCATATTGGTGTGTGAAGTTGAACATTAACATTCCAAGTAAGAGTTGATATAAGAAACCCCGCATGGAACAACATACGCGGTCCGGGACCGCGCACTAAAGTTTAGGTGAGGCAAAAACGGTGTGAACGAATAACAGAAGGAATCTATGGCTTATCTCAGATAGATAGATATATATATATATATATATTTTTTTTTCTAGACTTATAAAGGTCTTATGACTTTACATAGATAAGACAATTTTGACCCACTTAATTCCCCCTATTTTAGTATTATGATAGATATGAAGATTAATATATTTGTTGTACGGAGTACACATGTTGATAATACTACCTACTATTTCCATCTGACTAGATTGTGGCTGAGTAATATATTTGAATACGAACACCAAAACATTCATGGATAATAGTACGGAGTAGATTATTGAGTAATGAATATCCCATTCTACTCTCGAGCTTATACAACATAGATACCAAATTCATAAAGCGGAGTTCCCCAGTGTTTGACATCATAAAATGATCTACAGTGGGGTTACCAACAGCGCGGCAGAGCTCCAAAGAGAACACATATACTGGAATACGGGATATGCTACGGAGTACATGATTTATATTGGACTTTGTAAAAGAAATTTAGGAATTGGAAAAAGAATATTTGATTGCACACATACATCAAGGTCACGCGAGGTGACGGCTGCCACATCAATTCCCCAGAATTGATGAGCGCCAGGATATATCAACAAGGGGGGGGATTAGATCAAAGGTTAAAATCCAAGTCCAGTAAAAGGGGTATCAAAACAAATGTCCAGTGACCTCGCTGGAGAGATTTTTTTTTTTTGGGGTTTATCTAATAGAACAGGGAGATCAGTGGAAGGGCGAAAGTAGGCCCTGAGTTGTTGAAAAAGGGGGCGAAAAGACGAGGGAAAAAGGGCTTTTTTTCTTTTTTCGGAGGAACCGTGCAAGTTGAAAAAAAAAAAAACTCCGTCTATGTGACTGAGGTCAGACCGCCTTTTCCAGTCGCGCCTTGAATAAAAATGAAATGAACGTTGAGTCGTGACCAGCCAGCTAGTGCCAACTCCAAATCGTAAAAGAAACAGGACCATGATCGTCAGTCGAGGTCGAATGAAAAGAGAAAACGCCCATTCATGCAGAGTCGTCAGTCCGGTGAAGTCGTTACATGAAATGCAAATACAGTCGAGGTAAACGCGAGTTTTTTTTTTTAAAAAAAAGGTGAGACGAGACATTTATGGACTTAGTCCGAGGTCATCGTTCATATCTGGGCCAAAGCCTGCCATATCGACAGAGTGTAAGGATCCAGGTCCCTTGCCCAGAGAGATGTCGGAGGATGCATAGTCATGTTTGAGTCGTTCGTGCGGTCCGAAGATATGTGGTCCGAAGAACGGTCGATTCTCGTCATTGGGGGTATTGCCATCCCCGCCAACCCACGGCCCGTTCTGCCAGAAGCGGGTGTTGGCTTGCTGATCTCCGAACAAATCGTGGTGGTCTGGATGAGGGTCTGGGCCGTGGATGGGGAACTCATTTGGCGACTGGTATCGTAGATGCGACCGACCGAAACTGGAGCATGGAGAATCTGCGTGGAGCGGCATATCTAGACCCGAAAGAAGGGGAGGATCCTCCACCGGGGTAATGTCAATTGTCGGATTGTTGGTTTGCTGTGCCAGAGCCGCCGACAATCGAAGATTCGACGATGAACTTTGCCGGCTGTGACTAGCCGACCGCTCGATTGCACGCTGCACGAAGCTACCACAGGCCTTCAAGATTTTTTCCTGATGCTCCTGTGGCAAATTGTTGAAGTAATCGTTCGACAGTGATGGCTTGGGCGGGTCATCTGCCGCAGGAACCAATCCATAGGTAGTCTTGGCATATTCAGAGAGACCGGACGGCATGTTGTAGGGAGATTGATAGACATTGGGTGCCAGCGACCGCTGTTGATCAAGGTAGGCATATTTTCCAGGCATCTTGGCAGCGGCGACGCTCCCTCGATCAACCGTCTCCTGCTTAATTCCTTCCGATTCCTTCTTCTGAATTACATCAAGTCGCTCACGGTGGCTGACGAGTGAAAACCGGAGCATCTGAAGGAGCCTCGTGACCTCCTCCGACCGCATATTCAGAGTTTGAGGCGGTAGTAGAGTGCCATCCGCAGCCCGTGGCTGAACCCGTTGTTGGGCCATGGCCAGCTCCAGTTTTTCAAGGCCATTGGCGGGAGGTATTGAGCCCATAGGACCTAGCAGAGTCTCGACGACCAATTCGGGGCTAACGATAGTGTATCCGGCAAAAACATTGGCGTGGTCGGTAATCTGTGCTAGGCGGCGGCGAGCAATAAGTTCTCGAATATTGGCAAAAGTATTGGTGGATTGGAGGTGATGCTGCTGCTGATGCGACTTGGCCGAAGGATAGGGGGCATGACGGGCAGACTGGGGTAGAGTTCGAAAGGCCGACGGCATCGCAGTTCCAGCAGCAGCACCGGTAGCAGGTATAAGAGGAGGAGGGAGGTGCTGCAAGGCAGAAGAGGGCGGTCGGGATTGAGGGGTGTTGACATTCGAAATATTCAAGTCTCGGTAGGGAGGGGTAGCATAATGAAAGTGGTGGGGTGAGATCTTCGATGCACGAGCGCTGACATCCATGCCAAGCGACTTGACGCTGTCCAGGAAATTGGCCCGTGGGTTGTGGATGGACACGCTAGGGTTGTGTGTATACTGTGCCCTACTTTCGGTGGACTGCATGCCCAAATAATACCACATCTCTTGAAGGTTGACCGTACGTAGTGGGGCGAATTGGTTTCTAGTGCCATCCACCGTTTCGAATTCGGCCCACTGATAGGGAGATCGTGAATCACCAAATGCACTGCCTGCCGCTGGTACCGCTGATTCTAACTCTTTTCGTTCAGGTTTTCGCGCTAGGTGGGCTGGGAGGGGTTGAATTCCTAGTGCAAGGGGTGTAAAATTGCTCTTACGAACAACTAACATCCATCGATAGGGCATTTCAATCACATCTCTGTAGATTTATTAGTAAAAGAGAGAGAAAAAAAGAAGAGGGGAAGAAAAAAAAAAAAAAAAAAAAAAAAAAAAAAAAACTTACCCCCTTGGGAAAAAATTAAAAAAAAAAAAGAAAAAAAGAAGAGGGGAAGAAAAAAAAAAAAAAAAAAAACAAACAAACAACTTACCCTCTTGGGAGTACTTTGAGTAAAAGACTTCGTTCCGAAGGACGATTTTCAAGAACAATGGCGCCATTAATCTCCTTGTCGGCTTGAAATTGGATCAAATTTCCTTGCGCCAAACGACGAGCCGATTCGATTACCCGGCGATCCACATCGGACGATTCACCCAAGACTCCATTCGGTCGCTTCTGACGATGGAATTTGCATTTCAAATCAACACTCGGAATTGAGTATTGAGTACCATCGTCTGCAATCACAGCAATTGCACCTTGCTCAACTTGAACACCTGCTAAAAGGGCACAAGTTGCATGATAAGCGCGCGTGCATTTGCCAAAGTTACACTGGAAGCAGGCACCGCGGACTTCGCGGCAAAAGAGACATTTCAGACCCAGGCGAGCCTTGGGGATCTTATCAATGTCACACACAACTTCCGTACCTGATGCATCACGGAGAATTGTGGTCTCTTCAATGAATGCCGCACACCGTCTATGCGCATGCCCTTTACCATCTTCGGTCGGAAGAAGGTCCTCATAATCCAGATTGTTGGGGCATAACAAACACGGAAACTTCCGTGGTCCTTCGGGGTGGAGTTTGGGTCGTTTGCTGGTCGGCCCGTCACCCGGGTTCTTCCGTTTTCGGCCACGAGTGGATGTCTTCTCAGGCACACTACGTGGCGGTGTAAGAAGGTCGGAAGCACCTTCGAATCCGTCGAATTCGCTCTCAAATTCACCATAATACTCAGGTGTGCTCTCGCCACGTAGCTTGCGCTCAATCTCATCCACATCGATCCAGACACTGTCTGCTTCGCAGTGGCACTTCTTAGCGATGCGGGCATAGTCTAACCATTGCTCGGTCGCGAAGTTGACTGACTCGGCGCAATTGTATCCGACGTTATATCCAGAGTGGTACCCATAAGGGAATGTGATGACAAACTCCCCTTCGTAATGAACCAATCGGTTGACAGTAATCCCATATTGCGATTTAAGAAGGCTAGGTGAGACGAGATAGGTTTTGTGGCGAAGGAATTGATCGCAGTTCTTCGCATCACTTGACCAGATACTGCGCATGGCCTGTTCAAAGCGAGGTGCATCTTCTTGGGAGATGCTGTACCACTGCTTAGGGGCACCGAAGTGGATGTAGTTGATGCTGTACAGATCTACATCCTCAAGATGCCAAGCAAAGGTAGCCTTCCACATGCCCATGTAGAGATAAGCAGTGTTGACCCCAGGAACTTTCTGCCCGAGAACATCCAGAAGATTCGGCAATTTGGCGACATTCCAGGTTTCCGTAGAATCCTCGAAGAGCGAACCGGGCATGTCAGCACCGTACATCGGGTTGTTGTACATGAGCGACTTCCAGTAGTTAGTCTCAAGCTCTTCGCATCTTTCCGCAGTATATTCTTCGTGATCGTGGATTCGGTAATCAAATCCTGTGTATGCTTCCTCATCAACTTGATCCATAGGATCGCCTCGGTTGTTCTTTCGGCGCGAAGTCACGGACTTAGGCTGTCGTCCCTTTGGTTTTGTAGTGGGTAGGGATTCGCCTTCACTTAAATCCTCAGTCTTTGGCTGCACGGGGTTGGTCTCGGGTGATACAGGCGTCGGAGGACCCTCTAATCTGGACTTTTCGGTATCATCTGCAGGGGGCTCCTCTTTGACCTTATTTGTACGCTTAGGTGGACGGCCAGGCCGGCGCTTCTGGCCTTCAGGACGGACAGACGGGGGCCGTGGGGTCGGGGCCGCACGGTTCACGCGTTCTTGGTTTCGGCGTCTCTCTCCTCGGCGAGCAGGGGGTTGGTGGCTACTTTCTTCACACAGACCCTTCCACTGAGGAAGGTTGTACGAGCGTTGGCGTTCGATATTGGCTTGGGTGTATGTACCGTGGGATCCGTGAAACTCCTGCATGATGGGGTTCTTTACTCGAATTTTCTTGACTGCCTCGTCCAGGGGTGGAAGAGACTCAGACCTTTTAAAACGAACAACACCATGAGCACAGCCATCCACACTGGTCGTAATTTGATCCACTCACCATTCTTTTGGAGGAATGACTTTCACGATGCCTGCCTGCATTCCATATTTATTGATTTTGTTGATGAAGCCCTGGAAATCTCGGAATTGCTCCATTGTCTAAAACAATACCCCAGTCAGCCTAGCTCTATAGGGTGTAGGCTTTACTGCCCAGCGTGATGGAAGACACGAAATCTCTAACCCCCGATCATCGAGGAGCTGGAACATTCGGGCTGTACTCACCGGCTTAAAAACAGGAACCTTGCCGCCGCCATAGTAATGATCAGGTTCAAATTCTTCAATTTCCTCAACTTTCTCCTCCACTTCCTCTTGCTTAATCTTGGTTGTATTTGGTGCAGGTGCAAATTGGTGGTCGAGCTCGAGGTCGGATAGCTCGGAGGGCACGCCTTCGGGCGCTTCCTTCTTGCCGTTCGCACTCTGCGGTGGAGTGATGGAGACGGATTCAACGACGGGTTCACCTCCAAGCGAGTCGCGTTGCGACTGGTCGAGTACTGTCGCCATCATCGAGGGTGGCAGAGGAAGGTTGGGGGAACGGTTCGGTAGATGTGATTGCCGTCGTCGGATAGTGCGACCGCTGATCGACGGCGAGAGGGAAGTATTTCCCAGCGGTCGGGGAAATTTGCAACAAGAGGTGCGACCGAGGTGAACTGGAGTGCGATATTGTTGAAGTCAAAGGGCACCCGTATTGGTGGTGTGAGGGTTGTTAGTACACTCAAGGAGTGTACAACGGAGGTACTTGAAACGATTGCGATAAGCTCTTTCGGATGATTGCTTTTGCCTAGACTGAACGGAAAAAGCAAAATGTCTTAGTCAAGTCACCAGCACAAAAGCAAGGATTCGTGCGGTAAAAGATGAGAACAAGAGGTGTAGTCAGAGGAAACTCTTAAAGCAAAAGATCATAAATCTGCAAAAAGCAGCGGTTGGTTCTCCATGGAAAAGGTAGAGTGCAGTAGTATCAGAAATAGACCAATCATGCAGGTGCTGGTGACGCTTGAAGGTGGAGTTCACGATGGGCTGATACTGAAAGGAAAGGCAGGGGCAGGTGGGCACAGGGTGAGGAATGATGGGCTTGAAATTCGACAAATCAGAGCGCAAAGATGGGAAGGGTGGGAATCGTCCGATCAGAGAGTAAAGTGGGCGACTTTGGCCTGGGCGCCTAAGGAGCCGCGAAATGATTTGTACTCCGATTTCGGGTGAAAGGATTGATCTTAGGGGATGATATTGATCGCAAACAAGTTTAAACTTACCAAATCACTGGAATGACAAATACTGCCTATGAAACCATAGGAAATGAAAAGAAGCAAAGGTGGTATCACGATGGTCAAGATAGAGCTTGGTCAAAGCACCTTGAAGCTTTGGTTGTTCTGGTCACATGACAATATGTAATTTAAGATGATGTGTTATGTTACATGTTAATTTACAGTGAAATTCGGAACATTACAGGTATGAATATGACAATACATGTTATTGTCACGGGCTCATAATCTCGGATAGCATCGGACCCCTTGATGAGATCAGCAACATTCATAGCCCTCCAGGGCTGGAGCCCCTGGAGCCCTGGAGCTACATCCAGGTGTGTTCAGTGAAAACAAGGATTTTATGCTATACACATAAATAAATACTCTAATTATATCTCCTAGCATTATTGTTAATCTCACTTCCCATCAGCTTATATTATCCCAGAAAAAGCAAGGTGTTCGATGAGGCTCTGCGATTTGGGGGTGGTTGCACAGTGTCGTACATCATGTACATGTAGGTAGATATGGATGCATTAATGATCTATGTCTATATGTAGCCAGGTGAAATATAAGTACACAATACTATGTACAACATATGTAACTCGGGACCTAGATTGTATTCGGTGCAGATGTACGGAGTACGGAGTACTCCGTAAAGAAAAGTACATGAGACTAGGTCGGTCCTTTTTGGAAACTAAATTGTAGATCTGTGGATGTATGATGGTTGTTTTGTATCTCCGAGATCTAGTATTACTATGTAGTTAGAATATTGAGGCCAAGGCGCTTGGATCAACTTTTGTATGATCGCCAGCTATGTTGTAGCTCTTCAAAGTTATTGCACCCATTCATCGAACAATTTGGCATCCATATTAGTATATCCATCGACAACCTCCAATCCCCGCAAGCGTTCCTGTTCAATACGCTCCCAGGTCCACTCTTCGACATTCCACGAGTCGGTATTCTCCTTCTGTTGCTTATCCAGTACCTCCTGCCCAGGAATATTGTCATCATTCATCTTCAATACTTCCCGAACCAACGATCCGTCCATGCCTCCTGTAGCCGTTATACCTTCGCCATTACCAGGAGTATCAATACCGGAAGCTTCGGCCGATGAGTCGACGTCGGCTAGTGCGGTCTTCGTTTCACTCTCTTGGGGCGACGTGGGGAGGAATCCGCTAGCGCGCAGAATCCGCTCCGGGGGAACGGTCAGCCGACCCTTTTTGACGACGTACTTGCTAACGCCCACGGCAAGGATCACCTTTTCGTCACTTCTGCGGCGTGCAGGTCGCATGAAGCAAGTCAAGACGTACAGCCACTTTGCATCCCAAGAGAGCACCTTGGAGTGCATCTCATATAGTTCGAATGGCTTAATTTCGCGCTTGAACGTACAGTAAACAGACCCGAGCACAATCAAAACTGGCTTACGCCTCGGCGCCGGCTTTCCCTCTTTCTTGCTGGCGACTAGGAACTCCTGGTCTAGCTCCTTGCTCACATTGCCGACTCCAGGACTATAGATTCGGCTCACGAGCGCTGTACGTGAAACGTCGAGATCCGTGAAGTAAGTGCTGTTCGATTTATGTAGATTGTAATCGGTCTCAAGCAACGGCGTACGAGATGTGACCATGCATGGCACAAAGATGGGATGCGTTGGTTTCCCTCGGGAATCCACGATAATTCTCCCCTTGGGAAGAAGTGGCGCACTGGGTTTCAAACGCAGGTTGCCAAAGAAATGATACAGCAGGCGGAGCTATTGACTCGGTCAGTAGTGTAGCATATCGCGGAGAAAGGTCCTCCTGAATAAGGGGCCAAAGGAACACTTACGTGCCAGACAAATGGGAGACTTTTCAAGTTAATCACTGCCAGAAACAAGGCTAGATTTCTCCATGAGGCGAGCGATATTACACCTGCTAGTATCTCGCGTGTATTCTCCATGATCACGACTCCAGGTACCGGTAATTGAGCCGGGAAATAAAGACAGAAAAGAACGTCTGGTCGTTTCGTACAGGTACACAACGTTTTGACTAGGATATACTCCAGTTCATCTATAGGTGTCTCGGGGGATGAGATCGGTTTCAAAGTCTTGGCCAAACCACATTTGAAGAAATACGGAATGTATAACAAGGAACGGAATGGCAAGCTTAAGTTCACCTGAGGCGAGTCTTAAAGCCCTGCTTATCACAGATGATGACCATCGCCGTTTTGTTGGGAGCCGAGGCATGGCACGTGATATTATGATTAGTCAAGGTCCGAGGGCTCTCTGGGGCTAATTTTCCATGTTAATCAACCATTCTGGTTCAAAAAAATTTCGATGATACGATATAATTGATATGTGAATAATTCCAATAAACTATGGGTTCAAAGGAATTGATTGTTGGCTGAATTTTTATGCATTAATCTAAATATATATCGCCGCATTCGCCCTATAGATCTATGATCTCTAAATTGGTGAGAAAGTTGTTGAGCCCGTTCAATCTCCCATACATAACTATGGGCTTTATGCTTCCTAAAAATAACCCCTCAATCAAGGAGAACAATCTAGTTTTTACCATACTGTGCTTGGGTAGTTGGATTTCCCATACTCATATGCAGAAGCATTGAGAGTGCACCATCATCTAAAACTAGCGGGAAGGGAAAAAAGAGAAAATACTGACCATATAAGTACGTGCATATGTATCATTAGGGATAAATATTGTAATTGTGCGAAAAGGTTGTATGTGTTTAAGGTATACCATACATATGTACCTATGGTAGATATGAAGTGAATCAAGTCAAGAGAGATGACCAAGAACGCCAGTCTCCCGAGGTCTGCACCTTTTGCCCAACTTAAACTTCCAACTGCGACTCAGTTCAGCAGATGTGTTATGGAACATTCCATCGTAGGGATATTTCGGATTTCAATACGTACGGTTTATATTTCAGATCTTCCAACTTGATTCTCCGCATTGGATCTCTGAACACAACGGCCTGATCTTACCGCGTTGAAGGCGGAGGCAGCAGAAATAGTCACACATTCTGTTGTCATCGGGGACCAAAAATACCTCTTTTGTAGACCTGTGCTTCAGCGGATTATAAACTGCATGGATGATAGGGAACTATGTGGTCTTACTAATTACCTAGACTTGCTCGCTGTAAGTATATGTTTAGCATTACAATAGTCCCAACTTGGAACTAGAGCACAATACTTCATATTCATTCCACATTTTGGCGACAGATGTCTCTTTTCTTCTGTCCGTTGACGTTATCTTGATTGATACAGCTCTGATCAATGTTGGTGCCCGAAAATTACTCGGATACATGCTTGCTGCCATGGGTGTGGCTCTGGCGCAAGACAATGTACTTTGCAATCTTCATCCACAACTGACCCCCAAATAGTAGAGAGAATTGAAAGAAAATGGATAGTAGGTGTATATTCTTGGATTCCCTCGCCATAAATAACATTCAACCATCTATATCGTAGAAAATTCTCGCATCATAGCCCACATAATGAAATCCTCCAACGAATCCCAGAACCCTTTAGGACATCTCTTGCTACCAACAACAGTGAACCCTTGTTTTAACCAGTAGGCACCAGTGTCTTCTTTAGTGACCCGAATCATAATGCGTATCGGAGACGACACATCTTTTCCATTGACCCGATACCGCCGCAAAATCTCTTCTTCACACGCCTTCACAAGATGCCCAGCAATGCCTCTGCCGCGGTATTGTGGACCTGGCGGAAGTGCAACAACGGCTAACTCATAGTCTCCAGGACAGGCATGTCGGTGAAGCATTTGATCCACGAATCTATTGTGGGCTGTGTTCTTGTCCTCAACCTGATTTGCATCATGCCCGTTTTCGGTAGACATCCAAAGGCCGTCATCTGTCCACTTCTTCATACTTGCGGTCCCGATGACCTCGATCTTTCGATCTTTCCCATCTCCAACAAGTGCCACTGCGGTGAATCCGTCTGCACCGAGCTCCTCGGATAGTGTAGAGTCAGTGTGTAGTCGAGTCTTGGTTGTGGCAAACTTTAGTTTAGTGGTGTGGCTGACACGGTAGCTAGCGTTCACCATCTGGGTGAGGTCTGAGATCCAGGGTTAATCGAGAAGATCTGATGATGTATATAGCTTGATATGGAAGGTCATTTTGGGATCCATGTTTGGGTCCGGTATTGGGAAGGCCAAACTGGAGACCAAATAAAATATAAAATGGTCCACGAGTAGCCTGCTCGTCTTATTCAATAAGCACTACACACCAATTTACTAGCAACACACTATCCGCTAGACTACTTTTCAGTTATGTCCGACCAGCGGAATTTCTCTATTCAATTTCCACTGTGGGGTTGGTGAGTCACAAAAGCCCATACCATTGCCGGCCTCGGAGGTTTGAGTATCCGAGAGCTGAGCTGATACGGAGGATTACCAAAACCATCTATATTCCCGAGATATATAGTACAATAGCGCGATTTACAAGTCTTTTGGAACTCTAAAATCTGAAACTAAAGATGATTTCTTTGACCTATCTGATCTGTAGGTAATGGTCCAGGATTTGTTGTTGCAGAAAAGGTAGACATGGGGCATCAATGAACCAGAAACAATCGAACCATAATCATGGGGGTCCATAAGTCAGGGAGACTTAGATCACATACTGTCAGGAGTGAGTATATAGTTTCAAAAAGAAGTTGCAATAAAAACTCACCGGAATGAAAAGGCTTGGCACCTGCTTCTCGTACTCATCCCATGTCTTCCCATACTTGGTTTTACATTTGTTGATATCCCTCATCGCACGATGGCCAATCATGACCGCAAAGAAGACAGGGTAGAACCAGGGAAGGGGACTATCAAACCCAGTGATCAGTGCCCACGACAAAGCGAAAAACATATCGCAGCTGTAATGGATTTTGCGAGCCAGTCCATACCACCCATCAACAAAGATAGTATCGCCGTTCTCCGTCACAAGTGTTTTTGGGTTGTGAACATGTCGCCAAGGCAGCTGAGGGAACGTGTTGCGCTCGACCTTTTTTCCCTGCTCCGTCATGCGGAAGGCGTTCTTCTGGCTGTTTGCAGTGTCCCAGACCCAGTAGACGCAAAGATATGACACGAAAAATAGTGCCAATACATTTTTGTTCCACGCATACGTCGAGGGGTGGCGACTCGCCAGGTACAGAATGCAGTGACAGTAAGACATAGGGACACCGGCCATGTTCCAAAAGATCAACAAGAATCCTAGTTTCTCCTGGTACATGTCCCACGTTGTGGTGATGAGGTGTTCTGCCTTTGCACAGGCGTTGGCGTAGAGGAAATGCGCCATCAGAAGGAACAAAACCTCACCAGAGACGTATCCGTAGCTTTCATATTGGCGAGTGGCAGCTGCGCAGCTCAAACCTAAGAGCATGAACCATGGAATACGTACTTCATAGAACATTTTAAAGTCCAGGATCCCAAACAAACGTGGGTTGAGTTCGGCTCCCATAAAGAAATCATAGATTGGGTAACCAGTGATGCGATGTTCGGCACCGCGAGCAAATGCAGAGAAGTAAGCGAAAAAACTGGCAAGAAACCCCGAAAGAATGGCCACAGACATCAGAGGGCCGAACTCATCCAGGATAGTGTAAATTGGGAACAGTCCAATGCAGTGCAAAATGGCCATGATGAGGATTGTGAAGTACAAGCTAGTGTAGGCTGAACAATAATACTCCAGCTGCGTACCTCTCAGATGGCGAAGAGGCTTCCCATGGCAAGTGTACCCAGGCATGAAGAGATAGCATGCTGCCTCGAAGATGTAGTATGTCCAGTAGATGCGCCATGCCTTAAGGTGCGGAAATGCACCGGTGTAAACAAGGTAACACAGATGTTTTCCAAAGTCCGTCCAGGACTCCCCATTTTGCGGCAGAGGTAGCTTCCCATCATAGTAGGCAGCACCGATCCACATGTACCACATCAGCAGCGGGAAGCCAATCATAAGTGCCAAGGTTCCGAGTGAACCACCGAATTCGAATTCATCCGAGTAGTCCACTTTGGTATCCATGCCGGGTGCCCATCCACCAGCGATTTGCACTTGCTTGAAGTTCGCGCGAGAATTTGCGTGGCCGACAACCGTCGGGTTGTCCTTTCGGCGAGACTTGACTTGGTCGTCCATCTTGAGAACTTGATATATATTAATTGAGATAAGAATTCAACAGATTCCAAATTATACTCACGATGAAAGAATAGTAACAACTACGGAATAGAGAAGAGGGAGAAAGGGAGAGAGAGAAGAAGGGAAGAAAATTGAAATGAGAGGAATATAAAGAAGGAGCGATAAATAGGAAGGAGAGTAAACCTTGGAAGGCACCACGGTATAATGGTTTACTCCGTGGTGCCTTCCACAGTCCCAGTTCCCGTTTGGGTTTAGACCCCGCTGTCTTAATCCCAATTAGGTTTAGATTCCGCCACTAGTGATATATCTAGATTAGGCAAAAAAAAAGGGCACTTCTCAAGTCTATGGGGTATGTAGCTGCAATATTCCACATAAGACTTTTTTAGAAGATTTAAAACTAGTTGAATATAGAAACTGTGTTAGAAACGAAGCCATGGCTATTCTTTTACACTTTGATTTCTTCCTCAATTCATTAGATTAGATGGGCAAAAAATAACAAAAAGATATCCCAAACTAAATAAATACTGTAAGTCAAATTACCCGCCTTCCGATTCTTCATATAAATTATCTGAAGCATATGAATGATCGTCAGGTGCCTCTCCAGGAGCTTCTTTAGGATCTCCAGGTATTTCCTCATCTGTGGTGGACTCAACCTCAAATCTTACCATAATTTTGCCGCCGACATTCCAAATGACCGCTCGAGCGATACGTCTCGTACCTCTAGGGAGAGATGAGATGAGAAGGATAGCAGCTGCTTTGCCCAACTTTGTGCCGAGCAGTTCCTCATACTCAGGGGTGCCACGTTCGATTTTCTGACATGGCTCAAATTGCTGAATTTTGAAACGAAGTCCAAGTCTGGGGTAGAGTACCTTCAATATATATGGTTCAGTCTCCTCATTGATGACGTGTCTAAACATAATATACTTCAATGTGTCTATGGGACGGTCTATCGTGTACACGGCGTGGCCAATCTCATTCCACTGAAAGTTATCGTACCTAAAAATGGAGTGAGCAACAAGAAGACCTGGTCCACATATATGTGCGTAGCTATTGTTTGCATATTCACGCTGAAATGCCTCTAGGACCTTCGGGTCCGTGACTCGGTCTGAAATCGTGGTATAGCGGTAGTGATGCCCCGTGGTAATGAGTCCTACTGATTCTGGTTCGCCTCCGTCCATAAGGTCGCACGGGTCATCCAAACCAGCACTGCCCACTTCGAAAGTACGGGGTGACGGAGCTTGCAGCAAGTCGTTTATGGTGGTCATTATCGGGGAAATATAGCAGTTTGGTTCGTTTGGATCTTCTAACCAGCGCTGTAGTTGAGCCCCTTTTGCTCGGTAGGTGGCGACTTGTGCTGCCGAAGGCTTTTGATCTTCCTTCGTCCACCCGAAGGGAAGTACTTCCGAAGTGTCGTTCGATGAGCTCTTACCATGCTCCATACCCTTCTGGGCTATGCCTGCAGAGTACATCAGCATTTCCTCTAGAGTGGAGTTCAACAATTCCTCTGGAGAGTGGATCAACAAGCCATCGCCCGGGGAAGTCTCTTCCATTTCAAAATCAATATGTTCGGCACTGTTAAGTTCGCTATCACTTCCCAGGGAGGTTTCTGATACTTCAATATCACTATATTCAGCACTGTTCAAATGGACACCACTTATTTCAGGTGTGAAATCTGTGCGATAATTGTGAAGTGGCGGCGAGGGAAGGGAGTATTCCTCATTGCTACTGGTAGCTTCACTGCTACTGGTGGTCTTCTTCTGAGGTTTCACCTTCTTCTTGGGCGCAGTCGGCTTCTGGACTTTACCTGGCTTCAATGGCTTTAGGGGCTTGGGTGGCTTTGCTTTAGGTGGCCTGGGGGCTTTTTCTACTACCTTCTGATGGAGAGTCAACTTCTTCACCTTTGGTTCCTCCTCTTCGGGAACTAGGCGTATAATGGGTTGGACTGGGGATATGACTGGGGTTTGAACTGGAGATTGGACTGGGGATTCCTCGTCGGGAACTAGGCGAATGATGGGCTGGACTGGGGATTTGTCATTCCTGCGCCCGCAACAAATGAGACTGCAGCAGAGACGCCTCATTGTTATAGTTGACGTAAGGTGTACGTTGAAGGAACGGTGCTTTGAAAGAGTGAATGGATGGGAGTGATTAGGATTAAAGAAGAACGTTGATGATATTTGGTGTGTTGTGTTTGCTGAATGCTGGAATGGAAAGAGACGGACACAACCGCAGCTATATACCTTTTGGCCAATATATCTGTCCCTGTTTGACATGTGGTTAACCTCTAGTCCTTAGAAAATGATGAAACATTATGAAAAGAGGGTCACCGAAATAAGACCAAGTAGAACAAAAGAAGTGTGAATCCGAACAATGGAGACATGTGCATAGAAGAAGTTTAAAGGCAAGATAAAGAGACTCGAACTTGGACAAGGGCTATTGATTACAAAAATTCAAAGATAGAACCCTCGGAATAGACAAAGAGGGAGTCTCACAATGTCCATCCGATTAGACCTGTGAACCTGGAGTAAATGAGTCTCTTTCACAGGGCTGAAACGTCGACCAATGTATAGGTCTCAGAAGGTTGTCACCAAAGTCTACTATTCTTGAATATTTAAATGATGAAGGAAAATAACAAGAAAGGATAAGAGATAGCTTGAACTCTCGAATATAATCAAAAGTTGGACAGGGCAAGTCAAAGAATATCAAGATATTAACCATGGTAAAGTTAGAGTCAGTCCATCTGGTCAAAATGTATATAGTAGACATTGGATTGAAAAGCAGGGGAAGTGCATAAATTCTTTGAATTCGGCCCATGAACACGTTCAAATTGAAAGTATCAGAGAGGATAAAGAAAAGGTGTAAATGTTATTTTTTATTATTTTATTATTTTATTATTTTTTTCTTTAGGGCAAGCCAGCAAGCCACATGTGCCGCTGACGTCCTCAAATATATTATCTGAACCTATTTAGATCTCGGAAAAAACGGAGCCTCAGTACTTTTGTAAGAATTTCCGTATTTGGCGTATTTGAAATGAAACAAAGCCGAGGATTTGAGCTATTTTATATGGTTGAATTGGTCTTATTTGTTACCGGATAGTTGCTTTAGTCTTGGCTGACTTGGCTGGCTTGGCCATTACAATTTTATCTTATATTTTCTTTTATATTATAAAATGGTGGCAGTGCTTAACCGATAATATAAAAAACAAATACGCACGTTCCTTTGAAATGATTTAATTAGTTTAGAAAAAAAACCTTTCTAACTAGTCAGAATATCAACCCCCCAAATGTGACCCCCAATAAAATCACCCCCAGGAAATTTCACCCCGCGCCCTGACGCCTTCCCCGTATCTTGGCTGGCCCCATACACCAAGAACACCCCGGTCCTTCTCGGATTACCGCTTTTGTCAATCCGAAGATTTGGAAGTTATATAACCTGCTGATCGGCATCTTTTAATTATGTTTGTTTCTCGTTTTTGCCAGGCATCATGTTCGGAATTCCAAAGTTCTTTGGCTGGAGAGGCCGATCTCTCAACTTGGCTATCAGTTCCCTTGGAAGTCTTGATTTCTTGTATGATATTATTTCCCCCAGAACATTAGAAAAAACAAAAGAAAGACAAAAAAAAAAAAAAAAAAAAAAAAAAAAAACTAACCTTTACAAAACTTTTTGTTTATGATCAAAAAAAGACAAAAAAAAAAAAAAAAAAAAGAAACAAAAACTAACCTTTACAAGACTTTTTGGTTATGATCAAGGTGTTACGGGTGGTCTACTAGACTTACCTTCCTTTATCAAATACTTCCCCGCTATCAATCCGAAAGACGAAAGTATCGCCAGCAATAGCGCGGCTCACCAGGCCCTCCGATCGCAGCGCAGTTTGAATCAAGGCATTGCAGTTGCATCATATAACCTGGGATGTTTCATTGGCGCCATCTTGACTATCTTCATCGGTAACCCGCTTGGTCGACGGAGGACTATCTTCTGTGGCTGTGTAATCATGGCTACTGGTGCCCTATTGCAATGTACCTCTTATTCCCTACCTCATTTCATTGTTGGTCGAATTGTCACAGGTGTTGGTAATGGTATGAATACAAGTACTGTACCAACCTGGCAGTCCGAATCATCAAAGGCTCACGATCGAGGAAAGATGGTGATGATCGAGGGTATGCTGATCACAGGAGGTATTACTCTTAGCTACTGGATTAACTACGGTAAGTCAAATACCATCTTACAAGACACCCTCAAGTTACTATTATGTATACAATTACTGAATCCTGAATTAGGCATGTCGTTCATCGGAGACAAAGAGGTCGCCTGGCGGTTCCCTCTAGCCTTCCAGATTGTCTTTGCCATTATCATCTTCTGCTCTATTCTCAACTTGCCCGAATCTCCTAGATGGCTTGTCATGCAAGGCCGCAACGATGAGGCTTTGGAGATTCTTGAATGTCTGAATGAGAAATCTCGGGATGACCCTTACATCAAGAATGAGCTTATCGCCATTCAAGAAACTGTCACTGAAATGAACAAGGGCTCTTATAGAAGTCTGTTCAAGATGAGCGAGTATCGAGAATTCCATCGCGTGGCACTTGCCTATGTCAACCAGATGTTCCAGCAAATTTCCGGCATTAATCTCATCACCTATTATGTGAGATTACTTCCCGTCCCTCAGATCCTAGCCCTATACTAATCACTCCACTAGGCACCTCAACTGTACGCCGAAATCGGTCTGGCAAAAGGCAACCTTCCAAAGTTGCTAGCTGCTTGCAACGGCACGGAGTATCTGTTGGCTGCATTTATTCCGATTTATATCATTGAGAAAGCTGGACGTCGCCCACTGATGCTGTTCGGCGTAGGTCAACCCCTTCACACCTTCAATATCCTAGCTAATCAATGGTTACCAGGCCGCCGGAATGTCCCTTTCAATGGCTGTCCTAGCCGGTACCAACTATCGCCTAACTGTACTAAATGATAGCCGAGCCGGTATCGGCCAAGCCGTCTTCCTTTTCGTCTTCAACACCTTCTTCGCTATCGGTTGGCTCGGAATGACCTGGTTGTACCCTGCCGAGATCGTGCCGCTTCGAATCCGTGCTCCAACAAACGCACTGGCAACCAGTGCCAACTGGATTTTCAACTTCATGGTTGTGATGATCACACCCGTTGCATTCGAAAATATCGGATACAAGACTTATGTCATCTTTGCCGTCATGTAAGATGCCCCAAGCCCCGAACTAACCAAGAACGTGAACTAACAACCATCAGTAACGCATTCATGTTCCCCTGCGTATACTTCTTCTTCCCTGAGACTCGCTACCGTTCCCTGGAAGAGATGGATGCCATCTTTAAGAAGTCTACTAACGTCTTCAACGCCGTTACACTCTCTATCAAGGAACCGTACCGCTACGATAAACATGGCGAGCTGAAACCCGAGTATCTTGAGGAGGCTGTCCGTCGTGTGAGTGCTGCTGATGTGCACGTCGCCGGCGCAAAGTTTGATAGCGATGAAAGTGGTATTGAGGCCAAGGCGTGAGTGATTGGAAGATGGGGCTATGTATGTTGGTGGATTTCATTTATACCCGTGGTGCCAGTGTGATTTGATTCTATCTTTTCACCAAGACTGTTTTGATATGTATGGATTTTAGATGTGAAGGAGAGAGTAATGTGAGACTTTTGTATCGGATTCTGATTAAGTGATCACGTAGATCGAGATACATCTTGGCTGTAGATGACTTTCCTTTCACGGTGTGTACAGCCGTTATCTCTTGCATCTGAAGTGGACGAGTCACTACGTCTTCGGTACTCACCCCCATTGAATATATAGTGCAGGCTAGGAATGCATGGACAAGGCATGGAGATGGTAAGATTCTTCAGTAAATTCTACATAGATATGTAGACTATCTGTGTTGGAACAGGTCCGGGTATTCCAGCTCATCTCAGCGTGACACGCATACTATTCGAGACCGATAACAATCAAGAAAGGAACTCAAAGAAGATGCTTGCAACTTCGATTGGAAGAGAAAAAGAGATAAAAAAAGGGGTTGTTTTACAACACAACGAAAAAAGAAAGAGAGAGTAGATATGGAAAGACGGCCGGCCTTTTGTTATCATTATATGTATGCCAGTGGAGATACAGAGAAGACGGCATCCAGGACACGGACGAAAGATTCAAAAGATGAAAACAAAACAGACTGATAAAATAATTTAGGTGCGGGGATATAAGTCCACCGCAAAGCATAGATTCAAAGAGGGTTCGTTCGTCACGGACGCAGGGTGTAGGGGGATATCAAGATCGAGGCGCACAATGTGGTCATATTAGGCAAGCTCATTTCCGTCCAGCGGCAGCACTGACACGTCAGTGGGAATGCCTATGTTCCGCATAAGACTGAGGCTTTATGTAGATGCGAGGGTCATTCAGATTAAGCGTCCCGAGTGGGGACGGGCTTCCGCGAGATGGAGCCGGACGGAGAAGTCGGCGGGGAACTCAGGAGGGCTGGAAGCTCGGTGGTGGGAGCAGGAGTAGGAGCGACTAAGGGGCTTGGCATCGGCAACTCAGCGGAAGCAGGCACAGGAGCGGCTGGTGTACTCGGGACTTCCGGTGCAGCGGGAGCCGGAGCAGGAGCCGGGACAGGGACAGGGACAGGGGCAGGGGCAGGGGCAGGGGCAGGAGCAGGAGCAGCCAATGGACTTGGAACTTGTGTCGCAGCGGGAGCCACATGGGCAGAATCAGGAGTGGCTAATGGACTCGAAACCTGTGGCGCAGTGGGAGCAGCAGCGGCTAGCGGATTCGAAACCTGCAGCGCAACAGGGGCAGGGGCAGGGGCAGGAACGGGAGCAGCTAACGGGCTGGAAACTGGAGGCGCAGCCGGTACTGCTATGGGAGGAACAGCGTTGCCGCTGGCACTATTGCTGCGTTGGCGTTGGTTGACAGGCATTACAGGGCGCTGCACTCCGGGGGGTCCATATGGACCAGGGCTCATCGAGCGCGGGCCGGGCATTCCGCGAGGTCCAGGAGACATCGAGCGAGGGCCCGGACGCCCTGGTCCCGGAGACATGGAGCGAGGCATACCGCCAGGTCCAGGAGACATTGAGCGAGGACCCGGTCGTCCTGGTCCCGGAGACATGGAGCGAGGGCCAGGCATACCACCAGGCCCTGGAGACATAGAACGGGGAACTGGGGGGAACTGGACAGCAGATCCGGGACCAGGGTAAGGGCGCGAAGGCGGAGGTCCGGAGACGCCAGAGTTACCGGGGGATCTAGGACGGCCATCCTGAGGATAGAATCTTGGACCGGGCGGACCTCCATGCATCATTGGGCGACCGTCAGGGCCCATGATGGGCGGGCCGCGAGAGCCGGGAGGGCCTGGGGGTGGGCGGGAGCGAGGCATCACAGGGCGAGCAGATAGGCAAGAACGCGGTGCGACTCCTTGCTGAGAGCCATTAAGACGCATACAGAGAGCCCATCCATCATCGTACTCATGCACCAAGCGCACAAGCGCTCCTGAGCGAAGGCCGAGCTCATCCTCCATAGAGGGGTTGAAATCCAATTGCACACGGTAAACATTGTTAGGGGGTGGTGGCCCAGCGGGCATGGCGCCTGCTGCGCCAGCAGCTCCTACAACAGCGGCGCCGGCAGCAACAGCCGAGCCAGCGGCAGCATCGCCAGGGATGCTCGCGGATTGGGTCGAGCCAGTGGGGGAATGACCGTGTGATTTGGCGGAGTGGTAGGAATCATTGGATGCTCGAGATGAAGCAGCAGCACCTGATGCAATACCCACGGCTGCGGAGCCGACCGCGGCAGCTGCGACGGTCGATCCAGACGGTCCGGTGGCTGATTCAGTAACGGAAGGCGCGTTCTGGGTAACAGGGCTGGTGGTTGCGTTGAAAGGATTCACAGGGTCACTGAATGGGTCGGAGTTACCTTCACCGGACTTGGGCGGAGTAGGAGGCGGCGATTCGCCAGTGAGATTACGAGAGGCGACGGCGACTGAGCCAGCTCCAGCTGCAGCACCTACAACAGCGGTGGCTGGGCTCAAGCCCCCGGAAGCATTGGCGGTGGCCGGGTTCAAGGCACCGCTGCCGCTCAGATCAGGCGCGAATTGAGTGACGGGACGAACATTAAGCTGCGGGGGTGCCGAAGTCTGCGGCTTGGAAGGGGGAGGAGGTGGGAAAGAAGCAGCGATACCCTCTGGCAGGCCTTCGACACCGAAGGTCTTCTCATTCTCCTTCTGATATCCTTCCTGGCTTCTCTTCTTCTTGCGCATAAAGAAGAAGATCAAGGCAGCAATCACACCAACGCCAAAGATGACACCGATGGCCACACCAGCCTTGGCGCCACCAGTCATTCCTCCAGAAGCAGTAGTTGGAATAGCAGTGGTCGAGGCCGATGCGGTGGAAGTTGCGAGGAGATTGTTGACATCCCGGGAGGATTCCGAGGCGGACGATGCCGAAGTCACAAAGGAGGTTGTTGTCATCGAAGCCTCCGACTCACTGGTTGTGGTTGCTTTCTTGTGGGTCGTTTCGGCCTTGGTCGTCTCGGTGGTCTCTTTAGTTTCATGAGTGGTATGGGCCACGGTCTCTTTGGTGGTGGTTGGTTTCTCCTTCTTGGTCGTGGTCTCCTCATCAGACTCGGTTGTGGTTCTGGTAGGCGCGCTGACAGGATCACCAAGACCGGCGTGGGGTTTTGTCGCAGTGTCATGTTGGGTGCCAGTTACATAACCTCCCACCTCCCCTTCAAAGTCCGGTTCCATGGTCTTGTAAACGATCACGACATCGCCTCGCTCCTCGAGGACTCCTCGTTCCTCGAGGACTCCTCGTTCCTCAACACTTCCTCGCTCCTCTAATTCCTCCACATTGCGTGCATGGTTGTGGTGCGCATGCCCGTGCATGTTGTCAACTCCAGTATCCCCAGGATATCGTGAAGTGGCGATGGGAGCGGTTAGGGAGAAGATAAAGAGAGGGATAACCCAAGATTCCAACGCGAGTAATGTCCGAGAATCGTGGCTGGGTTTTGTGGAATGATAGAAAGAATGGACTGAGATCAAGCACAGCTGTCAAGTCAATAAAAAAAAAAGAAAGGACGTCGACTTCCAGGTCGTACAAAAAAGAAATGGAAAGGAAAGAAAAGGTAAAGGCGTAGAGCCGAAATGAGATCTTTAGGACCCTGTGTGTATAGATAACAGACTAACCTAAATAGGTAATGATGATCAATTGTTTATTTAATCCTGATTGGCTAGATAGGTAAAATGGTACCTGACCCGAAAGGAGAGATACCCCACGGCCCTCTTTTTACTTTGTTTCTCTTTGTGAAGAGATCAACTTGTAGTTCTATTTTTTTTTTTTTTTGAACAGAATACTCTAGTTATGTACAGAGTACGGAGTAGTATAAAGTACATATGTATAGTCTAGTACACTATATTCCTAATACAGTATCTAATTTGCGAGAACTTGGCAAACGGGAAACAAATCTCATCCGGCTCCTGCGAGCCCCATTTGCCCGCCCCCAACCCATTCGCTAAAATCTAGGCACGCGGGTCCGGGGGGCACAGACTGTATATGGTTGTTTCACCCTAACCATAACTGAATTTAATTGATCACTTGTAATTTCCGGCGTTGCCGAAAATTCAGTTTTAATTTCCAAATTTTTCATGCACTGTGCTTATGCACGTCCCCAGGGGTTACGGAAACCACAATTATTACCTATGTTGTACTCCGTACATGGAGGATGGACAGAGTATGTGCAATCATTTCCTACAAGATTATAGTAGTCTATATTTTGGTACTCCATCTGATGCATAGAACTTGAAAGTATGCATTTGCACCGTTAATAAGTGTCCACTCCAAGGCTTCCACGATCCACTTGTGATAACCCGAGGCGCAGAGAAGAGTGTGGCGTAGCCCATCCACCCATGTCATACCATTTGATTCAACTCTGAGCAAAATATGGATGGGCAAGGGCCTAAATCTATTGTTAGAGGTTGTTGTAAGGCACCAGGGGTCACATACCTCCGCTGCTGAGAGTCTCTCGCTGCTCTCATAGCGCAATAGATTGCTGACTAAATCACGGCCATTCGACGATGCACCCGGGAGGATGTCATCCCATCGCTGCGTGGGGAAAGAATGGAATTCCACTTTTCCCCAATCTGGCAAGACCTTCACTTCCTGTCAAATGGTTAATAATGTCCTTTCCAGTCCTCACAGACGTGAAGCTTACCGGCCAGCGCTGTTCGTCCGGAGTGCCCAGTAATTTGAAGATGGAGAAAATCAGCGATAGATCGCTGCCCACAGGCCCGGAGTCGAAAAGCTGCTGGTGGCCGACGGCAATGGCTTCTGCCACTACACAGCCGGCAGCCCACATGTCGAGGGATGTCCCGTATCTTTTGAATCCAAATAGAATTTCTGGGGGTCGATAGCAGGTCGTGCCCACATCTGTGATTTTCTGCGTGTGTGGCTCAGATCCTGTATCGTCTTCTTTCCACGAAACGCCGAAATCTGCCAAATAGGCTGGTCCATTAGGAGAGTCCATAAGAATATTGGAAGGCTTGATATCCCGATGAAGTATACCCATGCTGTGGAGATGGGTAAGGGCATGGAACAGATCTCGCAGAATCGACCGTGTTTGAGCAGCAGTTACCATGTCTCGCCGGAGCAACTGCTCGAAGTCATATCGCACAAAAGGAAATACCAAGACAAATCGCCCACCATCAAGGTTAAACGTCTCGATCAATGGAATTATGTGGTCGTGGGAAGCTTCACGCAGCAACCGTGCTTCACGGTGAGCATCATGCGGGGCTATCATCATATGGGGAATAGTGACTTTCACTGCTCGAACGGTCCCATCTTCCAACTTTGATCTGTAGATGGAGGAGTGGAGACCAGCATAGTGGTCAAAACAAGACCGATATTGGCCGATCACTTGCCTAGTTGACGTCTCTGGGTCTTCATCGTTATCCTCTACATGCTGTAGGTTGCTAGTGTCTAGCTCTTTGGATGATGCTAATTCAGCTTCATCAATTGCCCGTTGGCAGATATAATCATATGCGTTCTGGATGGAATAAGTCTCAGTTGAAAAGTTCTTCACCACACCGACAAACACTCCCACACCAGCCAAGACCCCACCACCACCGCAAACACGCGCAACCCACACCTCCCGGTAGAAGGCGCATAACTCACTTTCGAGGTCGCCTTATCAAACGCCTCGGTTTCGACTCGCTTGGCTTGGGCCATAGCTTCTGCAAATGCAGAGGTAGGCGAAGAAGAAGCCTGCTGGTAAGCTGTCGTGCTACATGCAAAATTAATTCAGTGCTCATGTCGATATATATCAGAAAATTAACTCACAGAGACTGTATGGCTCGCAACCGGTCTGTGAACCCAAAATTGTCTTTCCAGGACATGGTGGACAAGAACCACTGTTAACTGAGGTAGTATGACTTCTAACTTGTACTGCAGTGAAGTTCTGTGACAGCGTATATTTAATAATCGAAAGATAATACATACAACATGTGTAAATATAGGTGGAGACCAATTCTGTCATGGAGAACTTGGTCAACTATCAGATTACAACCTAAGGCAGCCAGGCTCCAATCATCAACCGCATGGATGATGTCATGTGATCAATCAAGGGATGGTTACGGTACTGTAACACAAATAACAGCCCTTCGGGCAATGGAACGAATCTAATACCACATGTTACGGTATTACAATAACATCCTCCGTCATTCCATCCCCATTCCGTCCTCGGCCAACATTGAATGACACGCTACCAACTGACACTGGCATTCAAGTCTCGATCCCGCATTCATTTCGCTTACTTGATTGGACTGTTCTCGCCGCGAGGATCGTAGGAATCTCTTGGCTTTCTCTTTCATGTTATGCGCTTCATGCGCTACCTTGTTCAATACCCCGGGATCTGAATCATGGACCTCTCACGGCAAGAGTACCCAACGCTGCTGGTAAGATTGAGCAAGCCGAGCTTTGTGGTTAGCCAGCACAGTATCTAAATGCTGACCATTGGTGATATTTCTTTCATTTAGGCCACCCTGCATCCCGGCCAAGCTACAACCGTCCTAAGCGATCGCATTAAACTCATAAATAAGATCAATGTGGATATTGCGGATTACCTACAGGTATGGCATTTTGTGACTCGATCCGATCAGATTTCTAGAATTGGATCTGCAACAAGGCGCGACATTGGCGTTAACAAATTGACGATAGGAACGACGTCGCGTTGAAGAAGCATACGCCCAAGGGCTGCGGAAGCTAGCACACCGGCCACAGTTAGACAATGGAGCTGCTCTTGGGTAAGTTGGCCTTTCCCTGGAAAATTGAAGTGCTTGTACGACCGATAATGAAACTAACCCGTGAACCTAGCATTTTCCAAATCCCCTGGCAACGCATTATTAGTGCCACCGAAACACTCGCCGTATCGCATGAGACCCTGGCGAACAAGATAGAGGAGGATGTCGAACGACCCCTAAGGGAATTTAGCAGCAAGAATTCAGAGATGAAGTCGATGCCCGGTATCCAGAGTAATCTGGCGGGGCTGGCGAAGAATGTGGAGGCTGCGCAGAAGAAGGTAGACAAGGCCAGGGCGAAGGGTGCGAAAGGCGCAGAGAAACTTGCTAGCGAGATTGCCAACGCCGAGGAAGTGCATCAGCAATGGGATTCGCGGGCTCCCTTTGTTTACGAGCAACTTCAGGCCGCCGACGAGACCCGGCTCAACCACCTTCGGGATGTTCTAACACAATTGGAGACACACGAGGTGGACCAAGTGGAGCGCGGTCGCCAGGCCGCTGAAAGCTGCTTGAACGTGCTTCTCAATGTGGAAACGGCAGATGAAATCAAGACATTTGCTGCTAGAATGGCGGGCCCTCGTGTCCCTGTGACGCAGGCCGTCCCCAGAAGACAGACCGAACGGGCAGAGACCCCTTCCACACTTGAACTTGGACCTGACCGGACACCGACTGCGCCTGTTGAGGATCAGTTCTCCACACCGCGATCAGAAGCACCGCTTCCGCCCCCTCCGCGCATCCAAGATGATGCGGCAAGCCAACTCTCAGAGGCATCTGAGAGACAACACGCCATCGCTGAGACATCGCCAGGTAAGTGTTACGGTTGGGTTACTATCTCGCTCTAGACGCAAGTTCTAACGATTTATCTAGCACCGGAAGCACAGCCACGGCATACTCCCCTTGGGGGATTGAGACGTCTTGGCACTGTTATGAACAGGCGAAAGAGCGTTGCCCTACCCTCGACTGGATCTTTCGACCGAAAGGCAGAGAAGAAGCGTAGTCCCTTTGCTGCATTCAAGCGAGCCGACTCATCTCGCGATTTGCAAATACCAGAATCTCCCCCCGCGACCGCTTCTGACCGTCCGGGGACATCCTTCACCGATCAATCGTCCTTGCGGAACCCTAGTGTGTCGCATGATCGCACCGGATTGGATACTGTGGCAACCATTCCTGAAGCGCACCCAGAGACAATCAGAAATGGGGTTGCCCCAGAAAGCCTTGAGCTCACCAATAACCATGCCAATCAGCCACAGGTTGATTCAGAGGGGTACACCCAGCGACCTGGAACAGTTGACGAGATCACGCGAGCCCAAAATGAGGCAGCGGGCCTAGATGAGTCTGGTATGAATTTAACGATTCGAGATCAGCCCATCTTCGAAGATGAGAGCCAGGCGAAACAGGCCATGGATAATATGGCAAATACCCTCCGAATGCGAGCTCCGCAGACAGGAATGAGACGCAATGCAGGCACCATTCGCGGACGCCGTGATGTTCGCAATACTGTGTTTATTGCTTCTCCTGGCAATGAGCTTCCGCTGTCTACGACAAAACCAGAGTCCCAGCAGCCCACCTCGCCAATCAGGAATATTACCTCCCCTAGCATTGCCCCCAGCGTTGGTACGGATGATCACACCATGTCAGATACTACGTCTGTTCGGTCCGGACACACCATGCACGGCCCGGGGCCTTCAGTTCATCCTGATCTGTATGGATCGGGGCTGAATGCTTCGGTCATTGAGACCATCAGTGCATGGTTCTCAGAGGGTATTGTCACCAAGTCATTCGCCGTTGGTGAGCTTGCTCTAGCATACAACCCCACACCTGGTATGGCAGACTATACGCGCATCCGACTAGACAATTTCCAAGTGCTGGAAAAGGTAGCGGCCAATCCCCACTTTGTCCAGGAGGTTGCCAAAGATGCTGGTGACGACAAGAGAGGCGAATACGATATCCAGCTGGGCAGCATCTCCCGTTCCATGCCGACAGTTGCATTCAAGTATCAACTGCATATCGACCCAGCCAACCCCTCGGCCTACTGCCCCGTGATATTCAAGCCAGTGTGGAACCTGGAAGAATTACAGGCCAGTGCTATTATCTACTATACGCTCAACCCATCCTTTATCTCCAATGTAGCGGAGTCAATTACCCTCAAGAACCTGGTGTTGACTATTAATTTGGACACCGCAGCCGAGGACAAAAATACCGGGCAGCCGCGCGAGTCTGTCGCCCACGCCGCAAGCGCCGCCATGTACCCCAATACCGGCGCCGTCTTCCGTCGCAAAACCTCCACCGTCACATGGAGAATTCCCGATCTGGAAGTCAAGGCCCCCACCACCCCAGGTGCAGAGGGAAAGTTCCTCGTCCGCTTCGTGACGTCCACCTCTGGACCTCGGAAGGGTATCGTCGAAGCGAAATTCGAACTTCGCAACGCCGAATCTGCTTCTCCGCTAGGTATCAGTCGTGCTGCCTCAGAGGCAGAGCAGATGGAAGCAGACCCTTTCGCCGACGAGGGTCGTACGTCCCAGCCGTTCGTTCCTTGGCTGGGCGTTCCAACCACACGCAAGCTAATCAGTGGAAAGTATGTCTCTTCCTAGATGTGTCTTGCTTAAACGGGATGGAGCTATCCGCATCTGGTCGTATATATATTCCCTTCTTCCAATAAATCTTTCTTCTGTTATCCGTCTACTGTTTGGATTATGTTTGTCAGGATAGGCATCCCCACAGATAGAGCCCCAAATGGGGAGATCGGAAGCTCAGAATCATGCCATTACCTTTTTCCCCCCCTGACTTTCTTTTGCTATTTCCCCCCATCTGCATTTCCTTGTCTGTGTTCTGTGATCCGAGTCTGCGCAAATAACGATTTTGTTATGAATTTTGTTGGGAATATTGTAATTAGGCACTCCGCGTATATACAGTGGGACCTCCGAAATATTGGGCCAAACCAAAGTACCTAGATATACCGCCCTGTGTACTGCCTTTTTTTTATATTCTGCCAGTTCTCCTAGTCTAAAACTCCGAATATAGTTAGCTTCTATACAGGTGATATAAGGCTGTGATGCTGATGATATCTGAGAAGACTACTAAATATACCATTTGAAAGACCACTGAAAAGATATCACTTGGCCGCTTATGCCACCCTGTATTCTTGTGGCAGAATAATTAAAATGACAGGCGGTACCCGTGGCAGAATAAATAAAAAGAAGGCGGTATAGAGGGCGGTCTATTTGGGTACTTTGGTTTGGCCCAATATTTCGGAGGTCCCACTGTATGTAGTAGTCAATCATTGACATACAATATATCATAGACATAACTTGATATTCTCAAAGGATGGACTAAATAAAGGTCATTTCGGATCGTGCGCCACAACCTCAATTTCAACCTTCATACAATCTTCCGCAAGCCCAGTCACACCGATGCATGTCCACACTGGCTTATGATTCGGCATGTACTTTCTCAAATTATGGACCATTGTCTCAATCGTTCTATTATCAATCGAGACATGGTATGATTTGACGCGGAAAACCTGTTCCCATCCCATCCCTCCCGCATTTTTGAGGTTTAATTCAACATTCCTAAAGGCTTGGTCGATCTGTGCCCTGGCATCATTGTCTAGCTCCCCGGTTGCTGGATCCCATCCGCCTGCGAGTCTCTGTTAGGGTATCTTTAATCGAGAATAGATTCAAGTCTACCTTGACCAGAACATTCGATGCGATCAGCAATGCGCACTGCTTGGCTGTAGCTATATCGTTCTCTGTTTCGGATACCGACGCCGTCATAGTTGTAGTAGGTGAGATGGGACATTGTGTTTCCCCTTAGATCTGTATAGGTTCAAACTAGGGGAGAGGAGAGTGGATTTATACTCGAGCTTTAGGATTACATATATGCATTGGCCCATGAGCAAAGTTAGACCCTTTACGTCTTGAATCAAGACATCCCAGTAGTGGCTTCGCGCAGCTATGTACATAGCTGTGTAGCCAAAACAAAACCTTGAGAAAAGAAGTAACACAACTGAACAAAGTTTATATAGACTCTATGTAGTTTCCATATTGAACATGTTACATATTCTGTAGATCAAACTACCTTCCTACGTCATTCTGTGAGACCCTAGACGTCTACGGCAGGTTTTAACCACCATCGCGCCAACCGGGGTTTTTGCCTGGCAGAAAATTAGTATGTTGTACTCAACACCTATAGTCCTGGAGCCGGGGTGCTAGTCTATCATCCCATTTTCTCGCTAAAATAGCAAGATAAATCAGAAATCAGTCTAATTGCTAGATTTGTATGGATCTATAGACGTCGGTAATTAAAATACAATTTCTAGATCCTCAAAAATACATAGTATTTTGGTGGTATTGTAATTAATTATGTTAGTAAACTGGAAGGGACCCTTTTGAAAATACATTATGGCGTTACCGATCACCACTTTGTGTAGGATAAATAATACCTGTAAGTCATGTGATAGGTGTATAAAATACTACGAGGATACTATAATAATTTACATAGACTAGTTGACTACTGCGGCCAGCGGTAGATATACCTAAAGTTTTATTAGTAAAAAGCGGGTATTAGTAGTCATTCCCTATTCTCAATAGTATTGTTGTTATAAAAGAGAGCGATCATCTCGTCTTTGAGTGGTTCTAGATCAATTAGGGCTGGCATCTTGTTATACGAAGAAGCCTGTAATGAGAATAACAGGGAAAGTTCCCTAGCTGAGGAACCATGTAGCGAAAAAGCAAGGCAGTGAACTAGACGGTAAAGAAATTATATGGGTTGGCGCGATGGCGGTTAAAACCTGCCGTAGACATCTCACATATGTAGTACTGAAAAATCCGAAATGCGAGAGACTCTGTCATTTTGACTCGAACATAGAAAGGATAGATAAAAAGTCTATTTACTAAACCAATGATGATAGAAGTACTGGTACTCATATTTTCTTGAATGGAGCACCAAAGGCCCCGGGGGTGATTCTTTTTGAATATTGCTCTTAGGGTTCAAGTCCACCTTGCTCTTTGTATAACATAGTTGCTGCTATGCGAGAATGATCATTTCGATCAAGCAAATCAGTATCCCAATGTTGGGTTATACCCATATATCTTCATTACTAACATCGATTTTATCATGAATATGGCCTCCTTAGTCGAGTACCTGCTTAGGCCTTAGAATCCGAGACATCGTTCCCGAGTCTCCTACCGAGCCGAGTACCCGAAGTAGTTTACGGGAAGTATGTCGCTGGATACAGTGTGCGTATGTGTGGGTAGTCACTCTCCAATCATGTACTTCTCTGAGGTAGTGCAAGACAGTCACCCCGAGGGCAAGAAACAAAGTGGGTGATGCGACTCAGGCCGAAGGAGTTCATCTATAGGAGATCAGAAAACTGAAATAAATAGATATATGATGGCGCCATTACTACTCTCCAAACAGTTGCATTCTTAGCGAGAGTAAAAATACTGAAGAATCATACTTAAGAACCCAGGTAGAGAGGACGTTGCAATAATAAGCTATAAGCTCCGTCCAGGAAAAATGGACATGATTATCGCGCACGAGGGTTACGCCCTCACAGATGAATTCAACAACACCGGAGACAGAACGTTCCTAGGTCACTGTCTTCATCGACTTTATGAGTGCGCTGTAGACAGCTACTCGAATGATGTCGCTGTGATTTGTGCAGACTCTGAACTAAACTACCGAGGGCTGAACGACAATGCGAATCGCCTGGCCCGGGCTCTGTTGGATCGAGGCATAGGGCGCGGGAGCCTCATTGGCGTGGCCCTGGACCGCTCAATCGACTTCGTTGTAGCGGTACTAGCAGTATTGAAGACTGGCGCTGCCTATGTTCCGATCGACCTAAACTTCCCTGCGAGACGAATTAGCTGGATCATCGACGATGCCAATCCAGACCTGGTCATCACCCGTACTCCCACGCCGGAGAACTTATGGGCCTGGAAAGCGTCATGCCTAAGCGTTGATGAGGCACGAGGCAATAACTCGGGAGTCAACAGCGGGAACCTGAAAATCGAAGTGGGAGGAGACGACCTTGCGTATGTTATCTACACATCCGGCTCTACGGGTGAACCAAAGGGTGTTGAGGTCAGCCATGGTGCCGTGTGCAACCTCTTGTGCTCCATGCGGCGAGAACCGGGCTGCGGTGCGGCGGATCGGTTGCTAGCCATTACCACCTTCTCCTTCGACATTGCTGTTCTGGAGCTGTTCTTGCCTCTCGTTTGTGGCGCCACGACAGTCATCGCGAAGGCCAATGAGACCCTGGATACCCACGCCTTGCTGGGATTAATGGAGCGACACAGGATCACCATGATGCAGGGTACACCAACCACCTGGCAGATGTTGCTGGAGTCGGGCTGGCACGGTCAACCACGACTGGCGAAGATACTATGCGGTGGGGAAGCGCTTCCTCGTCGACTGGCCGAGCGCCTGCTTGTCTGCGGTGATTCGGTTTGGAATCTGTACGGTCCCACCGAGACAACCGTGTGGTCGAGCATATGGAAGGTGTCTCAAGGAGACAACGTTGTCATCGGCAGACCTATCGCCAACACGCAACTGTACGTGCTCGGTCCAGACTTGACACCGGTGCCTACCGGTTGCTCGGGGGAATTGTGTATCGGCGGTGCAGGTGTCTCACAGGGATATCGAAACAAGCCCCAGCTAACTCGGTCTCGCTTTGTTGACAACCCTTTTCACGCCGGCACCATGTACCGGACCGGTGACATGGCACGCTTCCTCACACCTGACAAGCTGACTGTACTCGGTCGTGCTGACGACCAGGTGAAACTTCGGGGCTATAGAATTGAACTAGGTGATATCGAAGCAGCCATAACATACCATGAGGACATCTCCCGTGCGCTGGTAGTAACCCACGATGAGCGGCTAGTTGCCTACTGTGTGCGCGAGCATTCTCCACAGGCAGATGGAGATGATATTAACCATATGCGTGGTTCGGCACTTGAGGAGTGGGCGGGTGTGTGGGATCAGGTCTATAAAGAGGATAAGGTAGAGGGGGATGAGGTGGTCCAAGAGATGTTCAATATCGCTGGCTGGCGTAATAGCTATGACGGAGCCCCGTTTTCTAGTAGTGAGATGCGCGATTGGCAGTTGAGTTCAGTTCAGCGGATCTTGTCCTACGGACCGAAGCGGGTGTTCGAGATCGGCTCGGGTACTGGTCTGATGTTGTTTAGTATTGCACCACATTGCAGCGCCTACCATGCCGTGGACTCCTCCAAACAGGCTGTAGAGATCACACGTCGACACCTCTCATCCTTACCGCATGTAATATGCGAGCATTGCCCGGCTCACACATTGCCCACCTGGCGTGGTATGGATGGAGCCTTTGACACCGTGATAATCAATTCCGTGGTGCAGTACTTCCCAAGTATCGACTACCTCTTGTCGGTTCTTGAATGGGCGACCAAGGCAGTTGGCCAAGGCCGGGTATACCTTGGTGACTTGCGCAGTCTATCATTTTTCCAAACCTTCCATAGCGATGTCATTGACTGCCGTTCCAACGGTCAACTTTCCCCCTCAGAACTAAGCCGGCGGACTAAACAGGCCATGCAGTCAGATTCCGAGCTGGTAATTTCGCCCACGTTCTTTGCTAATCTGCAGAGCCTGATTCCACGCATCAATCACGTTGAAATTACCCTACGCAATGGTCGCTATATCAATGAAATGACCCGCTACCGCTTTGATGTTACTTTGCATATCGGGGCCGTTGTCCCCCAGGACCCTGTGATAGAGCGGGAATGGAGGGACGGGACACTTGATCAGCTCACTACGATTGATGAATATGATAAGGTACTGCGGCTGAACAACATCCCAAATGGTCGGCTACGCGAAGTCCATGACAGACTGGCGGTCGCTCTGGGCGACGTCGTCACCAACCCGCTTACCGCATCGTGGATCGATCCGTATGATCTCACGGCGCTCGCCGCCCAGTCCGGCCGACAGATGGCATTGGTGCCGAGTCTCTCCGGCGGCATATGGGCTTTTGATGCCCTGCTTTGGTATTCAGGGAAAGCGACCCCAGACCTAAGTCTACATAGCCCGGAAGCTATGGTCCGCAAGAAGATAGGGCAGTACGCAAATGTGCCCATGGTGGGAAATGACCCAGTTCGCCCCGAGCTGGGCCGACTTTTACGCCCGTGGTTGGCCGAACGCCTGCCGGCCTATATGATACCTTCTTTTTTTTGTCGAACTGGACGAGTTCCCGCTAACACTCAACAATAAAGTCGACCGTAAGGCCCTTCCTGTTCCCGTGATGGGAATTAAATCTCCTGTCCGGCCCACAACCGAGCTAGAGGGTCAGATTTTGACTATCTGGGCGGAGATTCTGGGCTATGACAGCATCGGCATCGAGGAGAACTTCTTCGAGATCGGTGGCGACTCATTACGTGCTGTCCGTTTGCAGACGGACCTTGAGAATCTGCTGCACCGGCCGGTGTCATCTGCCATCATATTCAAGCACTTCACTATCAAGGCACTGGCCGCGTACTTCGCCAACACCGAGAAACCCTATCCTAAAGTTGAGCCCCCAGCGTTACGAATTCCAATGCCACGCCAGGAGGATATTGCCATAATTTCCATGGCATGTAGACTTCCTGGCGGGGTGAACACGCCAGAGGAGTATTGGGACCTGCTCGACCGCGGTGGAGATGGCATTAGCGAGATACCACAGGACCGCTGGGACTCCGATGCGCTGTACGATCCGGACCCGGGAGTCCCTGGCAAGTCATATTGTCGTCAAGGTGGATTTGTATCCGGTGTCGATAGATTTGACGCATCATTTTTCGGTATCTCACCACGGGAAGCGAGATCCATGGACCCGACGCAACGGGTCATGCTGGAATCTTGTTGGGAAGCGTTTGAGCGCGCCGGCTATACGATGGAAGGCTTGCGCGGCAGCCAGACAGGCGTTTTCATTGGGGTTAGTACGATTGCGGGATACCGTAGTCACGGTTTATGTCATGTTACCCGTGGTAGCCTAGATGCCCTTGATGGGTATACAGTCACCGGCACGGCCGGCGGAACTATGTCTGGCCGGGTGTCTTACACTTTTGGACTTCAGGGGCCTGCTATGACAGTGGATACAGCGTGCTCCTCCTCCCTGGTCACCACGCACCTAGCTGCTACCGCGCTGCGAAACGGCGAATGTGATGTGGCAATTTCGGGTGGCATTAGTCTGATGCTGTCGCCTGAATTGCATGTGGAGTTCAGCCGCCTTCGTGGTATGTCTCCTGACGGTCGATGTCGGGCCTTCTCCGCGGACACCGAGGGGACTGGCTGGAGCGAAGGGTCCGCCGTCGTGCTTCTCAAACGATGCTCCGATGCCCAGCGCGATGGAGACACCATCCTTGCAGTGTTACGTGGTACAGCCGTTAATCACGGCGGCCGCAGCGCTGCCAGCCTGACTTCTCCAAGTGGTCTTGCACAGGAGCGTCTCATTCGTACCGCTCTCGCCATGTCGCACTTAGAGCCGAGCGATATGGACTATGTAGAGGCCCATGGCACTGGTACCAAGCTAGGTGACCCGATCGAAGGCGCTGCGCTAGCGGAGGTTTTCGGAGGTAGCCACTCCAGGGAGGAGCCATTGTGGATTGGTTCAGCGAAGTCTAACATTGGCCATACCCAGGCTGCTGCCGGACTCGCCGGCGTGATAAAAGTCGTGTTGGCTCTACAGCACAACCTACTGCCCGCCACCTTACATGTCAATAAGCCCACCCCAGCGGTGGATTGGGAGAACGGCAGGATGGCCTTGGTCTGTGAGAAGCGGTCCTGGGTGCCGAATAAGAGTCGCCTGCGACGGGCTGGGGTCAGCTCCTTCGGCATAGGTGGCACGAATGCACATGCAATCATTGAGGAGCCACCATCCGAGCCTTACCGGAGCCTCCCCATCACGACGAGGTTCGTGGCGTTGCCGCCGACAGTGCCTATCCTCTTATCTGGCCATACGAGCGCGGCGCTACGCCAGCAAGCCCAGAACTTGCATCGACACCTGAAGATCACGGCGGTCCACGAGAATCTGGGAGATGTAGCATACACTCTAGCCGCCGGCCGCACACATTTCCGCCAGCGAGTTGTGCTCCTGGTTCAAGATAAGGAGGAGCTGCAGAAGAGGTTGGCCTCATTTGTCGAAGAACAGAAGGCCACATCATGGTTCCCAGAAAGCAAAAGGCGCAGTAGGAGCACCCGTGAGCAGAACATTCTGATACCACGCGTCGCCCTCCTTTTCACCGGCCAAGGCAGCCAGCTGCCAGGGATGGGCAAGGATCTTTGCGCCGTGTATCCCCTCTTCTACGAGGCGCTTCAGGATGTCGCGTCCCGGTTCACCAATCTTGAAAGGCCGCTGCTCGATGTGATGTGGGCCGATCCAGGCAGTGAGGCCGCCGGATTACTGTCTCGCACCGATTTCACGCAGTCGGCCTTGTTCGCCCTGGAAGTGGCTCTGTGGCGGCTATGGGATAGCTGGGGGATCCGACCCGAGTTGGTGTTTGGTCACAGTATTGGCGAGATCGTGGCCGCCCACGTCGCTGGGATTTTCAATCTGTCGGATGCTTGCCGGCTGGTCGAGGCTCGGGGCCAGTTGATGCAGGCATTGCCCGGCGGGGGTACAATGGTATCCCTCGAAGCAACAGCTGTGGAAGTTGAGAACGCCATTGAGGCTCTCGGTTTTACTGGCCAGGTTGAAATTGCCAGCCTCAACACGCCGTCGCAGACCGTTGTGTCCGGCGCCGTTGATCCTACCCACGAGGTCATGACATATTTTGCGGAACGGGATCGCAAAGTCAAGGCGCTTAAGGTGTCCCACGCCTTCCACTCGAACCACATGGACGGCATGCTGACGGCGTGGCAATCAGTCATCGGGACGGTGCAGTTCCGCCCGCCGAAACTTGCCGTGATCAGTGGTCTAACAGGACGGCGGGCTGAGGTGGGCGAACTTCAGCACCCCGAATACTGGGTTCATCAGGCGCGCCGGGCAGTGCGGTTTACTGACGGCATCGTTGCGCTCGAACGCGAGGGAGTCAACGTCTTCCTGGAGCTGGGCCCACGGCCGGTACTTTCCGGCCTAGGCGCAGAGTGTCTAGCCGGTAAACATTCGGTGACCTGGGTTCCATCGCTAATCCCAGGCAAGCACAGCGCCAGAGTTATACAGCGTAGCCTCGCAGATTTACATTCACGGGGGGTGCCAGTCGACTGGCGTGGCTATTTCAAGCCATTCGGCGGCCAGTTGCTGGCGCTGCCGACCTACGCCTTCCAAAAGGAACTGTTATGGTCTGAGGCACCGCCACTACACCCGGAGATCAACCTAGGTCGCAAGAACACCGGCCATGGATTATTTGATGGTGGAATCGAGATCGCTAGCACTGGGATGTTGGTGTTCTCCGGCACGGTGATGGACGACGCCCTGGTTTGGCTACAGGAGCACAAAGTCATCGACACTGTGCTCATGCCGGGAGCTGTGTTTTTCGAGTGCATGCGGGCGGCTGGACATGCGGTCCAGCCCGGTGCATGGGAGCTGGTCAATGGCCTCGTCCAGAAGCCGTTGGCGTTCATGCCAAACGTGCGTGTTCGCCTCCAGGTCACCGTGGGTCCGCCCGATCATGGAACTCGCCAGGTGCAGGTCTACGGCGCCGCTGAAGGTGGGCTTCCATGGACGCTACACGCGGAAGGGAGTCTTGTTCCCGCGCATACCGACGCGAGCGGGGATGTCACCCCCTTTGCTTTAGAGGGTGCCCAGAAAATTGACCTGCGCACTGTCTACAGAGATTTTGATGTTCTCGGATATCACTTCGGTCCACGGTTCCGGTGTCTTAAAGAAGCCTGGGTGATGGATGAAGAGGTGTGGGCCAGGACAGTCTCTTCTGTGGACATTGAGCTGTTATCTCCCAACGGCTGCTGTCTTGACCCGGCTCTACTCCAGTCAGCCATTCACTCTGTGCTACTGGCCCACTGGATCAAGCGGACTGGTGACAATGGTGTCTTCGTGCCGTTCAAAGTCGAGGGTGTATCCTTGCCAACAACGAAGCAGTCTGAGATATGGGTCCGCGTTTTCGATTTTGAACGGGATGGCGAGGGTTTCCAAGCCTCCATCGACGTTTATAGCGACCAGGGGGCCAATATCGGCCGACTGCACCGCGTCCACTACCAGCTTGTTGACCGCGTAGCGCTCCAGTGTGCAGACTTGGGAGATGTAAACCGGTTGCAGTTCCGGGTCGCCTGGCATCCTGTCGATGCTGACCATATCGAGCTCCGTAGCGGCGTGTGGGGATTACAGTTCCCGGCCGGCGAGGTGAAGTGGGCCGAGAAGGTGAAGACCAGTTTAGTGCGTGCCGGGATCAAAGTTATCGACGCCTGTGATCTCAATGACGCTAAGCGCCTGGACGGTTTGCTGTGCCTGTGGGATTCCAGCGCTGACATTCTTCATCAGGCGCATGACTTTACCGCAAAGGCGCTCACCCAGCTACAGGCAGCGGCTAAGACCGAGTTCGCAAAGCCGCTGGTGTGGGTAACCCGCCAGGCAGTGGGCACAGGCATCGAGGATCGGGTTACGGGGTTGGGCGCTGGGGCACTTTGGGGCCTAATGCGCACCGCTCGCAACGAGCATCCTGAATTGACCTTGCGACTGATTGATCTGGATGGGGATGAAGGGGAGCCTACGGAACATCTCCTTGCGAGGGCGCTTATGTTGCGATCAGAACCCGAATGCGCCCTACGACGCGGGCACATATCTGCCCCTCGGTTGCAGTATTTGCACGAAGCTGACACCGTGCCCCGGGTCCAGAAGCAGTGGTTTCTACGGCCAGATGGCGCAGTGTTAATCACTGGCGGATTTGGAGGTCTCGGCCGGCGTGTGGCCCGGTGGTTGGTTAGTACCCACGGCATCCGTGACCTAGTGATAACCTCGCGAGGTGGTATGAATACCCCTGGCGCGAAAGAGCAGGTCGATGAACTCGCCGAACTCGGCGCCAATGTCACGGTGGTGGCAAGTGATTCGGCCGACTTTCAAAGCGTCCGCTCAGTTGTGGGCATGTTTAACAAGGACAGGCCACTACGCGGGGCGGTCCACGCTGCCGGCGTTCTAGACGATGGGATCCTGTCGGCCTTGACTCCTCACAGGTGTGATGCAGTATTTCGACCTAAGGTAGATGGAGCCTGGTACCTGCACCACTTGACCCAGGACATGGAATTGGACGTCTTCATGATGTTCTCCTCAATTTCAGGGATCCTAGGTATGCCGGGACAGGGTAATTACGCTGCCGCTAACGCATTTCTCGATGCACTCGCTCATCAGCGACGTTCCAACGGCCTAGCGGCCACCTCGGTAGCATGGGGCCCCTGGGAGGGCCAGGGCATGATCGCTGGGCTCGGCGAAACGGGTCGTGCCCGCCTTACTCAACTCGGTCTAGACTCGATCGGCCCAGCAGAAGGCCTGCAACTTCTAGAGCTGGCTGCGCGGGGCGACTATGCTCTGACCGTGGCTGCTGCACTTGATCCAAATCGGCTGCGAAGCTCCTATGATCGGAAAGCCGGAGTACCGCCGTTGTTTCGCTTGCTTCTGAGAGGAAAGGGCGAGTATGACCGACAACTGGACGGTGAACGCTTTACCGATCTGTGCAATGTCCTGAGGAGCGCCACCCCCCAAGAACAGGCGACAACAGTGATGGATGCGGTTCGAGAGACAGTGGCGAAGACACTAGGTTTCATGTCGCCGGAAGATGTTCATATTAACCAGCCCTTCCAAGACCTCGGAATTGACTCCCTGACAGCGGTTCTGACGCGCAACCAGCTCGCCGAATTGACAGGCCTGGCTCTCCCAGCCAGCATTGTTTTCGACCACCCGAATGCGAAAGCGCTCGCGCAATTCCTACTATCAAAACTTCTAGAACCCGCCGGAGATCCGTCACAGGGGTCGAGCGGTGCGCTATTAAAATCCAATGTCGCCCCAGCCGTTCCACCTGGTTTGAATATAGCTGCAATCATGAAGGGATGTCTCGACCCGATGTTTCGATTCGACGATGTGGTTGAAATGGCGGCCCGCCCAAAGGCAATATTCATCACCGGCGCGACTGGTTTTGTCGGCGCCTTTCTCCTACATGAGCTCCTCGAGTCAAATATACCCAGCTACTGCCTCGTGCGAGCCGATAATGCTAGTCATGCCAAGCGGCGGTTGGTGAGCACGCTCGAAAGCTATGGTCTTTGGAAGCCAGGCTACGCTACACTGGTCAACTCGGTGGTGGGCGACATGACACAGCCCTTGTTGGGACTTGACGAAAAGGCATTTGAACAGTTGGCGATCGGAGTTGACGCTATTTGCCACGCGGGCGCTCTCGTCGACTGGATGCGTCCGCTGAAGGATTATGTTGGCCCGAATATAGTCAGCATGCACGAGGTTCTGCGCCTAAGTTCGCTCGGTCGACCCAAGACAGTCCATCTCATCTCTACCGCCGCCACATTACCGAAGTATATGGGTTATGAGGTTGTGGAGGGCGATCAGGAGTATGGCTACGCCACCTCAAAATGGATTGCGGAGCGAATGTTGGCGGCGGCGCGTTGGCGCGGTGCCAAGGCGTCGGTGTACCGATTGCCATTCGTCACGGCATCCATTTGCTCTGGCTATTTCCGACGTGATCGCGGTGACTTCCTACACAACTTGATTGTCGGTAGTATTGAGATGGGTAGCTTTCCATCAATTAATGCTGATCTCTCGGCTGTCCTACCGGTCGATTACCTGTGTAAGACCATTTCTACATTGATGACTAATGTTCCTGGGCAAACTGGGGACTACGACTTTGTTAACTCCAGTGCGCCCAGCTTCAATGCCTTTTTCAATATGATCAGTGTTGCTAGTGGTGTTGGGGAGGTGATCCAATTTGCTAAATGGCAGGAACGGGCATTGGCATGGGCTACGGCAAATCCGACGAGTCACCTCGCCCGAATCGCTGCCGTCGTGGATGGCCTGACGGAGGAAAGTGTAGCCGCTATGTTCGAATGTTTGCCCATGGGTGAACATGTCTTTGATACCAACAAGGATTTGGGGCCTCTTTTAGACGATCAGTTTGTTGAAAAATATTTAAGCCGCACAAATACGGCCTAAGGTCCACGTTAGGTATTTTATCTGCCTTGGGCTTTGATCGAGTCGCCGCCGGTGTGGTGGTTACCAAATATGTATATACAGAGGTCGATTTTACACTGGGCACCTAGTTGGTTGGGGGGTCTCATGTAATGCCAAAAAGGGTTATCCTCATCAAAAATGGCTACGGAAGGCAGTTCAGTAGGCAGTTCAGTAGGCAGTTCAGTAGGCAGTTCAGTAGGCAGTTCAGTAGGCAGTTCAGCAGGCAGTTTAGGAGTACAGCTAATATAGCGGGACCTAGTGGCTCCCATACCAAACTAGCGATCAGAATTTCTATCATGACTTTGAAAATTGGCCGCAGTCTATAAAAAATATTTACGAGTATAATTTTATAACATATTACATTGAGCTTCTAATTATAAATAAGATAAAAAGTAAATAAAAATAGGTTACAATATAAATTCATCGAGAGAATAGGCTTCAAACTCGGTTAGTTTTGGTGGGAAAATGGGCAGTGGGTCGATACTTAGTAGCAGGGTCTGTATATGGCTTTCTTCCAATCATTGCAATCCAAATAATTTCAATTCCTGTGGGCAACGACTAGTAGAAGTTCCTGCTTTTTATTTTAATACTTCGAGATGACATCATAACCGACTAGTCGGTCTCCCGGACTATAAGAGTGCGAAGGATAGTCATTGGAATGGACATTATTCCGGTTAGACGCAATTGACTGTATGCTCGAATCTTGCATTAATTCACTGCAGACTTTGCCAGGCAAAGGCACTAGGTATCTAGTAAAGGTTGCTCGGAACACTGTTCAACCATGACATATCTTGAAAATCAGGAAACTCAAAAGTATCCAAGATAGCCGCATTCATTCCTTCGCCGAAGGACATATCATTCCCTCCACTTGTGCTGGCTCCTATCTTAAGACTCGGCACATGGCCAATCGGTAGCAGACCCTCAGAGGCAACTTGTTCATAGAGAATTTCAAGGGCCGCCACACAGCGCTGAGCGGATGTGCTATAACTTTGGTACTTTCGAAGAACTTCCAGTGCATGGTTCCAGGACAGGGCGACCGAGCTTTCTGTGACCTCGGCAAGGATCGCAGCGCACAAACGGCCAGCGATCAAGACAGTTGCAGAGGTATAAACATCTAGTCAAGTTAGAATCTCGAAGCTGAACCTGGGGAAAATCTATACGAACAAAGGATATTATACCACCAAGCCGGCAGGGGACCACCGGTTCCGTCAGCAGGGGCATTGTTGTAGATTAGTTCGATAGATTCTTGTGCAGCTTTGACACATATGACAGAGCACTGTAGTGCGACACGGTGGGGGAAGGAGTCGTTCGTCGAGACTAATGGGGATGCTGTCGTATTATCCCGAACAGCGCAGTATTTAGAGAGAGTTGGCCGAAACAAAAGCATCCGCACGTGGAGGAATCTACAGGAAGACACCAGTTAGTTATTGGAGGATATTTGACATTAGTATGAATCACAAACCTTGCACGCAAGACAATGCTTTGCCGGAAAAATACAGCATTTGCGGATACTGATGAATCCCCACGCAGATGCGGAGGAAGGCTCCGCGTCCATCGAGCGAGGGAGCGGTCGAGCTCAAAGATAGTCCGCTCTCCCTCACTTGAAGAATTATCGAAATAAAAGTCATAGATGTCTTCCCCATTATCGTCGGAGATTGGCTTGTAAAGACTAAGAAGCACATCGTTCATGATCTCGTAAAGTTCTAATGATTTGGCGTAGAACGCCATCATTGAAGGTCGATCTGGAGGTTGAAAGACCTCTTTAGTTGATCTAGATGGGATATAGTCGTCGTCAACGGCGGCTGGGAATGGAACCGCCCCACAAGAGGCTTTGGAGATCATTGCAGGCCGACCAAATGTCATAGATATGACCCTTTGAGATTGAAGTCAGAACCATGCCCAAGATTAGCTCGGTCAGTGGAGTTGAGCATACCGATCCATTAAGATACATCCATGCCATATTTTGCGCCCTAGCTGTTGCTCTTGAAAAGTCCGAAGGCGGGCAATGTTTTGGGGAAGATGGAGTCCTAAACTTTGAGCGTTACGGATAGCCAGTCCGGTGACAATCCAACATTGATGTGCGGAATCCGTACTTTGCAAATATTGGGCCATGAGAAGCAAGCATTGAATCAAACCTGATGATCCACTATCCCAAAGGTTGAATTGAAACAGGCCTTTTGCCCGGGAGAAAAAAGCATCCGCTAATGCCTCTCGCTCTGTAGGTGGGACAAAATCGGCCAACTGACTTGCCAAGGCGAATATGACATTCAGCGTACACATGAGCATATTTTCATCATACTCCAGGCTATCACCAGTCCATATTTTCATATATTCGGTTTTCATCTCACCCGGGACAAGAAACGGATATAATGGGAAGACACATTCCCAGTAAACCTCCATGAGGCTATCTGCCATTTTTCGCGGAGGAAGCACATAGTTAGTCGCCGAAGATTGATGTCTTTCGCTCCGTGTCGGCATCAGGCTTGAAGGAACAGCCGTATGAGGAACTGAAGGTCTTCGGTGAGGTGATGCGACTCTCCTGTCGACCGCCGTTCTAATTTGGCGCATAAACCCTGCCGCGCTAGAGCTTCCGAAGAAACCTTGGCTGGCACGTTCTTCCTCTACAGCACCCATCATCGCGTTCACTCTTTCTCGCTGACCTGTGGTTGTGGATGTGTTACCTCGACTATGGGCACTTTGTGTACAGTTTCCAGGCGTTTCGGGCTTGGCATTACCAGGTATGGGCGAGAGTAGATTTGCCTGTCATAAATGGATCCTTTAGATAGTGAAGCAAAAGCGCTATGAGTACACTAACCGGCGTGCAGTCTGATCCATGACCCTTCTCAGAGTGCTGAGGGCTTTCAAGTTCCTGGATCCGAGTTTCTAACCTGGATATATAACTACCGAAATAGACATTAGCAAACGCAGACGGATTTAGCGGTGTAATTGACATCGCATACGTTTGCCTTGCTCGCTTTTTCTCTAACTCTCCTGTATAGACACATTGGAGCCCCTGGTCGGTCCTCTTGCTGCATGGCCCACACACTTATTGAGTCAGTACGGATAGCATTCCGTAGCTATAAGGACATACCCGGTTGTGTCCCATCACAGCGAACTTTTCTTGCTCGACAGTCATCACATGCAACAGCAATTTTCCGACGTTTTGTTCTAGGGCGCGACTCAGATTTTGAGTCCATGACAATGGCAATATGAAGTTTGGAAATGAAGGAGCATAGGAAGCTCGGGATTCTATCCGAGAGACTACGAGGGCAGATACGGGAAACTAGTATCACCTGAAGCGCAGGCCTCCACGTGACGAGCATGTCATAAGCCTAGCCTCCCTAGGTGGACACCTGGGCACCTACAGCCTCGCCCAGACCTCGGGAGGTCCACGGGTCCACCCGTGGAAGGGTGGACACCTATTAGGGATAGCCTATGGCACAAACAGGGCTTGTGGGGAAAATAGTGGTACCTAGGTAGGTATGTTGTAGTTGGCAGACCAATTGAAGGGTAATATCGAAACCCAAACCAGTGCTGAGGTAATTAAACTCAGCGCCCGCGGGCCATCCGTCTATGGATACCTACCTGGCCCTTGAACCCAAGACTCCTTTCTCCTCTGATCCATCTTTGTATTACCACCCCTGCCTATGCGCCGGACCTGCCACGGGCCTCTCCTGCGCTCGAATTCATGATGCAGCGAGTCGCGCGCAACGCTTGGACAATTTGTATCCCAGGTGCCCACAGGGGCTTCACTACGTCTCTACCCTCCATTTCTTGCCTTCACCGAATTTCCCCACGGTCAAGTTCGAGAGCCAGCTTTATACCTCATCGAACAGTTATGTCATCACCACAGTAGACGTGTCCCCCGAGAGTATTTCCCACCTCGGGGTTCGAGTTGCTTGACCAGTCCATCGAGCTTGAGGAGGAGACACTACCCAATTACCAACCCGAGAAATACTACCCAGTCAACCAGGGCGAGTATTCAATGACCGGTATCAAGCACTTGCTAAAATAGTGTACGGAGTAACCTCAACCGTTTGGCTTGCGAAAGACTTGATGTAGGTGCAGTAGATTCGCTCCCGCCTAGACGATGGTGATTCTAATAGCATGATCTAAACTGGTGAATCAACATATGTTGTTTTGAAAGTTTATATCACGGGCCAGAACCGGGACCATGAGCGAGAGCTGGACATCTATAAGCATAAGAATTTGGTGGAAACAAGACATCCTGGCAGAAACTTCGTTCGCAAATTCCTCGACCATTTCTATATCCAGGGCCCTCATGGCCGTCACATTTGTCTTGTTCACGAGCCCCTCGGAACGAGTGCAGATGTCCTGGTGAAGATGTGTCCTGGGAACGTAATGACCCTTGACGAGATGAAGCCCGGTATCCGACAGCTACTTGTTGCATTAGATTTCCTGCACTCGGAGTGTCATATCATCCACACTGGTAATGTTTAATTCTCCTAGACCATGTGCTATAGGGTTAACACTGTCACAGATCTTCAGCTGAAGAATCTATTACTTCCCGGGCCAGAGACAAGCTATCTTTCCCGTTTCGAAGAAGCTGAAGTTACGGACCCATCAGCTAGAAAGATGCTTAAAGATCGAACAATCTACAAGACTTTGGGGTTCCTTCCAAGAGGTGGGCTGCCAGTTCTTGCTGATTTTGGGGAAGCTCGTTTAGGCCACCAAGAGCACGATGATGATATCATGCCAAACGTTTACCGGGCTCCTGAGGTGATTTTAAGGTCGAGCTGGGGTTATAAGGTGGATATATGGAATGTTGCTATGGTCGTGGGTGAAAATACTCTTACTTTTACTTAAGAAACGCTAATATTTTGGTATATCTAGGCCTGGGACATCGTTAGCCCCCGCACCCTTATCACTGGCAAAAACCCAGATGGCGTATTTGATGACCGCGTCCATATGGCAGAACTGGTTGCCCTGCTAGGCCCTCCGCCACCTGAATTCCGGAAACAGACACACCTCAGTTCGGTCTTCTGGGATGAGTTGGGCAACTGGAAGGAAGTAGTCCCAATCCCAGACATTACCTTTCAGAGCCTCGCCGAGAATGTCGAAGGGGAAGATAAAGAAGGGTTTTTGCGGTGGCTGCGAATGGCCTTGCAGTGGAACTCCGAGGACCGACCGACCGCGTTAGAACTCTTATACGACGAGTGGCTAATGAAGGGTTTAGAGGAGAGCGCAGGGTAAGCAAGTAGTACAACCGAACAAAAGGAACTTGATATATTAACTTGAAAAACTCCCCATGTGGGATACCTGCATGCTCCAATGTGGCAGAATGTTGGCAACGAGATCACACAATAGTAAAAGGGGTGTTAGCAAAAGTGAATATTAGATTGATAGTTCGGCGTAAGCTTAGATTGCTATGCCAATGGCGAAAAACTTTGACTTATTGTTAAGATACATGTAAGTATAATGTACGGTCTATCATAATATTAGTTACGTTGTTCGTATACTTATCCACTCGCCTCTCTAGTTGCGCAACCTTTAGAAGTTGCCAAGGGGCGATAAGGGAGATCAAACTGAGGGATTTCCTCCACGTTTGCCTTCCATGCATTATCCTCTTCATCGTCATCATCGCTAGATGACGTTTCATCCTCCTCTTCTTCCTCCTCCTCCCCCTCCTCACTGTCATCCTCACTTTCATCCTCTTCCTCCTCATCGGTTTCATCGCCTCCAACATCTGACGACTCCCCACTCTCAGATTCTTCTTTCGGCCAACCCCTCTCTTGTTGCTCCCAGCAGGTTTGCAGAAGCTCACAGGCATCATCAAGTCTCCACTCAGCCAAATGACTCGACTTGCGGTCGACTAAGCTCCAGTGTGCCCCGTGCTTCATCAGGAGCTCGCAGGACATGGCTCGGCCATACAGTGCGGCAGCATGTAGGGCTGAATGACAGTATCCACCAAAAGAATCCACCTCGGCGCCTTGTTCCAGAAGAAGCGCAAGCACTTCACAGCCTTCAGACACAGAAGCAGCCTGTAAAACAGTGAAGTATTTTCCTCCGGTTTTGTGGATATCGGCACCATATCTCAGTAGAAGGCGAACGCCATCAATCGATCCGCTGGCAGCTGCCGCTTGCAATGCACCGGAATATATACCACCTGTAGCATTTGAATCAATTCCTTTTCTTAGAAGGAACCTTGCAATATCAAGATTGTTCGACACAATAGCAGCTGTCAATGCCGTGCCAAACTTTCCACCGGTCGTGTTGATGTCCAACCCGCGACGAAGAAGACCCTTCACAATCGCCATATTTCCAGTAAGACTAGCGGCCTGCAGTGCGTTGTGGTACTTTCCTTTGCCAGTAGGCCCGATAGTTGCTCCTCGTTTCAGCAGGTAAGAAAATACCGAGAAGTTATCACTCGTCGATGAAGCGTATTCCACCGGTGAGCTAGAAACTCCATCTGATGTTTCCAGGTGAGCCCCATTTTCGACCAAGAGACGAAGAATTGATAGTTGCCCCGTCTTAGCTGCGGCATGAACTGCGGTAGGATACTTCGCATTTCCTTTCAGGTTGACATCGGCACCAGCATCCAACAACGCCGAAACCTTATTGTGTGCGTATAAAACAGCACATATAAGCGCATTTCCATAAACTCCGCCTTGAGCGTTCACATCCGCTCCCACATCAAGCAGGATCTCGAATACGGAATCATCTGGTCTCCACCTTAAGCATTGTTGAAGTGGTGTCCCATACTTTCGAACCGAAGCATTTGGGTCAGCACCGTGATGTCGAAGGAGGGATGACACCAATGTTGCACAGGAATTCTCAAGGGCCGCGCCCAAAGAGCCTCCATATTGTCCGCCCCCAAGATGAACTGATGCGCCAGCGTTCAGAAGATCAGATATCACAAGGTAATATCCGCTTGCATATGCAGCCTGGAGCGCTGTTCCGAACTTACCACCGACAATATTAGGTTCTGCTCCATGCTCAAGCAATACACGAACGATTTCTTCATTGCCTTTAGCAGCCGCTGCTTGTAGAGCAGTGGCGTACATACCCCCTATGCTATTCACATTGGCGCCAGCATCAATCAAAATCTGGAAAGTGTCGTTCCATTCATGAGTGGCAGCTGCCGTGAGCGGATATTCGAAGGGTGGACCAACAGGGCAATTGATGTCAATTCCTCGATCAACCAGTAACTGGATAACTTCGTCGTAGCCACCACCTTCAATCGCCGCCATCAATGCACTGCCATATTTGCCAATTCCACAGACATGGATATCTGCACCAGCCTCAATCAACGCCTCTATCGCTTCCTGGTTTCCTTGGGATGCCGCGGCCTGTAGGCTTGTGCCATACAAACCACCCACTTGATTAATATCACTCCCCGCGTCGATTAAGATCCGAATTTTATCCACGTCCCCCACGAAAGATGCAGCTTGTAGCGCAGAGCAGAACATGGCATTTTCAATGTCCACTGAAAGATGAGCGCCTCTTAGAATTAAGTTTTGAACTACCTCATTGGATCCCTCCTCTACCGCGCACTGCAGTGCGGTGATGAAATCGCCACCGGTATCCTCACCATCTTCATCCTCATCATCCTCATCCTCGTTTTCATCCTCATCTTGATTTTCACGAGGCTCGATGGCAAGATTAACATCTGCGCCGTGATCGAAAAGTAGATTCATAAATCTATCATCCTCTAGCACAACTGCCATGAGAAGAGGTGTAGGATAGCAACCATTGACAATATTGACGTCCGCACCTCGGTTGAGGAGGATGACACAAAGGTCATAATTCTCGGATTCCAAGGCACCCCCGAGTGCGCAGAAAGCGACATTGTCAGAGTCCGCTGAGGCATTGATATCTGCCCCTGGTTCGAGCAAGAACTCTACAATAGGAATACTTGACTTTTCTCCGCGGCAAGCTGCAATGAGGGGTGTTCCGTACTCTTTGTCGTTCATGAAATTCACATCCGCACCCAGATCAACTAGCAGACGAACCATGTCCAGATTGCCCTTCACAGCTGCGGCCTCTAAGGGTGTGCAGCAGGGATATGTTGAAATGGTGCTACAATCGTCTGTGACAGCACCCATTTCAACTAGGAGCCTGACAACTTCAATGTGTCCCTTGCTTGCAGCCACCATAATGGCGTTGCTCATCTCGTAGGTATCTCCGGTCGGGACACCCAACTCAAACAGTAGCCGTATAATCCCAGCGTGGCCATTGTGGGCGGCTGAAATTAGCGCTGTTCCTCGATCTGCGCTAGGGGCATTGACATCCACGCCTACCTCCGCCAGTACACGTAATACATCTGCGTGTCCCGCGGATGCAGCCATCTGGACACTATTTCCATAGTGCTCGTCGAAGAATTCTATATCCGCACCGGCATCGAGGAGGCTTTGAACGATTTTTATGTGACCCCCCGCACTCGCAGCATTGAGTGCATTCCGATGCTTTCCTCCTTTGGCGTTGACATCAGCCCCAAGCTCTAGGAGTAGCTTCACCGAATCCAGATTGCCTGCCATGCACGCCGCGTATAGACTGTCAGTCCCCTTGTCATTGTGGTCATTGACTCTGGCACCTTTCGAAACCAGTGAGCAAATCAGGTCTAGCATCCCCATAGACGAGGCTGCCATCAGTGCACATCCGTGTCGACCACCCAAAGCATTCACATTGGCTCCCCGCTGAATCAGGGCATCAACCATCTGCATATTCCTACCAACAATTGCGGAGACGAGAGGATACGCGTACCAGCCACCACGACCATTCACGTTTGCACCTTGGTCGAGGAGAACTTCAAATGTTTGAAAGTGCCCCTTCTCAGCGGCGGCTGCAAGAGGAACACCGTACCTCTGGCAGGTAACGTTCAAGTCTGCCTTATTGGCAAGAAGAAGTGAAACAACTTGATGGCGACCATGAAGGGTAGCGACCTGGAGAGGGGTGCCGTTTCTTCCCGATCGAGTATTGACATCCGCCCCTCTCTCAAGCAGCAGCTTAACCACGGGCTCATGCCCTTGGGTGGCGGCCATGTAAAGGCATTTTTCAACCACGCCTGTGTCTATCCATTCACGCTGGTCAAGAAAGACTTCAATCACCGACTCATGTCCGGCACTTGCGCTTGCTTTCATGGGCTCTTCTATGTGGATTTGAGTGTTGCTGTCCAGCAAAGCGGAGACGGCCCGGGGTAAGCCGAAGAAGCTTGCAAAGTAAAGAGGGGAATTGCTTGACGTCTTCAGTCGCTGACCACTGGACTTTTGGAGATAGAAGAATATATGACACCACGTGCGGTAATTGCCACCAGACATGGCATCAGATTCAAGTAACCTCATGATCAGATCGAAGAGCTCGTCACTAACGTCGCTAAGGTGTGCATGGGTGCCCCATGCTTGGACGGCATATGGAAGAAACTTGTACTCATCGAAGGTTTGTAACAAGGCTTTTCCGGACCTTTCCCGGGTTCCTGCGAAGTCATCATAGGTCAGATAGGTCAGGCAGACACTTGCTAGCTCGGTATGAGTATTGCTATTCCCAATCCAGAATTGCGGCATGGTATCTCTGATAAAATCTGACACAAGAAATTCTTTGACTGTGTAATGGGCCAAGGCCACATAACAGTCAGAGGAAAGCGTAACCAGACTTCCACAAAGCTCGACAACATCTTCCGCGTCAGTAAAGACCGCATCGAAGTCGAAGGAACCCCCACGGTCGCTGATATCAACGCTCACACACTCGGCCAACTCGTCCAGAGTAAGATTCCGAACTCCAAAAACCAACCATTTCAGCAATCGTTGCACTATTTCAACGTCTTCGGAATTGTTGGACTCCACTTTCTGTAGTATGCGGGTGTACGTATCGTGCAATGTCTTTGGGAGATCATTAAGGGCATTGCGCACGGCCTTATCGTTACGGAGTTTGCACAGCTGATCAATCTGACACTTCACCCATTGGAACATACCCTGTGCTCCTGCGATTAGTGTATCGCAAATAATACCCGCGAGGTTGGAGTCCCTTAGTTTCAACCTTCGGGCCTTGAGTCTCGCCGCCACCTCGGCCTTCACGTATATATCAATATCTCCGGCAATATCTATCGCCTCAATGGTCACGCTCGGCAGTTGTTCATAAGTCCGAGCAATATCAATTTCGTGACGACTAGTGACAAAGATGCTTGAAAATTTGCACGTCTCGTATATTTTCTTCAGGGAGTAGGCCACACATTCTCTGTCTTCACTTTCATCCAAAGCGTCAACCACAATATAGATCTGTTGGAAGCTATCGCCCATAAAGTGACTGAAATTGTTTAGAAGCTCGTCAAAATCCGGTGCATAGGCTGGATTTTCTTTGTACTGCCGTTCGAAAAAAGCCTGGATTCTATCGAAGACACTATCATTCCTTGATGCGAGCATTGACAGTAATGTGCTGATGATCCGGGTTGGTGATTGCTTTTGCTTGTCCTTGTAGTCGCAGTAGAAGTAGGCCAGCGCAACTTCACTACTCTGTTTCTGGTTGCGTAACCATTCGATAACAGTGGAGGCCAAGATTGTTTTCCCCGCGCCTGGAATCGCATGCAGCCACAAGAAGGAGTTTTCCGTCAACGCCCACTGCCGGAATGTCAGACCATCTAAAAACCAGTGTCCTGTTCCCTGGTAGCGCAATTTAGTGGCCGATGTATGATTGGAGGCTGCGTTGACGGGTGAAAGCCACTGATTGACGGAGTCAATTCGTTGCTGGTCGATGAAATGAGCAACGGACTTTTGATGCGATTCTAGGGAAACCCAGCGAGATGTCTGCAACTGGCGTTCATGCTCGGCCTTTGAACGTTCTTTACTAGCAAGCTCTTTTTCCGCAACATCGGCTTCATGGTCTATTCTAACCATAGAGGATCTGATACGTTCGATGATATCACCGAATTGAATCTTGAATGGCTTCCAGATGAGTCTCCAGGCCGCGTGTAGGCCGACTGGATTCAATGCTCTCACACCAGTCTGGTATTTCTTTCCTTGGTGGAAAAGGTCTCGAGCTCGGGAACAGAAATGCATGATTGACTGGAAAATGTCTACCATGGCATCGCGAAGGACTTGGTTATCCACGTATAAACGTGGATACCGACGTAGACAAGATAGAATGTACCCAATTTCCTCGAACATGTCCGTGATCTTGTCAAAGTATTCGCTATACTCGCCAGCAATCTGCGCGCATCAGGACTTTGATCAAAAATGTTTTTTCAGAGGTGTCTTGGATAAATGGTATAATCAGGTACACGGCTTACCTTGAGAACAACTCGCACAGATGCCCAAATAGGACTCATCATCGAGACTGAACCTGCGACAACATCCAAAGCTCCACCGTACTGCTCAACACCCGCTATGAAGGCTTTAAGTTTTGGGGCGATTTTTCTCGAGATTTTCCCCTTCTGCTTATTGTCGATATTTTGAAGGTCATCAATCAGCTGTTGCGATCGGGTTGTAGCCTCGAATAAAGCAGTTTCATCAGCAGAGAGATCTTCGAAGAACTTTTCGATCGCATCATGACATTCATCATCGATAGTAGAACTGTATACTGTATGTTAGCTCTTCTTGAACGTGCCAAACAACGATTGGAGAGGGTCACTCTTTTGATACGTTCTTCATAATGCAGATGGCACATGCAATCTGAGAAGAAGGAAAGGCCGAGACGAATGATGCTTCAGACGAATGAGCATATGTTTGCAATTGGTTTAAAAAAAAAAAAAAAAAAAAAACTTATGACAACCTTACCATTCAGCTAACGTAATCTATAATTGAGTTAACGTCGTAAAGCTATGAGCACGTTTTTGGCATATTTAACAATGTGGGGGAATTGTACCCCGTAATACGCGAAGTATCTGTTTATTTTTCTCCCGTTGGTCAACGTGTTTGCAATGTTTGCAATTTAGCGACAAGTTTTAATATCCCTTCTATTTTCCTTTTGGACAACGGCGGAGAGAGAACCATTGTGTCTATAAATCTCTAATTGGAAATGTATACTAAGTGTAAGGGCTATCAACTGAATAATATAGGAAAGGATCCAATTGAAGTGTCCTTATAATTCTTATAGAAAAGATGATCTACCCCGGAAAACAGCCCAACAATATCCATGGACAAGACCAGACCGGTAGACCAATAACCGTGCCACCTCACATTCTTGTCCCACTCAAGATAATCTTAACTTTTGACACTTGCCTTGAATTCCAAATTGTTGTCGGAAATCCTGGAACGGATGGGGAATATTGCATACGTGCTAAAGACTGGGGACCCGAATCTTTCGGTTCCGGATCTTGTTCGTTGATGAGAATCTCCTCTTAACTTCAGATTCTCTATTAGTTTGTGTCTCAGAGCTCGTTTTTAAAAACATCCATGGATACTTCTTTTCTAAACCTTGGAAAGATTAACAACTTAGCTATTGCTTCGTAATCTCCCGCAGAATCAATTCGGCGCCCGATGTCTGAGACTCTTTACAACTAAGTATTACTTTTGTACTTTTCACCGGCTTTGACTGGCAAAGTTGCGGAAGACGACGGACTAACCCCCTCCTGGACAAATTCGGGTATGTATTCCGGTGACTGCAAGTTCCAACCAATCTCTCTCTCTCTCTCTCTCTCTCTCTCTCTCTATATCATGATAGGGTCCACATAGCAGTATACGCTAGAGCGAGGGTCGTGGTGTCTCACCCGAAAATTCCTGTTCTACTTCCCTCCTGGAATATGCAGACTCCTGATGCAAGGGTTGCAGTGACTATGTGCTTAATTGGGGGATTTGTAGGTCCACTTTGATTTTATTATGACATGAATACATTATTCTAGGTGAGTGTACTAGATAAAGGAGTGGGGTTCTAGGTAGATATACCCAGCAATTTGTGATAACAAGAAAATATCCCTGGTGACAGATGGCCAGAGATCCGACATATAATGGGACTGCACGTACCTAAAATAAGGAACAAAGTCATTGCGCTGCCTAGATTCTCACCAACATCCCGGAAACGCCTCAAGATCACTACGTAATCTTACTTCTTACGGCGGGAGGGTGAAAAATAGTACAGAAATATTCATTTTTCTTTTTGATCTCCACCGGTAATGCTGTCTTTAGTGAATGAACTTATAGAAGGTACGAGAAAAATGCTGATGATAAATTCCAGAACAGTGATCGGACTGTCGCCATCTAACTGCATAGGTAGGTTCGAGCGAATTTGTGATTTCTCCCTCATTTTCAGCTCTATCTACGACCGGTACCCGGTACAGGTAAGAGGGCTATGGTAAGTGATCAAATTAGGTATCAACCAAAACACTTGAGGTGTTAGCGTCCCAATTGTTGTCCAGCCTCTACGCCACACATCGGCAAGTACTAGTGATAATACGAACAGCGGGTTGTCTGACCCCACCACACGCGGGGGGCCTTAGTTTCTGGAAGTTCTGGGATAACGAAGAAGTCTCGCTAGTTAACCACAACACCACGGTTTTGTAACCTCGAATATTTATTTCTCTGGTTCCTCGAGAAGAAAACAGGAAGACATCTAATTACTCCTTTTGACCTTGGAATTGACGAATACTGACGTACGTGGTAGATGCGGAGGTACCATTATGAGCTGACCTGAACCATTTGTCTCACTTTCAACCTGCCAGAAACCACCCCACTAACACTGGTCACACGTAAGTGGGAGACCAGCCAAAATCGTTTTCGAACTTTGATTATTCGAGAATATGCTGATTCGGCTATTGTCCGACCCGGACGCCTGCCACAGTGGTATAAATTCCAAGCTTAACCCCGGTTATGGAAATCACAACAGGACATCATACATTCTTCGCAAACTCTGGCATCTTCTTTCGCGTTGCACAAAGTCAGTTTAAAGATTGCCCAAATGGAGTTTCTCCAAGTTATTTCTCTGTTATCTTTGTTCTTCACTACTGTCGTAGCATTCCCCCAGCAAACTGCCGCAGGTACAACAACCGCGACTGCAGCGAGAATTACCAAGGCTGCATCGCTAAGCTGCTCGGACGGGCAGACCGCTGTTTATACTACGGATTGTACGATGGGAACTCCCACATCGTACTGCGCTCGACCAGAGCCCCCGATTCAGTGCTCTGAGGGGTACTTCCCCTCGGTTTGGCATCCAGGTCATTGTATGGAGCAGTCGACATGTTTCCCGCTTGATGCATCCTGGATCACGACCGAGTGCTCGCATGGGGCAATTCCTTGGACAACAAAGACCTTGTATGAGGGTACATTGGCTGGAGGGCAATCGACTATTATCAGTGGTGAGTCCTTCCTCTTCTTTTTTTTCTGATTCAGTTTGCCCCTCAGTACCTGCCTTACCAAACAAAGTATAGGGCTTTCTGAGACAGTAAGGCTAACACATCTGACTCATTTCTAAAGCTGTTTCCTGCTCCTGTGCCAGAGACCAATGGTATAGCATGACTATGCTCCCAGGCGCATCAACTGTGGACACTTTTTGCATGCCGTCAAGCTCTTGTCCAGCAGGCATGACAACTTCAGTCTCAACTAATACGTACTGCGCAACAGCGCCGGCAAGCATGTGCTCAGATACTCCCCTGGAAACGAACTACTGCAAGTGCGAAAATGCATCGCAGACACCTGTGTATCCCGACGCCGTTGGAGCGGCCCCAACCGGATGTACACTTTAATCGAAAGCAAAGGAGTTCTTCACAAAACACGCTATTGGCCAAGGCCAGTCGAGTTAACTTGGCCTCGAGACCGGGAGATAAAGTGAGTTGTAGCTGAGATCTTGGAGGCTTTCCTAAGGGACGTGCGCCATCAAGTTGTCGCGGCTAGGATGGACCCTATCCCCCCGAATCCTGTATATATCTCTAATGAAGTATCTATCAATAAAACCAGCGGAAATTATCACAAGTAGGACCATCCTTGAGATATTCCGTGGGAATATCCCTTGCCTTGACATGTACACCTTGCAATCGGTCCCTCTTCCTATTATCCGCCATCATCCATAGCCCAAGGCAGAGTGTTAGGATAATTCCAACCCCACCAAATGATGCCGTGGTGATTAAAGCGGGGAAATAATTAGGCGCATCTTGTTTGCGAAATATATTTGAGCTAACAACCCCCATCAAGTTCGCTAGTGGGACCGCAATACTCGTTAATACTACGCGACGCCCTTCATTTGCAGTGTTATTGTTATACCAAGCGTCGAGCAGGACGGAAGGCGCAGATGTACCCCTAGGTAGCGATGTTAACTCTGTGTCTCGTCACTGAACGATAATGAACTGACCAAGTCATCAAAAATGAAGCGAAATAAGCCACATTTAGATCCCGCTGTACATCGATAGTCGCATATATCACGAACCCCACGAAGGTGAATAAAAAGCCGAGTGCAATGAATGGGAATCTCCACCTCGTCCAGTCACTACAGAACGCTAATATGAGGAGAGCTGCGGCGCCTGAGATATTGGGAGCGACAGTGAATAGGTTCGTCTTGACGGTATTGTATCCAAGACGCTGGATGATCACTGGGAGGAAAAGCTGAACAGCCTGCAGAGGGACGCCCAGGCAAATTTAAATGCCTAAAATCACCCAACTAGTTCCATGTTTGAAAACTCTGAAGGCATCCCGGATGTCGAGCTTTTCATTGACCACCGAAGAGATATCAATCTGCAACCGAATGTATGCAAGGTCTTTCTCTTCGGGTGTTAGAAACGATGCCTCCGATGCCGACCGAGGCAGATACCAGAGTGCAAATAGTGCAAAGAGAATAGTCCCTCCCCCTTCAATCAAGAACAGGTACCGCCAAGGAGCCAATGGGCCCGTGTTGATACGGAAAATTCCAAATGCCAGCAAGCCAGAGAATGCCGATGCAATGGTTTGGGCAGCGTAGAAAATAGCCAGTCGGCGAGCTAGCTCACCCCGGCGGTAGAAACTGGCTCTAGATTAGCCCTAAAGGGATAATTCTATTTTGAAAGGGTTGAAGGGGTCGACTTACGTTGTTTGATAATATATCACCAACGGAAAAAACGCGCTCTCAGCCATACCCAAAAACCATCGAATAGCCAACAGGCCGCCGAAGTTGAATACAGCAACAACAAAAATTGTACAAATACCGAAGGCAAGCATCATGCAGGGCAGCACAATGTTTGGTCCATATTTTTTCCCTAGCAGACCGAGGAAAGGTGCAGTCAAAACGTAAGGGACGAAAAAAATGCTCAAAAGCAGATTGTATTGATTTCCTGTGAGTGAAAGTGTGTCTGTCATCGCAATTTTTATGTTAATTCTGGCACTTGCAATGAATCATTGATCCTTTTGACGACATACCTTCAAGGCCAGCTGTCTTGGCATTGCCTAAATTGGACTTATCCAGGCTATTGAAAAGGTACATGATCGCCAACACAGGAAGTAGGCGAAGATCAAACTTCCAGACCAATGCGCGCTCTGCTTGAGAGTCGATTTCCACACTTGATATAGTGACTGGTACATCTTGTTTTGAAGGTAGGTGATTCGATTCAAATTCCATGGGAAACATGGTTATGGGTGCAATACTCCAAAAATAAGGATTCCTAAGTTGATTTAAGGGTGTTGCAGGTGATATATACTGCACTTATAGAAAGATAAGAACTAAACGCTAAGCAACTTAAGTTGGAATCTTGGAAGTCTTGGCTGATAAGAACGGAGACATTCCACTTAATGATACAATCGGATTGGATAAAATATAGCCAGGTAACTCTTCACTATGTCCATATGAAGGATTATATGACTTTAGGGGGTGACATTATTCGTGACGTTTATTTTGTACGGAGTATTCCGCAATCTGCGATAATTACGTACATGTATAGATAACAACTGTCTAAAGAGATATCTTAATCTTATTTATCGTAGTTAGAATTTAGGCAGAACACGAATGGGAATATGACTAGATTCCGTATAAATGAAGGGAATGACTACGGAATTCTGAAAAAGTTATTATATTGCCTGTATTAACCTATCCTTAGATCTCCTAGATCCATGTCACTTGATAACAGCTGTGAAAATTAATGTAAAAGCAAAATATGGAGTTTGAGTACCCATTTCCCTGCCCCTGGGGGCTATACGATGTACATCAATCATCAATGTGCTCCGTAAACCTATTCTTTGGCTTAGGTACAATATAACTACACAGGCTAATTCCAGGAAGTACTTTTATTTTTACAAATGAATTATAATATAACAATGTGCAATATCAAGTGTACCAGGTATTAGACCCCCCAAAAAACACTTCATAGTATTTACTCTATAGAACATAGACTTTTGTTCGTCCTACTTCTCGGAAAATGATGTGAGACTCCACTACATCCCATTATTGGTCCTTTTTACCACATGCGTATAGAACTATTTGCGACCGACGGCCCGAGGCTTTCCCCTCTTGTGAAATCTTCCTGAAACTCAACAGGCAATTTGGACCATGTCACCGCTGTGATCACTGCGATAACTGCGATCGACACAACCTCACAAAGAGGGGCTAGCTAGTTAGCTCTGTTCCCCAGCTTGTTTTGGGGACCGAGGCAGAATCTGGGGTATGAGGGGTTTCATGTGGATTTGCGATGATCATCTACGCGCTAGATTTATAGCTTCCACACTCGATGCACTTTAGACATTTTTTCCTTGTTTGCTAAGACCAAGGAATACCCCGCGATCTAGACAGTTTATTCAATCGAGCTCGACTTCAACCCCATTCTTTACAGATCACGTCTAGGTCTGCTGGGAAAAATGGCTTCTAACAGCCCCAAATCCGGCTTCTTGGGCAACATAACCAAGGATGAGAAGGCCAAATTACAAAGACTTTGGTCCGTTCTACTCAAGGCAGGCGAAACATCCTTAAGCAATGATCCTGCCAATGGCTGCGCCCAGCATTTTCATTTACCTCAACCCCAAAGGCAGTTGTCGCTTCTTGGCCGCACACAGAGCAACGTCTCCGAAAAGGCTATCCCCACGCCAAACACCCCATATTACCAAAGTATTATGAAAGATCTCGAAGAAATGGGGGCTGGAGTAACTGAATCCAACGCAATCAAGAAAGCCCTCTCCGAGATCACACCTACTGAGCTTCGTACGGGAGTACTTAACACTCTCAAACACGAGCACCCGGATGCTGTGCTTCTGCGATTTCTCCGTGCTCGCAAATGGGATGTCTCAAAGTCGTTTGCAATGATGATGGGAGCAGTTGTGTGGCGAGTGAAGGAGATGCAAGTAGATGAAGATGTGATGGCAAAGGGAGAACTTCATGCCCTTAAGCAAACCGAAAACCAATCCAGCACAAGTGAACAGAAAGCCGGAAACGACTTTTTGTCTCAAATGCGAATAGGAAAGAGTTACGTGCATGGCGTTGATAGAGTTGGTCGCCCAATCGTGGTGGTGAGAGTCCGCCTACACAAGCCTGGGGCCCAGAGTGAAGAATCTTTGGAGCGATATATTGTGCATGTAATCGAATCAGTACGACTCACATTAGCTCATCCAGTCGAGACTGCAGTAAGTGGTTTGTTCAAGCGCGGCAAGGTAAAACGGTGTCGCTGACTCCAGGCTAGGCTGTTCTATTTGATATGACAGGATTTGGACTCTCTAATATGGTATGTCACAGTGTTTATCCACTGAGTATCACTCTCGTCCTTAGCACGTCTAACCCTTTTTTTTTCAATTGGATAGGAATATCCACCTGTGAAATTCATTCTCAGGTGTTTCGAGGCCAACTATCCTGAATGTTTGGGAATTATGCTTATCCATAATGCCCCGTGGGCCTTTTCCGGTAAGTTACTCATTTTCGTGGTCAAATATCTCTGTCCTATCGCTTCCCTTTCTTTTTGGACTCACTGTTGGAATTTTGTAGGGATTTGGCGGCTCATTCGCGGATGGATGGATCCTGAAATTGCTGCGAAGGTCGAGTTTACAAATAGTGTCGCCGATCTCGAGAAGTTCATCCCCCGGGAGCACATCGTGGAAGAGATGGGCGGGGATGAGAAGTGGTCATATCAATATGTTGAGCCCAGTTCTTCTGAGAACTCAAAGATGGATGATACTACGACACGGGACGCGCTGAAAGGCGAGCGGCAAGCTATTGGTGAAGAGTTCCTGGCTGCTACGTCTAGGTGGATCAGTGCGGCGAAATCAAAGGACACGACGAAACTGCAATCAATCGAAAGAGAAAGAGCGTATCTAGCCGAGCGACTGCGCGTTAACTACTGGAAACTGGATCCCTATATTCGGGCTCGCCTTCTCTTAGACCGCACGAAGGTTATTCAGGGTGGTGGCAAGGTTGAATTCTATCCCAGGGAGGTTCCTGTGGAGAGTGACATTGAAATTAACAAGGCGTTGGACGTGGAACATTTAGAGCGGATTGACAATACCGCACTATCCACGCTTTCGTAGATATGGATGAATTCTAGGTGTTATGCGTTTACTATTTAAATACTCAAATGGCTCTAAAGTGATTATCAGCTCAGCAGCCTGTCCCCAAAGCCTCATGACTGGGATTTAGACCAGCTAGCCCTCAAAGACACAGTAGAGGCAATCCAATTTATTTACTGCCTCTTGGCTCTTCTTCTATGCAGCACGGGAACGCGCATCTTCGTCTTCGCTAAGGAGCTAAAAGAATACCCCAATGGCTACGCAGGCAGTATAACACAATGAAGGTTGAATCAATACCCGCTAACGCTCTCCTTTTTGGCAACTTGCAAGCCCCCGCTCCTATGATCGGAGGTGAGACCGACAAAAGATTAGTCGGCATTGGTCTTATCGTCATTGTATCCGGATATACCATCAGGCGAGCCCCATTAGTCTCATGGTGCTTTTTCAGGCTTGAATTCGCATACGGTATGTGATTATCTTCTCCATAGTCCACCATTTTGCAGCGCCCAGGATGCAGTGGCCGCATAAGCCGAACATGTTGAATGAGCTTACCATCGCGGCGGGCCTTACCAACGGTATAAGCAGAGGCTCCCTCTTCCTTGCGGTTGTCGATGTCGTGACGGGAGTACCGCACAAATCCATGAGCTACCACCCTACATAGTCTATAGTGTACTGTACATCTTTACGGAGTACTCCGACGGATCTCGGGACTGGGGAACCTTTAGTCATCCAACTCCGAGTTCCGAGGACCGAGCCCCGACAACGACCTACATAGGTGGGTTGCCTTTTGACCGCTATCCACCCTCTCATACTGGGTATTCATGAAATGGCAACTCCCCGCCGTAATGGTCAATTAGCATCCTGTGAGCCATGCCGTACCTCAAAGTTGCGATGCGATCATTTAAGTCCCATTTGTGGACGTTGTGAGCGCCGCGGTCTTCATTGTACGTATCACCCGGCACCATTGACACAGCCCTTCGATGCAATACGGCCCAACAAAAAACGCCGCGTGGTTTGCCAATCAGAGCCTCCCAGTAGCATCGGTCCACTGCAGAATGAAAGCGATATCTGGACGCGGAAAAAAGCATCAGTCTCGGCTCCAGGATTCCTGGGGCAAACCAGTTACTCCGATGCGTTTACAGATACGAAAAGTGAACTCCTTGTTGGCTCCCCATCCCTCACAGGTCATGATAGCTTTCCCATTGACCAAAAGCGGATCAACCTCGGTGCTCGGGTCTTAGGGCTTCTAGAGGACCTCCCATTTTATAGAGATGTGGTCACCGCTCGATTCAAGATATGGAAGGGATGGAGCCTTGGCTGGCCAATTACGAATATGATTTTTACTATCGTGGAAAAGATGTGGAACTCCCTAGAAACTGAGGGTATGGACACAAACCAACGCGCCTTGTTCCTGTCTAAGAGACTCTTTGAAACGCATAGCCGGGCACTTGAGGTGTACCCTTCAATGACATGGGAGGACTTCCAGTCCGCTGCTGCCGGAAGATGGGAGGTGATTGGGATGCTGCTTACTCTAACAGGTCTAGCTACGGACTGGGTCCCTCACGGCGACCCCATCTTCATGCGTCAGAATACGATGGATCCGAAGAGTCTAGCTATAACTGCTACTGCTGTAGGAGACATATGTCTTCAATTCTGCGATAGCACGGGAATTGTGAACGATATTGTTGGCTGGCTGCTGTTACATCAAGTGACACTTTTGGCAATAGTCTATGGTGAAAGTGGTCTGTTGTCCCGTTCTTTGCCTGCTATCGTTGTCTAACGGAGTTCTTAGACTTTAGACCATGGAGGAAGTTAGGAGATTTATCGACGACAGTATTTGCACTCGGGCTTCATCAGGATTCTAGCACAAATGCTCCATTCTTTCTTTCTGAGATGCGAAAAAGAACCATGGTCGCGGCCTATTCAACAGACAAAGTGCTTGCCACTTTCTTGGGTCGCCCGCCACTTATCAGCTGGCGGTACTGTGATATTCAAATGCCACTTGACTTGAGCGTTGAGGAAATTTTCGCCGACTCAGTTGTTCGGGATGCGGCAATCGCTCGATTGGATGAGAAGAGCGGATGGAATCTGGAATCAAGCTTGATGAAGGGCACGTGGCCACGGATTGCCTTGATCACTAGCGTCCTCCGTGAGAAGGTCTTGGAACTTTCACTAAGTTGCCAACTCGAGAATCTCAGTCAAAGGGTCGAGTACGCTGACAGTTCAATTTCCTGCCAGATCTAGGTCATGACTGACGTTCCCAGGGAGCTTTCACGCGAATCGCGGCAGTTACGACAAGGACTGCCAGAATTCCTCCATTGGAAACCTCATATTGACGGGGTGGTTCTTTCCAGGGTAGAATATGATCTCCTTTTCGAAATTCATATAGAATTTCTGCATAACGATTTCCTGCTCTACAGGACCCTCGGTAAACGCACCCAGACCCAGCCCGAGGCAATTATTAGTATCGCTCGGGAGATACTCAAAGCATTGGTCACTATGATTTCCGAGAAGACTCGCAATAGACAACCTATCAAAGATATTGGGTTGAACGTAAGTTGAGCATATTTGTCTTTGTGATAGAAGGCTGCAACGCTGAAATATTAAACACATAATAGGTGTGCTTACCAGGACTCCCTTCCGCCGGTGTGCTCTGTGCAGAATTACTGCGTAGATCCCGGTCGACAGTGACAAGCCGTTTTCTGGGGTTTCCTCGCTCAGAGATTATTCAAAATTTGACCCTTTTTGCAGCATATCTGGACACTATCATTAACCCCCATGATGGTAACTACCGTGTCGCACAGCAGGGTCAGAAGGCAATTCGCCATGTCTTGGATCAAGTCCTATCCGTCGAAGTGGTATCCTCTGTGATAGAAGATACTGGAACGAGTGATAAAGCGATTGATGATGCCACCTTGCTTGACGGTGTGAATTTCGATGATCATGACTTATTTCTTGGTTGGCTTGATGGCAACATGCAACACATGTCCGACTCTTGGCTAGGATGGGTTAATTTTACCTGAATATGTGAAACCTGTGGAATCCGGTATAAATACTAGTGATGTTAAATGCCTGGGCATTTCAATAATAGAAGTTTAGGGGTACATATGCACCTAATGTAACTGTACTGATTATGCGCGTCCGTCTCCGTACTCCGTACATTCCGAGATAAACTGCTGGCCAACCGGAACCAGGTCCGGTCGTCACCTTCTCCCGACCTCGGGAGGTCGGGACAGCATCTTAGGTAAGCATGGATGGCCGTCCACCCACTGGTCCACCCGTGGACCCATCCATATTTTTTTTAGGGGGGGGGGGCTGGGGCTGTTGAGTTAAGCTAACGTACCGCCCCCTCTCTTTCCAAGACCTTGTAATGCAGACTTCATCCCCTTTTCCCTACTGTTGGACAGGAATATATTTAGAGCGTAAGAAGTGAGGCCTAATACTAACTATTTTTAGAGACGTTATTAAATAAAGAGACAAATTTTGTGACTTATAATAGGTATATTCAAGTAACCAAGCAGCTGGCCTTATATTATTTGACTTTTCAATGCACCTACCTAATAAGGAGAAGAAAGTCACATATGAAGCCCATCTTGCCCATTCTGCTGTCATATCCTTTCCCGGTAAAGTTGTGAATTAGTCAGCCACGACTCTCGCCTAGGTAGGTTCTGCAGCCATAAATAAGTTCACCAACTCACCAACTCACGCACATCCTCAGGCATAATCATGCCGATCACAAGAAGTCAGACCAAGCCGTCCGACAACAACCAAATACCAGATATCGTCCGGACTCGCAGCCAGGAAGTTCCTGGTCCCATAATTGAATGGCTGGACTTGGACTTTTCTGAGACGTTACCTGTTAAGCAAACGAACTAGAGAAATTCTCTGAATGAGATTCAAGGATTTGAGGGATGTCGCCACATCACTTTCGCATGCCCTGTCGAACTGCCCCGCAGGCTATGGATTATCATTCGTAAGGTCTCGAATGACGATAAACAGAAGAGAGGCTGACAAATGCATACACAAGAGTGGTTGTCAGAAACACACCGAAATAACTTCCACGAAACAGGCACAATTGCTGGCAACGCCAAAAGGACTCTTTCCCAATGCAGCGATGATGTCTATTCCATTTATCGGGTTGACTACTGTATTGGAAAGATGATACATGCGGGCTTCCCCATGTATCCTGATCCAAGACAAATCCACGAAGTCTGGATGGTTTACTTTCCTATCTACACACTGGACTCTGAAAAGAAGCGAGACCGCCAGTTACCTATCCTGTTGAATTTCTATGAGAGAGATGAGGAGCCTTCTAATCCGATGTCGGGGATTCTCAGTCACAACATCGCCTGGCTATCGGGGGAGATGAATTATCAAAGGGTGCAATGTCAACGCCTCGCATGGTTTATGGAGTGGAGATCTAAGGAGGCGGAAGAGCTCTACAAGACGACCGTACGATGGGTGCGTGAGGATAAAGGCAAATCCTGCAAGCCACAACTGACACTAAATATGTTCATTGATGACTTGAAGAGCCTTGGAATGGTCGGGTATGAGACGTGGCACGCTCACTTTGAGGATATCCGTGACGTTCACTTTACTTAAAGGTAACAATCCCATCGGTTCCTCCCTTGTAGTGACTTAAAGTCTCGATGATCCTATAGCAAAGGCCATCATCCCGAGTCAAGTCACAGGGAAGGAAAGTGCCACGCAGATCTGCATGCTTCGGATCCGCCAGCCAGCACCCTGGGGCATCCAGAACCACCAAATTGATATCGAGGGCTTTTGCAACTGAATAGTGATTTCGTCCTGTACCCCCGTATGTCGGATACCACCAATAATTCCCCACAAATACCAATGTCTGTCTTGGTTGTCGCTTTTCCAACACCCAGGGGAACGATAGTCGATTCCGCACCTCCTTCTCGAAAGCATCTAGATCTGCAGCGACATCATTTATCGACTCGTGAACATCGATGATGATGCCTCCTGCTGCAATAGCGAAGACGTTTGGGAGGCGGGAGAAGTCGGTTTCCATTACCGCCTTCCCGAGAACCACTGCTGGGGAGCCGCGAAAGAACTCACTTTGATGAGGTTTGAAGAGCCAGAAATGCGCAAAGGAACGATATCAGATCGCACGATATAGCCTCGGCGGCGAGGTATAATCAGTTTTGCGGCTCTACATCTGCCGAGTGGGGCCGAAGTCGCTGATGATAACAATGCATGTATGAACCCACTTCCAGTATCATCGAGGCCTAGAGATTGGACGGAAAGACCAGCTGTTGCATTGTGCTGTTCATAAGACGCCCCGTGCTCAAAAGGTGGTGTTGTGCTAGGCAGGTGTCGGTCGGTAGTCCCTGGCGTCAACTTCTGGATGGTGATATCCACGGATTGCCACAACGGGTAGTGATGGTTCACTAGAGACGTATGGCTGATAAACCAGCGACACTCAAACGTGTCTGCAGATATTTAGCATGTTACCACAGATATGATATTTACTAGTAGTTGTTTCCATACAGTGACCAAGTCGTAAGACCAATCTTGGGTGCATTGGGCCGTGTCGCCTTAGGCTTAATGTTTAGTCGATTGAAATATTATTGCTCAATTTGAGACAGTCAGGTAACCCTGGTTGTTGTCGTGAGACTAGAGACTAGATTCTACTAATATCGCGACTTTACGGCATTTTTTTTGCCTCTAGGAATATCTCATAGTGGATACGCTTATGAGAAAGGAATAGTAAGCTGAGATGGGACTCTACTCAGCAGCAATACAGTAAACTTGTACAGGGGTACAGACACGTCTTATAGCACCCGTGGGCGCTACCTAGGTAGCCATACCGCAGTAATAATCTCGCTCACACATACATACTCCGTACAATACAGTAACATTACTACACTCTATTGATATCCATGGGTGCGGACCGTACATCCAGGGATTGGGTATTTGGGGCTCCCGGGGTCTCTTTGTCGTAGTAAAACAGTTCTTTAGCGTAATATGTCTGTTGATCTGGATACTATGAATTTTTCCACTGACGCTGACCGACGCTTACCGACGGTCTCCTTCGACCGTATAGAGACGTTGCAACATACAAGTCATATTTCATTAAACATACAAGTCATATTTCATTAGTATTTGCACCCCAGTACTTGGAAGGCCCAACACGCACTTGCTTTCTGTCGGTAGGACTTTACATTCAAAGCTCCTCAGGCTACTCGGGTGGAGTGTACGAAGTACACTACTAGGACTAGGTAGACGGTATAAACAGAAAGGTCGAGAGTAGAAGTACATACATCTCTTGAAATGTAAATACTAATAAAATGCCACTGTATGTACGATCCAAGAAAGATATTGAGTCGTATATCTGTATAATACTGTGAGTAGGCAGATGAGGTCTTTCCAAGGTGTGATTCGGTAAGAACTGGTCTGACTGGCTCAGGAGCCCCTTGCGCAGGTACTATCTCTAAATTTAAAAAAAGGAAATATCGATATAACGTAATTTGGGGGAAAAGTGAGACCTTCCAACCTTGGAAGATTCTACTGATATCACGTCAGGTGACTAGGCGATCACATCATCGAACAAGGGTCCCAAGGCTTCAATACGAGTATGTATATATCATTCAATATGGTATCGCCATAGTAAAAAAACACAGCCCCCAGATAACTCCAGCCACAGAGTACTTCCATGATTTGATAAAAATCGCCCCCGGGGGGTTGCAAACTATACAAAAACCCACCTTTCGTCATATTTTATTAGTATACTTACTATAAGTTGTAGAAATCCTATAGTATCTGTTTTATTTTCAATAGGTTTGTTTGTTAATATTGCAGGTTTATTAATTTTAGTTGGATATAATTTTATAGGATTATGTAGACTTCCGCAAAGTCCAACCCGCAGTGGGCTGTGGGCCTAAACTTCAAAGCCCATCGATATCTAATAAATTGGGCTCTGTAATCGCTTTATTACAACATTTCTACTAATTATATAAAGTTTAAATCTAGAGTATCAAATTATAGTAGCCATATTAGTATATATCTCTATTTTAAATAAGATCCGATAAGTAGAAGACGAGATATCGTAAAAAGTATTGATATTGATGTTTTGAGATCTCATATATATCTTAGACTAAGATGGGAGTACTACGACTTTCTAGTGAACCTCTGTAGTTTTTAAACTTTCTTCAAAAACGCGTTTTTTCGCGTTTTTTTTAAACGTGATGTTAAGAACTAACTAATTATAAGCTCTAAATCATTTAAATAAATAGAATATTACCCCAGGGACAAGGCCTAGAAACAGGGGTAAAACGAAGCGTAATTTAAAAAATAGAAAAAGGAGGTTCAACTTTACTTGCACCTAAATTCTAGGCATGTTTGTACTGTTTGGGGCCCATTGGGCCCCCACTAAAGCCCAATGGGCTTCTACCCTAGGCCCCACCGGTTGGCCTAAGGACCGGGCCTAAAACCCAGCCCATTTGCGGGCTAGTAAATTAGCCCTATATAAATCAGGTGATCTAATGGAGGCATGGGGGATCGGATGAATAAATATGGGACCGGTCATAGCGCAAATCATGGAAGTACTCTGTGGCTGGAGTTATTTGGGGGCTGTGTTTTTTTTACTATGGCGATACCATATTACATAAATGATACCCGTATTAAATTGGGCGTCAAGGTGTACTCTTCCTAATTGGGTTAGGCGACTGTGACATGAGGGATTTGACTGTGACAATAGGCTCCTGGGTTGGTTTGTGCACTCTTGTTTTCTCACGATGTGAAATGACAGCGCAAACGATGACGAGCGTCCCGGGCGATGACATCCAACTCTGTTGCCTCGATAGTGTGGCGGTAGGGAACAACAAAGCGAATGATGGCATCAAGGCGGGGGAAGGCCATGATACCAGGAATTCTGAAACTCACTCAGTTAGGGGAACTAAGAAAAAGAATATCCCACTGGCTTGAAGTTCTGGCTCATCATCCTCACTATGACGGCCTTGCTTATCCTTGGTGGACTTGACACTAATATCGTTGCTACCGCTGTGCCCAGGTACGAGGTTAAAATAAAGACGTGCAATGTTCTATAAGCTGACCACTTTTTGGCTTCTAGTATTACCGATGACTTCCACACTGTGGCTGATGTTGGCTGGTACTCGTCGGGATTTCGACTCTGTACCTGCGCCTTTCAATTCATGTTTGGCAAGATGTATAAGCTCTTCTCCGTCAAGCGCGTGTTTATGCTCGCCAATGCTATATTCTTGGTGGGATCTGTGCTCTGTTCCACAGCTACAACATCCGCTATGTTTGTCGCTGGGAGGGCTGTGACCGGAGTGGGCTTTGCAGGTATCCTCGGCGGGTTATATACCATTCTTACGTATATCCTGCCACTTCGACGACGACCTCTCTTCTGCGGAGTTCTAGGTGGCGTCGAAAGCTTAGCTATTATTGCTGCTCCTATTGTTGGTGGAGCCCTAACTCAATCACTTGGTTGGCGGTGGTGTTTCTGGATCAACCTACCTATCGGAGGTATTTCGCTTCTAATGACCTTTTTTCTATTTTCGGATCTAAGTCCTGGCGACACAAGTATTGGGTTTGGAGAGAAAATAGCCAGGCTCGATTTACTGAGTAACCTACTCTTTATTCCAGCGCTGACCAGTCTTTTTATCGCGTTTTCTTGGGCCGGTACCAAGTATCCTTGGGATAACGGCAAAGTTATTGGTCCTCTCGTTACATTTGCAGTTCTCACAGCCGCCTTCTGATACAATCAACATCGACTAGGTTATGCTGCTGCTTTACCACCGCGTATCTTGAAGAACCGCAGCGTTATTGCCGGCGCAATTTTCGGCCTCTGCACTAATAGCGCTATCAATGTGCTCGAGTAGTACTTGCCTACCTACTATCAGATTGTACGAGGGTATTCTCCTAGCGAAAGCGGCTATGTGATGATCCCTATAGTTGTCGGTGCTACTATCGGAATGTTACTTTGCGGATCGGGAACTAGTACAATCGGCTACTATACGCCATTCATGCTCTTCTCCTCGGTGGCGATGCCGATTTTCGCGGGATTGATTACAACTTTCGGAGTCAAAACTAGTTTCGCTCAGCTTATCATGTACTCCGGGGTATCCGGCTTTGCGAGTGGAGTAGCTTTCAACACACCAATCACTGCTGTACAGACTGTGCTACCTGTCGAAGACGCCTCACTTGGACTATCTATCGTGCTTTTCGCACAGAACTTTGGTCCTGCCGTGTTTATTGCTATTGCTCAGGTCATTTTCATGAATCAACTCGCGACTAATCTAGTCCGCGTAGTCCCAAACATTGAACCTTCAACAATCCAAGACAACGGGTTGACGGATATCATAAAACAGGCCCCAGCACATAGATCCATGGAAGTTCTTGAGGATATTGGTAAAAGCCTGAGTGAGACGTGGTATTTGGCTGTTGGGTTGACATGTGCGACGTTGATTGGAAGTTTACTCATGGAATGGCGATCTGTCAAGAAGAAGGGTGCTTGATCTTCGATCAATGCTAGGCTATGTTGTGATCACCTGATGTGACCCTGTTTGTCATGGCTGCTAGCAGATAGCTTCTCTTCCTCTCTCTCCTTCTTTTCCCCGGATCAATCAATCATCTTGATCTCTTCTCCATTAGGCTATGAATGCTAATGATCTCTGCATGATCTACACGAAAAGGCAAGTTGGTTGGACCTCATATTGTAGGTATAGGTTATATAGACCTAGCTGTGGCTTAACCTGATTTTTACCTGGTGGGAGCATCATACCCATAAGAGTGAGGCCCTATTTGGCAGGACTGCTCCATCCATATACCTTGACAGAGTTGATCAACCAATACGCATCCGAAAAAGCCGATGGGTTCTGGGCCACAAATTCCTTACAGGTAGCAGCCTTCGCACTGCACTCGGGAGTTGATGCCCACACGCTTGCACTAGTGCTTGTTAGTACAACCCTTATCACACCAATGGATTTCGTATCTTATGCCCAGCCACACAGATTTGTGTTGAATATAATGTCGTTACTTTTGAAGTGAGCCAAAGTCGCAGCCCGAGGCCAGGAACCGGGTCAACGGCGTGCCCAAATGGTTGGTTCTGGAGCCCCAGGTGTGATGTCCGCCGGGATACTGTTACGGGGGAATAGCCAAACCGAAATTGCGCTCGTTCTCCATTGCATTGTGTACACACCTCCATCAATCGCGTTGAAGCCGTCCCCGTAGGCATGGGTATTTGTCGACGTCTGGGAACAACCGCCAGAGGAGGTACTGCTGTCACAATTGGGATTGACAAGGACTGAGCCAGCTGCAGAGCCTGTATTTGTGACTACGCAGTCCTTCCCAGAATGCAGGGTGATGATGGGAGTTTTCTGCATATTGACGCCTTCGATAATATCGATCTCGCCGCTGTTGGGCCAGTCTGGGTCACTGGTTCAGTAGGCCGGCCAGACGCCACAGGCATTACCCGGCATGTGGGCTATATCAGCAAAGATCTCAGCAACTACGCTCTTTCAAATCTAGCCAATCTACTAGTTAAAAACCGGTGTATATGGTACCCTCTATAGAATGATATTTACTATTTTTATATTTTTTATTTCTGCCCCCTTTTATTTATTCTGAATTGACATGTGAAATCTGTTTATTTTTGTCTATTTTATTAAATTTATGGTGGGATGTTGAAGTTTTCGAACTGCATTAGATGGTTTGGTCCGAAATTCCTAATTAGGTTAGCGTTTGGTCCGAAATTCCCAATACGGAATAGACTGAAAATAATAACTGCATTTTCGACCAAGCTCTTCTTGTGTATTTTCGACTAAGCTCTTCTCCTATATTTCTAACTAAACTATACTTCTACCTTTTTAACAATATTAACCTCTTATCTTAATTAATAATATATCCTTCTGATAATTAAAATAGATAACCTAGCTATAATTTTATACTTTATTTATAGATTTAAGGTCGAAATATAGTAGTTTCCTATTATAATCCTAGAAGTCTTTCTATAATATAATCTATACTAATAGCGCCTACGTAGACCCGTACGGACCTAAGTAGGTCTGTACTTGTATATATAGGGCACTTTAGCCCCTGTAATGTATAGTATTTAGCTATTAGCATACCTAGTCTATATAAACTATGCGATTATTCTCTAAATCATATCTAATAGTATATTAGTATAGGCTATCTTCTATAATTAGCCTAGGGAGGCACGAGAATAGTGTTATAAAAGACCCGAAAAGGGATAATAGTAATATAAAAACCCTCTTATCCTATCCTAACCTCGATCTAGCGGACTTAAATTACTATAAATAGATTAGAAGTCTATAATATAGTAACTGTCTTTCTCTATTTATACCTAGGAAGAGGGGGTATACTAAAAATCCTAAGAAACTAGCCCTTTAGAATCTAACTTCTATTTTATAGATACTAGGGAAGAAATAGAAGAAAAAAGGAGTTAATAAGCACTTCTAATAAGATATAGGAAAAGGAAAAGGCTTTAAATACGAGGAAAAAGAAACGAAAATCTTTTAAAAAGTAGGGTAAATTAATCTATATAGATTAGATTTAACCTATCTTATACTAATATTAAGTAAGATATAGCTAGATCCGTATCTAAGCGCTATTATAAAAATAGCCTCCTAAACTAATAAGAGGAATATAGTTAATAGAACCTAATTATATCCTCTTAGATAAAGAATACCTTAAAAGAATATCTAAATAACTATAGTAAGCTGTTACGCACTGCTAACTGGTCACAGTTAGGTTAGATGGGTTCCGGGTATACTTGCCTTAATACTCCTCGTGTATCCAACGTCAACGGTCTGTCGCAACTGAGCTATTGCCTGCAAGGCCTTACTGTAGCCTAAGTCCTGTTGAGAGATCGAGGAACGATACTAGTGAGAGCGCTGAGTAGATCTATACCGGGGTATTGGTCTGCTCGTGAGTGTTGTTAAGTTATAATTAAGTAAAGAGTCACAGTAGTCCAAAAGGTAAATATAAGTAATAATGTATGATTAAAGACGAAGAACTGAACTAAGTATATAAATAAGTATCCTTATATATCCTTCGATTCCTACTCCTAGCGTGACTCCCTAAAGTCACCGCTGGAGTCGCTATATACTCCTACGTATACTTCTCTAAGTCGACGCGGGAGTCACGGTCACGTATCCCTAGTTCTATATATAGCGATTCCTAGTATAGGTAATATCTAATACCCTAAAGTATATACGTACCGGAAACCTCCTAGTAGGGAGTCTAATTAGGCTTAGTTATACTTTTACTTACTAAGTATAAATAGGTTTTCTCTTTCCTAAATACCTAGGGATACTAGAGTATTAGATACTATACGTAATCTGCTAACAGATAGATTAGTTAGCTCTTAGTAGCCTATCTATATACCTAGTAGGGTACTATCGATTAGTAACGGGTAGTTCTGTAATATTATCTCCCCCTCCCCTAGGGTTTTGTCCTTAAAGCCCTTTAAAGCTATCGACTACCCCTTAAGTAAGTAATATTAGTTATTTTTCTTTTTCCCTTTTTTCTTATTCTCTAGTTATATACCCTTTATACTATACTAGTTAATAACGCGACTCGTAAATAAAATAGACTTACTTAATATCGATTAATTCTAACAAACGGTTTAGTTACTAAATACCCTTATAAATATTACTTTTTCTATAGTATTTCCTATATAGCGGATCCTAAGTACCGTAACTATACTAAATATACTTACCGGGGTCGAAAATATACTAAAAGGTTCTATAGCGAAACTAAGTAGTAAAAGGTATTATATAAGTAGCAGAAAATTAATAAAGAGCTTACCTAGGCTAAAAGGCAGTAAATAGATATAATAATAAAAATAATACATTTACGTAAATAGTACTAATTCTTACGTTCCTAGAATAATCGGATATTAGATTACGATTCTGTACTAATAAAGTAGTTAGATACTAAAGATCCTCTTAGTACTAAGGACCTCGCTAAGCTAGATTATCTTACCGATAAGTATAATACTTAGATTCTTACCGCTATATTAGAGAATCCTACTCTAACCTAGATATTTAGTCCCCTATCCCCTTCTATCTTAGAAGGGATAGATTTATCTTTCCTAGTTAGTAATTCTTCTAGTAGTACTATTAAACTAGCTAGGGGTAGCCCTTTAGGTTCTTAATAAGTTCCTATATATCTTTAGAGGTATTATACCCCTTCTATCTTACTAAGTAGTAAGGCTTTCTACTTATTCGTTTTATTTCTAGGATTTCTTTGACCTTATATTCGTTTTTAGTTTTTTCTTCGATTTCTATATTTATTATAAGTTTAGTATTATTTAGTATAGGTTCGAGTAATAAGATATAGAATACTAGATAGAGTTTTTATATACTTTCTAGTAGCTTTAAGTAATAATTAACTAATCTTAATTTTTCTTTAATCTTAAATAGTCCTAACTATAGGTAGTCTAATTTATTACTAGGTCGCTTAGTTTTAATATTATAGTATAAAAGATAAACCTTCTCTCCCTTTTTTAGGTTAGGTCCCTTTTCGTATTTTTAGTTATAATACTTCTTTATTCGTAGACTAATAAAGTCGATATCTTTAGATAGTTACAGATATAACTATTTTAGCCCGTTAGCCTTTAGTCTTACTAATTCTACTATAGCTGCTTTACTAATTAGTTATCTATAAACCATAGGATTATATCTATAATTAGTAAAGAATAGTAATTCTTAGGTTATAGAGTAAATAGTATTATTATACACTAGTTATACTATTAGTAGTAGTCCTACCTAGTTGTCTTACTAGTAGTTTACGTAGTATTATAGGTACTACTTTAAGGTCTAGTTTACTCTTTTAGTTTAACTATTAGTTTATAGGTAGTATACTATAGAGAGTCTAAGCTTAATATCTATTTAATCTATAAAAGATTACTATATATTTAATATAAATAACTTATCTCTATCTAATATAATCTTAGCTAGTAGTCCGTAGTTTACAACTATATATTATAGGACTATATTCGCTATTTAATTTATATTAATAGTTTCTATAGTTAGAATTATATAGGCATACTTAGTAAGCCTATCGACTATAACTATAATTATATCGTATCCTTCTAAGACTAGTAGCTTTATAATAAAGTCTATAGTAATCTACTCCTATAGAGTGGTTAGTATCTTAGATAACTATAATTCTCCGTAGGGTACGTATTATATAGGCTTATTCCTCTAGTATATATCACAGCTTTAAATATAGAATCTAACCTTACGGTTTATATTTAAAAAATAATAATTTCGCGAAATATATTCTACTATCTTTTCTATTCCTATATATCTGTAGGTAAGGTTATTATAATATTTTTTAATCACTTCCTCCTAGAGTTTAATTAGGATATAGATTAATCTATATAGGTAGAATAAACCACTTTTATCTTTAATAAGCTTATCATTTTCTCTAAGGAGTTAATTAATTATATCTATTTCTAGTTCTTTCTTGATTTATTATAGTAGGTTAC